CAAAGGGGCTTCCTTCTGAATAGATATGCATAGGATTGCACTGTTAGTTTTCTATGTGCAGGGAAACTTTATTTGGAGAAGATCTCCCCACCTGCAGTCTGAAGTGGTATAGATCAGGAAAAACAATTCAATACCTTTTCATGAGCGTAGCCAGGATTTATTTTAGGGGGGGGGGCAGGCTTTATGGGGGGGCAGAACAAAGTTATCTGTGATGTAATTGCTCAATTAATTATTTTTATTTATTTACTTGATGGGGGGGAGCTGCCTACCAGCTATACCCGTGGACCTTATCTACTGTTTGTATGAGCCATGCCTGAATCTGATTTCCTAGAAAGGGAAAGAGTCAGACACAATATTTTTAAAGGTGATAAATATAACATAATACTGTTAAAACATTGCAATAATGTTGAAATATAATGTTCACATAATATGAATCTTCTAAAGCAATATCAGCTGATATCTTTGCAACTGAAACAAAGGCAAACTCGGCCCTCCAGATGTTTTTGGGACTACAGCTCCCATCATCCCTAGCTAACAGTACCAGTGGTCAGGGATGATGGGAATTGTAGTCTCAAAAATCTGGAGGGCCGAGTTTGCCTATGCCTGGGCAAAATGAAGTTTCCCTAACTTCCCCCGCTTTTTAATGCCACACAAATATAGATGCTGGAGTAGAGGGCATTCCCCACTCTTGTCTTCTCAGAATCTTTTGCATAATGAGATTGCTTCATGCCACTTAATAGAAAGGCTAGACTTAAAATGCATCTCAAATTCCTTGCCTTTCTTATTGTTTCATGTACCTTAACAGCTATTTCATCTCAGATAAGAGACAGCCACATTTCGTATTTAATCCTTATCAGTTCTGTAGCCACATATCATTCCTCCTCTCTCCCAGTTTCATGAGCAGATACCTAGCAAGAGACAGACCGGCAAAATATAAAAGGTTGCTTTTTGAAGGGATCATACAAGCATTTATGGGATAGGGGAGGACAGGAGCACATCTTTGACAATTATTACCTTTAGAGTTCTCAAGCCAACATCGATAGCACTCCCCAGTGATTGGGGGAGCCTAAAATGGGAAGCTATAATTAGAGGCCAAAGTACACTGCAACTGTTTAAGTTGCTCTAGGTTTGAGGGTTTCTTCTGATTTCTAGACACTGCCTCCCTCAGATGACTTTCTCTTGAGACCTAGCCATTCAACTGGGAACCACTAAGAGGTGCCTTGACCAATGTTGCCAATAGTTATAACCTGCTATTACACAAACTAGGAAATCCCCTCCCAAGTGCTGTAATCATTGCAAGACCTGATGATCAGCTATGAAAAAAACAAGTCCCTTGAGATCCTGCCCACCTGGCCCAACAATAAGCTCAGGTGGGAGATTCTGTCCTTCCGCAGGTACAGTTCATTATTTAATGCACACCTGTATATCCAAATGCAAATGCAGTAGTAGTAGGACAACACTGACATGCAATGGAGAGAAAGGAGGGAGGGAGGGAGGGAGGGAGGGAGGGAGGGAGGGAGGAAAGAAAGAAAGAAAGAAAGAAAGAAAGAAAGAAAGAGAGCCAAGTAAGCTTCAGGCAAATTTCAACATTTGCCATTCTGACTTGTTAAGAAGCTTTCAGACAGAAAATCATGTAAATTTATTCAGAAAGCTAGAAGCCAAACCAAAGCAGAATGATTATGTTTCTGATGCTCACACAACTCAGTAAAGCCGTAGGTCTTATTGTTTCAGACCAGCACAGTTGGACCTGAAGTGCAGCTTGGAATACGTTGTATCTAACTAAAGCTCAGTCTGTACTAAAGCTCAGTCTGCACAATATTGTTGCATGTTACCCCAATCTTTGAGCAATGAAAGATCCCGGGGGTGCCAGGTGCTCACCCAGGTTCTGTGTTTCCTTTTGCAAATGAGTCATAGGGGAAACTGTAGTGTCTTTATGATATGTGGTTTATTTACACACACACACCACCTGACCCCAAAGGGTCTTGCTTCTCCTATATCCGCAAACTTAGATTCAGACAGACATCAAACATCATGTTCTGCCTCTCTGGCTTTTCATCTTGCTGCCTTTCTTCTTGGTGACATAATTCCTAATATCTTTAAACTCTGGCTTTATCTGTGTGGTGTGCGCTACCCATTTGCTGACTAGCAAAAACCCTGTGAACCTAGCCTTGGTTAATTAGCATTTAACACTTGCTAGATCCAGGGATTAGAGTAGTATGGCACTCAATTTAACACCCCAAGCCTTGATTAAATTCTAACACTTACTGGATCTGGATTATAGGAGTCTATCACCAACAAACTCGTAACAATACATTTAAAGCAGTATCATATCACTTTAAACAGTCATAGCTCCCCCCCCAAAGAATCCTGGGAGCTGTAGTTTGTCAAGGGTGCTCAGAGTTGTTAGGAGACCCTTATTCCCCTCTCAGAGCTACAATTACCAGAGTGGTTTAACTATAGCATCATAGAGTTGTCGAGTTGGAAGGGACCTTGAGGGTCATCCAGTCAAACTCCTCATTAATTTGTGCTAAAGGGGATATAATTATAGTAGGTCCGTTGCCTTCTTACAGAAATGAACAGGCTGTGAGGATTGGAGGAAACTGCCATAGCAGTTTATTCTATCTTTGATCTCTATACTACTGCTATAATACTCTTGAGGGGGGAAAGAATTCACAGAATCATAGAATTGGAAGGGGCACAAAGGGTCATCTAGTCCAACCCCCTGCAATGCAGGAATCTCAACTAAAGCATCCATGACAGATGACCGTCCACCCTCCACTTTCAAATCTGAAATGAAAGAGAGCCCACCACCTTCCGAGTGGGTTGATTCCACTGCCAAACAGCTCTTGGCATCAGAAAGCTCTTCCGGATGTTTAATCATTCCTTCTTCCCAGAGAAACTGGCCATAAATGTTTGCAGCCACCCCACACTCTTGCATGCACACAAGGCACACACAAATACACATAGCCTCTCCCTTCAGTGATCTGTGAAGTCAGAAGTGGGGCTATCATTCTCTCTCTACTCCTCAAGTGATGGATGTGATGACTGAGGAAGGGCAATTTTCCTCCCCATCAAACTGAGGGTCTTCACGCACCTCAGAGGTGTAAGATTGTTTTTATTTTTTGCTGAAGCCTCTAAAATTGGTGGAGTTTTGGGATCTGGATTATACTCCCAAACTGGGGGTTAGCCATCCTTGCCCTACAGAATCCTGGGAACTTTACTTTGGTGAAAGGGCTGACTATTCTCTGTTAGAACTACAGCTTCCCTGGGCACAAAGAGCTGGCTATCAAACCAGTTTTAAGTCTGTGGTATAGATAAGAGTCACTGCAATGCAGTCAGTCAGGAGACTTTCAAAGTTCTGAGCTGCAGTCACTTTCATGTGAAAGCCAGACTGCAACACTGAAGTATGCAAACAGAAGGCTTGTATAGTTGGCAGGAGAGATTTCTGAGAGGAGTGGTTTGGCTGGCACCAGAACAGAAGGCAAAACTGAGCGGGATGTGTGCGAGCAAAGGCAAAATAAAGCTCTGTTTTGCCAAGAAAATGTTCTTTTCCATGGAGCCATTTCAGTGGAATAGCGGTCTCATCATCACTGATGACTTCCGCAAGACAGAATGTGATTGGCTATTCTTCTGTGCAAAGGCCACTAAACTGCCAATGACCAGTTCACCTTGACAGCACCCCACAAAAGCATCACATTTGGTGTCTCCCACTCCATTGGTTAAGAATAACACAAGTACACAGTTACTTTAATGGTACACCATCACTCACAAGCACACCAACAGGGACTGGTTTTTATTTTTAAAATCATGAGAAAATGTACATGTTAACACAATGCAGGCCAATGTTACCAGCTTGAGAAGTGAACACGAACTGTTGGCACTGTGTACAGTGGTGCCCCGCAAGACGAATGCCTCGCAAGACGGAAAAACCGCTAGACGAAAGGGTTTTCCGTTTTTGAGTTGCTTCGCAGGACGAATTCCCCTATGGGCTTGCTTCGCAAGACGAAAATATCTTGCGAGTCTTGAGATTTTTTTTTCGCTTTCCCCCCCCTTTATCTAATCTGCTAAGCCTTTAATAGCCTTTAATAGCCTTTTAGCAGCTAATCCCCTAAGCCTTTAAGCCTTTAATAGCCGCTAAACCGCTAATAGCGCTAATCCGTCAATGGGCTTGCTTCGCAAGACGAAAAAACCGCTAGACGAAGACTCTCGTGGAACGGATTAATTTCGTCTTGCGAGGCACCACTGTATTTCATTATGTGGAGAGCTGAATAATTTTATGAAGTGCACTGCTTATGATTAAGTGGTCTATAAATCTTTCTAAATAAAATAACTCACAGCAGGTGTCCCCAAGCCCAGCATAGCTTGCCCCATGTCTCCTGACCCCAACTCTGACCCTGCTTATAATGCTCCCACTAACCCAGAGGCAGGGGACAGAAAGGGACCAGCTAGGTAGGTGTCACTTACCATTTCTACCCCCAAAGACCATACCTATGTAGTGTTCTAATCCAGTCCATGTTTTACATGTGATTCCAGTTTACCAGGGCCTGGAGCAGTTTCACTCCATTTCATTAGAGAGGTAGAACTCTGCTGTTCCGGGATTTGCTGAAAGCTGGGTCCCCAGCTGTTGTGAGACTACAACTCCCATCATCCCCTAGCTAGCAGGAAAATGATGGGGGTTCTAGTCCCACAACAGCTGGGGACCCAAGTTTGAGAAACAGTGCCTGGTTAGGAATTCGTTAGCCGATTAAAAGGAAGAGGAGGAGGAAGACCCATCCCTCTGAAATCCCACCCCAGCAGAGGAGGGCTCGGCAAGCGGGCGCCCTCCAGAGGGTTCGGACTTTCACCCGCTACCCTAACCGGAGAGGGATGATGGGAATTGTAGTCCAACCACACCTGGAGGGCACCACCACCTGCTACCGTAACAGCTCCCGACCAATCTCACCTAGCGAGGCTCACTCCACAGAGGCGCCTCGATTCCCAGGACGCTGCTTTTAATTAAGCTCCCTTTGATCTCCCCCGGTGGTCCCGGGGCCCTTTGCCAAGCCGGCTACGCCCGCGGCGCCCGGGAGAGGGCAGCCGTTCGCGGCGAGCCTTCGCCGGCGTCCTCTTGCTCCCTCTCCCTGCCGCGCAGAGCTGCCGTCGGCGCGGAGATGCTGCGGCGCCCGGAGAGGCTCGCCAGGGAGGCGGGCCGTTTCCTCGCGCCTCGTGGGCCGTCTCCGTGCGCTCAGCGCCGCCGCCGCCTGCGGCCCAGACCCAGCCGCTTGGGGAGCCTCCTTTGCCGCCAGTCCCCGACACGGAAGGAGGCAGTTCCCGCTGTGGGTGTCTCTCCTGCCCTTCTCCGGGACCTACACAAAGGAAGGAGGCGGAGAGTTGCGCAACGCCGCCCAGAACGAGCGAGGCGCTCGGCTGCTTCCATTCCCGCTCGGGAGCGCCATGAGCGAGCCGCCTCGCCGTCCTCCGAGGTTTCCAAAGCCGGACGAATATGGGAATGCCGTCGCCGTCGTGGGATCCCAGCAGGCGCAATGATCTTCTGGGGGAAGCTGGAGGATGACCGAGCGCTAGTAAGGAAAGCCGCGCTTCTTTCGCTTGCCTGTTTGCGCCCAAGGGACTCCCTCGGGAACCCCTTGAATTCCGGCCCCATTTACCTGGGGGGTGGCTACAAGACCCACTGAATTCGACCTAGTTGGGATGGCGCTGCAAAGTTGTAGTCCTGGACGCACTTGCTCAATTGCACACGCTGGGGGTTATTTGCGCGGGATTGCGCTGCGCGGGATTTAGGCTGGTTGCAATCCTTGTGTGGGCGTCGACCTCCTTTGCACTCCGCGTGCTGTTACTGCGGCGTCCACTTCTTTGGACTAGAGGCCACTTCAGCTTGTGCAAGGGTTGTAAGATACTAGCACGCACAGCTTCTGCAAAGTATGTTCTTTGCAAAATGTGCCGTACTTAGTCTGGAACATAGCAAGCTGACGCAAGCCAGACTTTTCCAGCTCAGTGTTTTCTACCCGACTGGCGGCAGCTTTTGCCTTTAAAACGCTGGAGAGAACAAGTGAGATGTTATATTTGACTGGATCAGCTAGTCGGGAATGCGGGCGAGCTTTCTAAACACCTTATCCCAATTTGTGCAGCCTGCTCCAAGGGAGCTTCATTCGGAAGTTCAGTGGGGCTTGCTAAATGTGAGCAGTATTGGTACCCCAACTTGTGCTTCATCCCTTGGAGGTGAGGCTAAGTAATTACCCTAGGATTCACCCCCCAAGTAAGTCTGCCTAGGATTTTGGCTTTGGTGCAGTGATGCTCTGCAGCTTGCAGAATTGGAACCCGTATATATTGTTGACTAAACAAGGAAACAGTTGCTAGTTTACAAGCCCTGCATGTTCTTTAGGCCATGGTTGGTCTTCAGCAACATTTAAGCTGAATAAGTTCTTACATGTTCAGTTTGGGCTGTTACTCAGCTGCCTGAACTGTTCTGAGAACAAAGGAATGCCAGGACTGTGCATTTCATTATTAACCATTCCCTTGGTGATGGGCACTTCCACGTTTGTGGTACAGCTTTGGAAATTAGAAAGGGGAATGCTGTGTGTTGGGGCCAGGCCTGCATTTCAGCTTTGGGCTGCAGTATTCTGGGAGTCAACAAGAGCAGCCTTCCCCAACCTTGTGCCCTCCAGATGTTTTTGGCCACAACTGGGGCTAATGAGAGAAGAATTAGGGAACAAATCATAGCAACACTTAACCTTCAAAGTGCTCGCAACAACCCTGCATAGTAAGTCAGCAGTATTTCATATGCCAGACAAGGTTTCTGAGAGGTGATGGTCTATCTGTTGAGGTTAGATTTGAATCAGGCATTTCCTAATTCACATATCATGCTTTGCTTTACTCTTATCATGCTGAAGAACAGCAAATGCTACAGCTCTTGGGCTCTCCTCAAACTATGTTTCAGAAACTGCTGGAGAGAATTGCAAGCCATCTACAAGTGGGAGGAGGTTGTGAATGTTGGGACTCTGCAGTCATGTGAAGGCTGAGCTTTCTCTCTCCCCTGAGCAGGGACTTGGGGGGTAGAACAGGGGTGGAAAACCCTGCAGGCAATATCAACCCAGGCAACATGGCTGATAGTCGGGCATGATGGGAGCTGGAGTCTTAATGACATCTGGAGATCTGAAAGCCCCACCTCCAAGGTGGAGAAAGGAGTTATTCAGCTGCAGATGCATTTGGTCCAGCTACCAGGCTAAAGTGACAAGGAGGCATCGGGTAGCAGTCTTGGAAAGATCTTGGGATTTCATTGCACTAATTCTTGAGCACAGCAGCAGGATACACACTGCTGTTCATGAGAGCCTGGATGTGACAGTTGGGGAACCTATGGCTGGATTCCAGTTCCCATCAGCCCCAGCCAATGTGGGCCAACGGTCTGTCATGATGGGATTTGTAGTCCCTTTGTCACCTGAAGGGCCACAGGTTGCCCATTCCTGCTCCACACACCAAACATACGTCAGAGCACTTGGACAAGGATCCTTGCACTTAATTTTTGGCACAGTTAATATATTTCCTAATCTTGAACACTTTGCACAGGTGTTGTCATGGTGGTGTCGAATGGGCACAACAATTGGTATAATCCAATTTTAAGTGCTTATTTAAAGCTGTTGCCTTGGATATTAGGATCAGGCAATGAAGAATCTGATAGTACTCCATTTTGAGTTGGATCATAGACATAAGAATTTGTTCTAGAAATTGCATGCCATGCCGAATAATGTATTGGAGCCATATCCAGTTTTGGTTAGGTTGTTAAGGCCAGGCCATGATATTTTAGAAACTTTAGAAGTTGCATAGAAGGGAGAATTGCACAAGGTGCAACTGCTATCACTGCAACATGGTCACAGGGGCAGGGATGGGTGTTGTGGCAAATCACACTGGGTTCCTTAAGACCTCCCAATTCTCACAGATGACCTAGCATTTTAACTGGAACACAGGCAGACTGTACCATGTGGTTTATCAGCAAAGTGGGAGAACTCTTTGCTCTCAGATCCTGTTGCTTGAATCCTAAGTTCCAGCTAGAAGGCAATACTTGTGGTGTGGTTTGGAACCTCACTCTGCCATGGACGCTTGTCAGTTTGTGTGTGTTTCACAAAGCCAATTTTCTGGGGGGCATTTCCTATGGCATTTCCTGTGAGAACTTAGCCTTTGTATTTAAATGTGTTGAGAACATTGGGAACTTGGAGTTATAACAGAAACTACCAGAACTACTTCTGCTATTTGTTTAAGATGGCTTTAAGGGTGGGGGACCTGTAGCCCTCCAGACATTGGCATGACTAATGGTCACTGTTGATGGGAGATGACATTCAACAACATCTGGAGGGTCATAGGGTTCACACCCTTAAAGAGGAGCATATAGTTTATACAGCGTTTGGGGTTAAAGGTTGCTTCTGAGCAAGTGGCCTCCTTTTCATGAAACACACAATGAAAATGGTCCACTTGTTGCAAAAGGAACATCTGTCGGAAGTTTATTACTTTATGAACTTAAAACTATTTCCCGTCCTTTCCAAAAGTAGCTGGCGTTTATTCAAGCAATAGGAAAGAATCCTAAGCTCAAGAGGCTTCTTTGTAGAAGTAGGGGAGCAGAATGTGAAGGGAAACTGTCCCATTACGGAAAAGACAGATGACTCTTTTTGCAAGGGGGTCCAGATGTAATGCAATGCCAGTGGAGGCCTGTTAATGTATTGCTCCCTTCCCTCTGCTTACGAGCTCTTTGACTTTTACTAAAACATGTGCCATTAACAAATAATCAATAACACAATTGCAATCTATAAAACACTATTAACAAAAGAGCAACAGAAACATAAGCTTTACAGCACAATTACAACAATAATCTTATTATTTGGTTCCTATTCCCTTTTCCTTTACTTTTAAAAAAAATGAAGGCAGGGATAAGACTTTCACGCTGACACAATTCTCAGGCAAACAAGTTGTAATCCCAGTTAATACCTGTCTTTGCTGAACATAGCTGGCATATTTGTTGCAGGGACAGGCCAGAGTAAGGGGCTGTAGATACTTTTTATTGGACTCATTTCTGTGAGCAGGCTGGTTGCCTTTCTGCACCACTCTCCCACAAACTATTCTGGTGCCCACTTCTAGCCCAGGGGTAGGCAACCTAAGGCCCGGGGGCCAGATGTGGCCCAATCACCTTCTCAATCCGGCCCGCGGACGGTCTGGGAATCAGCGTGTTTTTACATGAGTAGAATGTGTGCTTTTATTTAAAATGCATCTCTGGGTTATTTGTGGGGCATAGGAATTTGTTCATTCCCCCCCCCCCAAAAAAAAATAGTCTGGCCCACCACAAGGTCTGAGGGACAGTGGACCGGCCCCCTGCTGAAAAAGGTTGCTGACCCCTGTTCTAGCCCAAGGGTGGGGAAGCTGTGGCCCCTTCTGATGTTGCTGGACTCCCAACCCCCATCAGCCCCAGCAAACATGACCAATGGGCAGGGATGATGGGATGTGCAGTCCAGGAACATCTGAGGGGGCACAGCTGCCCAAGCTCTGTTCTAGCCCTTCGAAGTATGTTTTTGACCATTTTAGCTCCCTGACTACAGCCCCTCCTTGGCCCCAGGGAATATGGTAATATAAAAAATCGTGGGCACCACAAAATACCCATTTCACAGTAGAAAATTGGTGATACTCAGCCTCTCACAGACAAAAGGCAGAACACCCACACCAGCCCAAGCAAATAGTAGACCAAAAAATAAAAATAAAAGAGCAGGCAGTCCCTCCCCAACTAAACAAAAGCAAAATAATTTAAAAATACATATTGGGAGGGGCAGGGGAAATTGGCAGGTGACAAAGGAGGGGATTGAGTGGTGTTCAGCTAAGCTGTACTCAGAGTAGACTACTTCAGTGGGTCTACTCTGAGTAAAGCTGAATTGAATACTGTGTTGCCTTTGGTACCACGATGGGAACCTTAGCTTTCCCCTCTTATATCTCCTATTTTCAGCTCATCTGCATCTGGATCTTCTTTCTCCACTCTTGCCCAACCTTTTCCCTCCCTTTAAGGTTGTAATCCTACGTTCTCTGTTCCTTGGGTGTAAGTTCCATTGAGCTCAGTGGAATTTAGATCTCACGCTACATAGGTGACTTGAAGTCCCACTTCCTTTAAAAATCTTTCCAGTGGAATATCCTGGGAAATGAAGCATGCATAACATAAAAAAATAAAATAGTGGCTTAATGTACATATATTATTTGTACAACATTCTAATTTGGCAAGACTTCTGCAAACCACTTATACGATTTCAAAGTAAAAGCAGCACTGTACTTTAATTTGGATCTCTCTCTTTACTGACTTGGTTCAAATCTAAATAACTGCTCTTGTCCCTGTGTGTTCCTAAAGCATTTTCTTTGAACCTGCTGAGAAATAGTACCTGGAACATGCCCAGAGGCATTAATTCTTCTGCATATATTCTTGAGTAGGTCCATGGTTCTGAAAACAAATTCCAGTTCTAAGCCCTGATGAGATTTCACTGAACTTATCTTGCACTTTGGTTGTGCCCAGAGGATTTTCCTCCCTTTCTATTTCATGAGTTCTACTGCTTCCTGGTGTTGATTTTAAAATATGTTTCTTCCAGGGCTTGATTCCCTTGAACTACTTTAATTATCTTAATATGTGGGGCTTGGCTGCCAGTTTAAGCATGGGAAAAGTGGGCTGCAGTCCCCTTTTTTCTACCATGAGAGCTGCTTCCAGCAACTCGGTGTATCTTTTCCTTGTATAAAAATGACCAAAATATGAACCTGGAGAACAGAGTGTTACTGAATGGAAAAGTGGACATTTTTGTTTACATCAAGGGGTTTGGGGAACTGGATTCATCATCTACTTGGCATGTAAAGCATGCATCTGGATCAGCAAAGCATGTATATTTTTAGCAACCTATTACATTCATGCTTTTTGCCAAGTTTTTGAGCTGGTTTGTAGTACTGGAGGCAACTAGTCTTTTTCGGCCTACGCAGTGGAATTGAGTCTCCTGGCACTCTCTGCAGCAGAGAGACACTAATCTGCTGTGGAGCTATTGCGATGGACAATATCAGTTGTCCTTCAAACTCAGAACAATTGTTTGGGAGCAATGGTTCTTCCCCACCCAAAGTCATGAACCATAAGATGCTCTCTTTTACTGAGTCAACCCACTGGTTCGTTTAGCTCAGTATTGTCTGCACTGATTGACAGTGACTTTCAGAGGGGTCTTTACCAATTAGCCTACCTGGAGTTGCCTGAGATCCTCTTGCATGGAGATCAGGTGCTCTGCCATTGAGCTGCAGTTCTCCACTAAATGAAGCAGCTTGGTTTTCATTCCCCAACAGCCACAGAAGACACATCCGAGAGATCTGGTTCTTCTTGGAAACAGAAATAGGTGCAAGTCTTAAAAGTGGGGAGCAAACGGGCTTCTTTCAAGTAGCTCAAGCCATTAATCCATCCTATTCAAGAGTTGCCTTCTAGGTGATTTTAACTGCCTGTTGCAGATATTCTCCCTCCTGTTTTCCTCAATGTGGTGGATATGTAACGAAGGAGAATTATGGGGTGAGGGGTGACACTGAATGTGGTTGGATCATTCAGTCACTTCTGAAGTTTTAGTAGTATTACCTGTGTTGCTTTTGTTAAGAGGAGACTGCCTCTTATATGTCTGCATGAATCACTGTTTTGAACTTGCCTCTTTCCAGGCAGGAGGCATGCCCAGATCAGTGACTCATGTAAAAGTGCAGGTGTTAGGAAGATAGGAATCTGTTTTATACCGGGGCTGAGTATTTGACCACTTAGCTCAGTATAATCTAGTCTCACCGGCAGAAGTCTTTCCCATCACCTTTTTGCTACGTTTTAACTGGAGATGCCAGGGATGGAATGGGAGACCTTCCCTGCCACTGAGCTTTGGCAGCTCCCTTAATGCTTTGGCTCCTCTGAGAGCAGGTAAGTCTTGCTCTTCAGTATGAACACATTTATTTTTAGAGTATGTTAAGTGCGCCTCTGATTTTAATTCAGAAAATAAGTGTGCCAGCTGTCTGAAGCTTGGGAAGTGCTGAGAGCCAGAATTCTGGAGAAGGAAGGGAATATTTGGACCACCATATATTTCAGTAGTTAAAAAGAGGTGCTGGTCCTTCGACCTGACTCAAACTTACATCTGACCTGAAGATCCTGCTTCTTAACCCTCGATGGGTGACATGGCTATAGCCATTCCAATACAAGGGAAAGTTGTTTTGCCTAAGCTCAGAGACACACTCTTCTTTATTACTGCAGATGTGGCAGAATTAAGGGCTGGTGGCAAGAATATTCAGACATCCTCCCATTTATGTGGGGGTTATGTTCCAGGCCCCACGCCATAAGTGAAATTGTATACAGTGTGGAGCCTCTAAAAAGCCTATAGATTCCTATTCTTTCCAGTTCTCTCTCCACACAACTCTCCCTTCAACTACGGTCAAAGCTCTAGGGCCGGCTGGAGGCTGAAGAGCGCCTAGGAAAGCGGCTGTTTCTGCTGCGTTACCCTGTGCATCAGCTGCTAGGCGGGGAGGCTGAGCAGCCTAAACTAAGCCCTACTGCACCTCTGGTCTCTTTGGGGCCGCTTCTACCCTCACTGAAGTCCTCTTTGGGCTCTGGGGGGGGGGGTGTCTCTTTTTGAGCTACAAGGACTCTCCATCTCCTGCCGTTTCTTGGTTTGAATCCATTTGATTATTTATTTCCTTGCACTGTTCGTATATGTGGTTGCACGCGAGTAGAACGTGCATAAGTGTGTGTGTGGGGGTGCCTGTAGTGTTTTCCTTTTTGACAGTCAAATAGTGATACAATGTGCTGGTATCAATATTAATGCTATAAAAGAATAATTAATAAATGCTATAATATGTTAATTATCAAAAAGATAGATGTTAAAGTGATATACAGTGGTACCTTGGGTTACATACGCTTCAGGTTACATATGGTTCAGGTTACAGACTCCGCTAACCCAGAAATAGTACCCCAGGTTAAGAACTTTGCTTCAGGATGAGAACAGAAATCGTGCTCTGGCGGCGTGGCAGCAGGTGGTGCTTCAGGTCAAGAACAGTTTCAGGTTAAGAACAGACCTCCGGAACGAATTAAGTACTTAACTTGAGGTACCACTGTACAATCCTGCAAGCTTAAATATTCTTACCAGAAATAAATAAATGAATGAATTTATGACAGAGTATATCCACTTCAATACCCACCCACATGCACACACCCACAAGCTGAATCTCAGAGGGAATTACTTGGTGTCTAGGAAAACGCTGCGCATGCTTTGTGCAGCAAAGTTAAAATGCCTTTGGTTGCAATCGTAATACAGTAAGGCTACTTACGTCCCACTGGCTGAAGTCAGTGCAATTAAAATAGCCTAACTTGTGAGCAGCACTGCAGTCTTTGTGAATAGTAAAGTTCATGGAAGTCCACATTTCCTTTGAGGTAGGGTGGGATGTAGATGCAGTTGTGTATTCAAAGATTCTGCTTCATTTATGTATGTATGCAGAGGGTTTCAGGAAACAATACCAAAATACATCCTAATTGCTACACTTTCTCTTACAGTTCAGATTTTACATTTGAATAGCTTCCCATGAAGAAGCTGATCAAAAGGTTACGGTGTCTAAACTTAGACAGACTCAAGTTTAAAGGACCTAATTAGGGAGTTGGATGATAAATAGCTTCATGACCTCACGCAGGCAAGATACGGTTATGTAACTTTTGGACACAGGTTTGTGACCAGTCATATCTAATGCCTTGGATAGACCAATAGACCAGTTTGTCAGCAATCCTTTGTCCATTGGAAGAATATCTTTCCTTATGCACAACTGCTAAAGTAATTGGAGAATCCCCGGGAGAGTCATTTTGATTCTGACACTTCTGGAGTTTGGTGGTAGATTTTAAAAATGGCAGAGTCTACACCCTCTCCCAGCATGTCATTGGAAGCCTCCTCTTGGATCTCTCAGGCATTGGGGAGCAGCTGGCTGCAGACCTTTCTGCAACCTTCCGCTCTGTAGTAACTTGGAGCAGGGCTTTTAGTGGGGCTGCCCTCGTTCCGTGGAATAGCCTTTCTGCCAAGATAGGGCAGGCACACAATCCCTGTGCTTTCCAGAAACAGTTGAAGGCATTTTTGTTGTGACAGGCTTTCCCAGCTGAATAAATGGGTCTTTACAAGAAATGCCAACTTTTTAGGGTTTTACTCTTGTTTTAAATGTGTTCATTGTTTTTGTGTTTTCAACTGTTTTTATCTTATGTAAAAAAAATGCCTTGAGACAGTGGTTTGGAAGATAGTTAATAAGGTAATAATAACCTTGCATAGGTGAGATCCAACATCATGCCACACACACTGAGAATGGGTCTCTCTCTGTGTGTCCTCTGGGAGGCAATCTGGTAGATCCCATGGCTTTAAATGATCCCCCCAAAGCTGGAAGAACTGATTGGTCTTTGTCTGGCATTGAAAGGACAACAGTGAAGGCTCCAAAATCCAGACTAGTCACCCTGGGCAGAGCATTCCTGAGGTGAGGCACCATAACTGAAAAGGCCCTTTCCAAGGTTGGCACACACTGTTTGCCACATCTGGAAAGCTTCCTTGCCAGCATTGGATGTGCTATCAAAGGCTCACCACTGGCAAGGAAAGCCTTCATACACTCATGAGCAGGGGAGGAAGAAGCAGAGTCACACTTGCTAGCCATGATACATAAAGGTAAAGGTAAAGGTACCCCTGCCCGTATGGGCCAGTCTTGCCAGACTCTAGGGTTGTGCGCTCATCTCACTCTATAGGCCGGGAGCCAGCGCTGTCCGCAGACACTTCCTGGTCACGTGGCCAGCGTGACAAGCTGCATCTGGCGAGCCAGCGCAGCACACGGAACGCCGTTTACCTTCCCGCTGGTAAGCGGTCCCTATTTATCTACTTGCACCCGGGGGTGCTTTCGAACTGCTAGGTTGGCAGGCGCTGGGACCGAACGACGGGAGCGCACCCCGCCGCGGGGATTCGAACCACCGACCATGCGATCGGCAAGTCCTAGGCGCTGAGGTTTTACCCACAGCGCCACCCGCATCCCAGCCATGATACATACACCAGCACATTTGGCAAGTGCGAGAAGGGACCTACATTTATTTTGTGCTGGTGTAATTGCACTTTGATGTGAGGTGGAATGGTGGTCCAATCCCACCTTTAATGGAAAAACACCAGATATGGGCATAGCACTGAATGCATGGGTGGCAGGGGTGGGTTTGATGTGTGTGTTGATGGCAGGAGGATGGGGTTATATCTTGCAGCCCCGCAGCCCTATCATCCATTGTTTCTTAGCCATGAAAAGATTCATCTCAAACCCCCATATTGAGAAGGAATATGCTCCAATTGGAGCAAGACGTTACAGAGAAGAGGTGGAAACAGTCCATAAGAAAGCGCCTGGATACAGATATGGCCTTCTGTACTACACATTGTCTTAGGTGTGGCGAGATTACATTACAAAAGTCTCAGGTCCCGTGACTTGTTTGATGTTAGTGGTTGCGTGGTGAAGCCTTGAGCTCTAGTTTATGGTGCAGTGACCAGTCTCTTGCATGCTGTAACTCAGGTTAAGATTGCAGCTCAGCACGCTCTGGTTCAGCTTCTGAATTTCTCCCCTGGTGCCTTGAGATGTGTCACAGCATTAGGAAGATCAGTCAATGTTCTGAAAGGGCAGCTTGTAATAGCACTATGATCATATCAAAAACCTTGTGTTAACCAGCCACATAGTAGTGTCACCCTAACCCTCTAAAAAAATCAAATTTCTCTACTCAAATCTCCCATTTCCTTCTGATTCCAGGCAGGTGATGACCACATTTCCAGCAATGTGTATTTGTTTTGTATTACCAGTTGTAACAGCTGCTTTTAAAAATAAGTTGTTGATTCTTCCCATTGGATTTGCTTTTATTTACTTTTAAAAAAACCAACAACATTGTTTGCAAATAGTTTTATTAATGCTATGGGCCATTTGGGGGTTTCATTGTGAAGAGCTGGAACCTGGGAAATAATCATCACTTGAGCTATCAGCTGATTACATTCACATATTAGTTATTCCAGCTAAATTGAATTATGTGTTAAGCACAGGCTTCCCTATTACTGTTTTACACAGCTGAATTAATAAGAAATCAATGGTGTGTGTAGTAGTTAGTGCGTCAGTCTAGAAATGGAAACTGTTAAAGAAAGATGGACAGACAGACAGACCAAAAGTCAAATCAACTTTCAGCCATGAAGTTTACTGGGTGGCCATGGGCCAGCCATTATTTCACAACCTAACTCACTTCACAGAGTTGTTGTACAAATGAAATAAGTGCCACCATGAGCTTCTGAGAGGAAAGATGGAAAAACAAATAATTATAAGATCCCCAATTCCTGTAAACAATGTGTTATTTAGTAATTCATCAAGCCAATGGCTTCCAATGTATGATAGACTGTTCTGGTGAAGTCTTTTCCTGTCTTAGCATACTTTACAGTTTTCAGCAAGAACTGTTTGTACCAGCCTTAAAAAAAAAGGGGGGGGGGGAAGCTGCCCTTGCTCCTAAACTTTTAAGAGCATCCCTGCTGTGCAGAAATTTGCCAGCCTTTCTGACATGTTGACAAAATGACTAGAGAAGCTTAGAATTGGAGAGTTGGAAGGGACCCCAAGGCTCATCTATTCCAACCCCTTGCAATGCAGGAATCATGACTAAATAATCCCTGACAGATGGTCATCAAACATCTGTTTAAAAACCTCCAATAAGAACCCACCACCTCATTCTAGTCTTACCCTGCCTCCTTCAGTGGATTAATAGATCTGTGAGCTGCTATCATTTTAATTACCCACAATACTCTGAAGCTATGTTACATTGGGGGTATTGTGGTTAATTAAAATGGCAGTCCCCACCAGATTCTGCCCACCACCATAAACTGCTGATTCCTGCCACCAGCAGGTAAGGCTGTTCAGAGCTAGTGCAGTCGTACCTTGGAAGTCAAACAGAATCTGTTCCAGAAGTCCGTTCGACTTTCAAAACGTTTGGAAACAAAAGTGTGGCTTCTGATTGGCTGCAGGAAGCTCCTGCAGCCAATCGGAAGCCATGGAAGCCCCATCGGACATTTGACTTCCAAAAATAGTTCGCAAACCGGAACAGTCACTTCCAGGTTTGCAGTGTTTGGGAGCCAAAACGTTTTGAGAACTAAGCTGTTCGAAAACCAAGGTACAACTGTGTAGTAATTTATCTATTACTTAAAAGCGCAGCTGGCTCAGGTCTTTCATACTGGAAAGTCTCATAGATACTAGATGATGTGTGAATGTAAGATGCATGTTTGCTGGCAACATTCATGCTGTGAAAATAGGAACACGCCAATTCAAGCATGTCAGTTCAATATACTTTAAAAGCAAGGATAGCCAAAACCTTGACCAGCTTCAGTTTGTATTGTGTAAATTGGCAATTGCTTTTGAGTTGAGCTTAATCCTATGTGTTGTGCCCTATGCTGAGAGACAGTATGGTGAAATGATGGACCTGTGAGTGGGGAAACCCGTGTTCACACACCTGCTCAGCCATAAGCCACACCAGGTGATCCACAACCAGTTACCATCTCTCAGCCTTAGCTACTTTACAAGATTGTACACATGCTGCCAACAGCAGCTTATTATTGTGTAATTATTATTAAAAGGAAAAATGTAGTGATGTGGTGGATAGACACTGACGTTGGTAACATGTTTTGGCATTTATGACATAATGTCTTGAGTGTGTCTGGGGCCTGATAATGTCACATGACCTTACCTGTCAGCAAAATGTACACAACTAATAGCCATTATATAAGAAGACAAGATACACTATAATAGATAATAACATTTCAAGACAGGAAGTGGAGACGAATGCATTAGCTGGCAGAAGCAAGAAGGGAAGAATCCTAAGCATGTTTCTGACCTTATGATACCATGACTTAAATACTCCAAGAATAGCAATGACTTAATGGCACCAAAGTCAACTAGGATCTGACATAGAGATTGTGAGCTGACAGTGCTGAGACAGAAATACCTTCCTCCCTGTCAAGTTTTTTTGCCTAGCTGTTAAAACTCTGCAGGCCTGATAATAATAGGCTTCAGAAACGAATGTGCTATATCAAAAACCACTGAATTAGGGAAAGACTTAAGAGAATAAATATACATAAAGTTGGAACCTGCAACAAACATTTCTTTTATTACATCTATATCCTCCCCTTCCATTGTGGAACCCAAGGTGGCACAGATGTGGGTCCCAGGTGGTCACCGACCAGGCTAGTTTTAGCTTCAGCAAGTTGGTGGCCTCATGTGTCTCCTGACCATCTCCTGTAAAACGTTGCAGTGTGGTATTCCTGCTCAGGGTTCCAGCCTGCCAGCCATGCTTTCTGCCAGTACCTATATTCTATTCCACTCACCACTTCCCTATGTTTTCATTTTCTCCCCCCTGCTGTCAGCGTTGCATTGCCACTGAATATGGTCACTCCTCATTGGGCTGTTTTGGGGTCTGCCCTGAGGTTCTTTTTTAAAGTTGTTTTTATACTAAAGCAAACCCTGAGGTTCCTTCAAGCATTCCCTCTTTGGCCTGGATGGTGCCATTTTGGCTATCTAAGGATCCAGCCGCCAAGGAACTTGCTAAAGAGATGGAATGATGATTCTAATTTGAAAGCCAATGTGGTTAATAGGGGCTGGAATGTTGGGCATAGTCCATAAAGTACTGGAGTTGAATCGTCACTCATACTGAGTAATCTTAGGCCAGACACATTCCTTCAATCCAACCTCTCCCATTGGGCTTTTGTGAAAATAAGAAAGGTAGGTGCCGTATCACCTAGACTCCTTGAAAGAATGTTTTTTTTTTTTATTAAAAAATGGCAGCTATAGTTTCATATATCAAGGCAGTAATGATTCTATGGTGCTCACAAACTGCTTATTTTTCACAAAGGGATTTATATGCTGGATTGCTATGACAAAACTTTAACAAGAAGTTTTTTTCATGAGGGAATTTATACTGGCATACAGTTGCATTGTACACAGCCTTCCAGTTAACTGCTGGCTCACTCATCTACACTAAGTACTGTTCTTTCTGAGAGAGTAACATGTCACACCCCACTGCACGAGCCAAATGGTGACAGATAGGAAGCATGACAGCAGATGTGCTGATGGGGTGGTAGAGTTTTTTCAACTAGCATGCCTGCCTGATATAATTCATATGTACTGTCAGGTGAGCCCTGTGTAGAGGTTTGAAAGCTGCTTACCTTTCATGGCAATGGGCATCTGGATCTTCCTCCTTTCCCAGAAGCCATTCCCCAACTCAGCTCAACAGGAGATGGGTTTGCAGCATCCCTCTAGACACAGACCATTTCCCCTGTGGTTTGATAGGTGGGGTTTCCTCTTTTCCTTTACCCATCCTCTCTCTTCTAAAAGAAGTCTTTCCAGTTGGAGGATGTTTTGGTATGACCACAACTTCTGCTTTCATCATGTCCCTTCTGATGCCTTTCTTAAACTAATATCCTCCAGATGTTTTGGATTCCCAACTCCCATCAGCCGTAGCCAGTATGTCTGGTGGTCAGGGATAATGGAAATGGTAGTCCCAAACATTTGGGAGGGCACCAGGCTGGAGAAGACTGATATACAATTTCTGAATCTTCTTATTGTCACTCCAGCAAGGGTCTACTTCCCTTCACTCAGCTCAGTAATTACAGCTGGTGCTTCTTTCCCTGCTGTTTCCTTGTTGTGGGTACTGCATGCCCACAGTTGCTTTTTCTCAGACCCTGCCTGCACTTATGCTTATCATTATGTCTTAAGAGATGCTAATCTGAAATGGTAGATGGGATGTGGATCTATAAAGCCTAGGTTAAAATTCCCGTTCTGTAACAAATATTTAAGATCCCAGTCCCTGCCTCAGTAGCCTATTATAAACCAAAAGTAATAATCATTGGGTTAATGAATGAATGAATATAGTGTGACGGCTGTCAGCTTTGGTGGTGGTGGTGGGGAGTGAATTAACATTTTTTCTGGCCTTCCTGTGGTTATCAGATTTTTAAAAACGCAGTGTTGATAAACAATCTCATCCTTGGTCTCCCCCCCCCCCCCCATTTTTTGTATGCTGGTTAAGAGAAAAGTTAGCCTGTTTTTGAGCGAAAAGAGATTAAAACTTTATAAAGATAAAACTTAGGAAACATGATGGAACAAATAACCTGAGGGATGTTAGACTTTTTTGCTCTGCAGAGCCAGTGTGGTGTAGTGGTTAAGAGCGGTAGTCTCGTAATCTGGGAAACCGGGTTCGTGTCTCCGCTCCTCCACATGCAGCTGCTGGGTGACCTTGGGCCAGTCACACTTCTTTGAAGTCTCTCAGCCCCACTCACCTCACAGAGTGTTTGTTGTGGGGGAGGAAGGAAAAGGAGAATGTTAGCCGCTTTGAGACTCCTGAAGGGGAGTGAAAGGCGGGATATCAAATCCAAACTCCTCCTCCTCCTCCTCCTCCTCTTCTTCTTCTTCTTCTTCTTCTTCTTCTTCTTCTTCTTCTTCTTCATCTCATATCTGAGACTGATTCACACACCACTGTTAAGTGTATGATAAACCAGTTCCTATGTATTATAGAAAACCCAAAGATGTAAATACCAGTATAAAAGCACATTGCTTGTTTGCATGTTCCATCTCCAGTTGGAGGCAGTCGACGGGGAGCATAAGTGGTTGTTTCTTCAGCTTGTAAACACCTTGTGTATAGTAATATAGAAAGCTGGTATACAAATTAAAAGTGAAATGAAATGAGAGCGCTGTTGTGCTTACTCAGCTTTAGGCTTCCCAGAGCCAAGTAGCTACCCTGGGCTCCTTTGGTAGGAAGGGTGGGATATAAATTTAATGAATGAATATTTTGGTTGGTCACTGTGAGAACAGGATGGTAGACTCAGTGCATCATTGGCCTGATCCAGCAGGCTCTTTAAATTTGTTTGACAACTATTTCTTCAAGGAAACCAGTGCCTTTTCTGGCCATGGGTATCTAGAGGTAGTCAGGACTGCTTGCAGGAAGTACTTCTTTACATAGGTCATTGTTAAAATTATGGAATTTACTCCCACAAAATGCCACGATAGCCGCCAACTTTGACGGTTTTAGAAAGGGCTTAGCCAAATTCATGGAGGATAAGGCTACCAGTCATGATAGTTGTGTACTGCCTCTACCAATGCCAGTTGACAGGAATCCTAAGTGGGAAGAGCATCTGATGCTTCTGGTTTCCCATATGCCTCTAGCTGGCAACTGCAGGAACAAAAGTCAGTCATTTTAATTGTTTTGTACTGCTTTTAATATTTTTATATTGCTGCACACTGCTCTGATATTTTATGAGAGGGTGGCGGTATATGAATATAAACAAACAGGATTCTCTGCCAGATGGGCCTTTGGTCTCTTCTTATGTTCATGTTAGAATACAAGGTTTCATATATGGAAAAAACAGATTGATGTTTTAGGTCAGGCTTGGGGAACTTTTGGGACTCCAGCCCTCATCAGCCTTGGCGCCTGCATAACCCATAGTCAGAGATGGTAAGAATTTTTATTCCTGCAACATCTGCAGAGCCACAAGTTCCCCGCTCCTATTTCAGGTACTTTAAATGCCAGAATCGCGAGGGAAGAGCAAGAGAACCCAGTTAGCAGCCTGTGCCAATACAGATCAGCGCCACAGGTGTGTCCCGTCCCGTCCCGTCACCCCCCCCCCCCCCGCCCGGTTACTGGTGATCTCACTTTTAGCACTAAATTGCCCTGCTTTTATCAGTGAGATAACGCGGAGAGCTTTCTCTCCGGCGGGAGGCATGCGGCCAAGCGCACGAGGCGCTGATGCTGTAACAGCCATCATTTTGCAAAGATTACGCACGGCGAGGTTGAATCATTGGACCCGCGAGGGAGGCAGGATCCCGGGCGGAACGAAGTCGCCTTCCTCCCACCGCGGACACCCGGCTCGGCCTGCCTCCGTCTTCCCTGCCGCTCCCTTCACCCCCTGCCCGGCGGCCTCCCCTTTTCTCTCCCGGAGCTGTGCTGCTCGCTTCTGACTCGGCGGCGGGTGGGACGTTCTGCTCTCCTCCTCCTCCTCCTTCCGGGTGGCGGCGCCCGGCTCCATTCCATTCTCTGACCACAGGAGCGAACGAGAGCGCCTGTGGCGGGCTTTGTCCCTAGACGCTCTCCGTACTACCGAGGCTCCCGGCTTCGCTCCTCTCGGAGCCTCTTTTCAAGATGGCGGCCGCACGGCTGGCTCTGCGCGGCCGAGTCTCCCTGCAGCCGGGTCGCCAGTGACGCCCTCCTGCTGCCTCCGCCGGTGCAGCTGACCCGGCTCCGCGCCCCACTTCTCTCGCCTGCAGAAGGCCTCCCGCCGCCGCCGCCGCAGCTATGCCATCCTTGGTGCACGCATGAGAGAGGCTACCTCCGCCGCCGCCGCCATCGCCGCCCGAGCCATGGAGGAGCCGGAGCCGGAGTGCAGCGAGGCTGCCAAAAAGTAACGCATTGGTGGGGACCGGGGGTGAGAGGGAATAGTTTCGTTCGCTTCTCCTCTTTCCCCCTGCTGTTTAAATTGCAGCAGCCACAAGGTCGCCTCTTTGCACAGCAGGAGACTCTTGCATCCCCTTCACAATAGGCTCCGGTCTGCAAGCTTCCGCTTGCCCGGCTGTTCCTGCAAGGGAGCTTTTCTCTGGATGCTGCCTTGGCTGGGAAAGGGGTGGGAGTGGATGTCCGTCTGTCTGATGTTCAGCTTCGCCGGTGACCTGCTTCGTTGATTTTAGTAGCATTGCCTGTGGGGTAAAGCTGGGTTCTGCAGTTTTACAGTCTCGGGGACACCCCACTCCTGGGTAAGGGAATTAATGGTTAAAACAAGCAAACAAACCGAGGGACAAAACTAGGAGTTGACAGTTGTGTGTGTTTATTTGGACTTCAGTTGATTTTGGTGCAAGGGAGCATCTTGAAAAAGTGTTGTGTTCTGGATTTGGGAACCATTATTAAAATGTATAGATCGATCCAGATGCAAGGTGACCTGCATTATTATTTTTCTAGCCCAAGAAGATCCTTTTGAACCCCCTTTCCCCATGTAAATGAAAAACAAAAGTGTACATGTAGCAGCCTAATCTTAGATATTCTTACTCGAGAGAAATCCCACTGGGCTAAGTGGGGCATGTTCTGAAGTAAAGGTGCAGAGGAGTGCAATGAAAATTATTCAGAGTGAAACTAGTGCAGCCTCTGCTGTTTTCAGCCTTTTTTCAGGAGAAAGTTGAGAAGGCAATAATTTTCTGATGGTTGCTTTATCTGTTGATGCAATAGTGGAGACAGCACCAGTATGTCAGAGCCTCATTTTTAAAAACTTTGCTTTAACTATGTGATCATTACAGTATAGATTGCGTGAAGGCTGCTTAGTTGAATTCTGCAGTTCCAAAGTGCCTCTGAGAAGAGGTAGATTAACTAACAGTGCAGTCCTAAGCATTTCTGCTCACACTGTAAATTCAGTGGCGCTTGCTCTCATGTTAGTGGGGTTAGGATAGCATTTTAAATTGGGGTTGTGGAAAAGGGGACAAATACTCTCTTCATATTAGTTTGTATATTAATTCAGTTTATTGGTTCCTTTTCTGTTATTTGATCAGAGTGTTAAAAAAAAAAAGACAAAGATCTTGTGGGCTTTCACATAAATGCTGAAATGCTATGATGCCAACTTTTTCTGCTCTTGCCAATGATGCAGCAAATAGGATATTCATCAAACTCTTTGCAAAAGTTGTTAACATACAGACTCAAGTTCCTTCCTGCTTTCTGAATGTGCCCACATTCATATTTCCTTACATCCACGTATTTAACTAATACTTTTGGCCAGACAATGTGAGATTACATGTAATTGTCCCATTCCTCATACTATTTGTTCATAAGTTAGTTTAATGAAAATTCCACTGAACACTACGACAATAGAATAAATTTTGTATACAGTCAGAGCACTGCAGTGTATTTTCAGGTCTGAATAACTTGAAACCTATTGCTAATTTCAAATGGGTGAAGGAAAATGCAAAAAGCAATACTCTATTCTGCCTGCCTTGAACAGTGAGACCTGAATAAAAATTGGAAGAGAGTTCTACCTTTCAGTTTTCAAGGCCAGCTTGGCACCTACCTCTGTTTTGAAATGCAGCGTGTGGTGGTGGGAGGAGACTAGATGGTAATGCAGCTTCCAAGGTGAGGCTTCTCAGTCATTGTGCTTGACTAGTTTATTCCACAGGAAATAAGTCTACCCTCAAGGACTCAGGACATAGTATGTTTTTATATTGTGTTAACCTGTGAACAACCATATGAGATAGATAAAGCTGAAAGATAGTGATTTGCTCTAGGCCACCCAGTGAACATTACTGGCTGAATAAGGAAATGAACCTATATCTGCAACATCCAACCCTAGGATTAATTCTGCCTCCTGAAATTTAAAAGAGGGATGTGACACTGGCAGCATAACTCTATATACATGGACAATCAAGCTACAGTAGCACTGGGACATGTGGGGGTGATTGTTTGAAATATCTATTATTTTTCATGTGCTGAGTCGGCATATAATTGCAAACTTCACATGATCACTGCATTTGCATCTCAGGGCTGGAAACCATACTTGTGTTAGTAGGAATTGACCTTTAGAGATGGGAATGAAAATAACTTCATGAATCTGATGTCTTCAGGTTTCCAGCTGACTGTCAAGCTACTGCATAACTCATAGTAATTCCCAAGCAATTAGTTCTCTTCCTTAGATAACATCCTGTTGATTCATTTTACTTCTCACCAGCAGGCATTCAGGAAATGCCTCCTTTGAAAAATCCAGCGGTGTATAGTCAGTGCAAAATGGATCATAAATGAAGAAGCTCAATTTTAGCAACTGGAGGGAAAAGCTTGGCGGGTACACATTTACTAGATCCATCTTTTAATGATGATGAAAGTCACCTTTGTCAAGTGTTGAAAAGGAAGTTTTAATTGCAATCATGACACTGATGGCGAAGATTCTGGTGCTGATTGGCTGAGCTGGTGTGAACATTCCAACTGCTTAGGGAATAATTGTGTTAAGAGTATTTGCAGCTCTGCTTCTGTGAAGGAAGGGGAAATTGTCAGGTTTTTTGGAATTAAAACTTCCCACAAGCACTAGGGGACTATACTGTTTTTGTGATGATAACTGAGGCTTGAGTAGGGTGGTCTCGGGATGAAAGGAAGAAAATATGTGGATGGGACAGAGGCAAAGTAACTGAAGGAAGGGACAGAGAAGGCACAAGGGACTGAAAAATAAGCATCTGAGGAAAAGTTGTAGGTGAAGAAGAATTAATCATTTTTGGGGTTGGGAGAGGAGTACAAAGAAGACATTCAGACAAGGAGGGGTTCTGGGAAGCTGTATGCTAGAAAAGAGAAAGGAGACAAGTTCTAGGGAATCTGGCCCAGAATAAAACATTAGCTAAAGAAAATGAGCTGGGGGGAGACGAAAGGATAAGTGTGGCTTCTGTAGCATTGCTATCTGGCAATCCTAAGGGGTCAAGAGTAAGCTCCAAAAGCTGGAAATAGGAGACAGTTTTTGCATGCTTATATAAACTAAGCAGCATAGCCCATGGATGCAGGCTTTTAGGGAGCCTTTGATGTTGGACAGCAGCTAGTTTGAATGCCTTGTAACATCTTTGGGGCGAAAGTGTCTTGTTCTTAGAGATTTCCAGCGAGGTAGCTACGTTAGTCTGTTGCAGCAGAAACAGGAGAGACTTCTGGCCATGTAAAGACTAGCAGATTTATTATGGCAAAAGCTTTCATCAGCTTGTTCATCAGATTTATTTATTTTTATTTAGCAGATTTGCAGTTCACTTTTCAAGACAATTCTTTATAAAGCAGCTTGCAAAATGCACACAGAATATAATTCAAAACCATTTAAAGCATATCAGCTGACAGAACAGAAGTGAACTGACTTCATGAAAGCTTTTGCCATTTAAGATGCTGCAAGATTCTCTGTTTTTGTTCTCAGAAGGACTTTGGATTTGTGTGTTCATTTTCAAGTTTTCCTGTGCTAATCTGCATGTTGCATTGCCATAGTATTATACAAGCTAAACTATTGACCAGCATAACAGGCAATTTAATACAGTGGTACCTCGCAAGACGGAAAATTCGCAAAACGAAAGGGTTTTGGGTTTTTTGAGTTGCTTCGCAAGACGATTTTCCCTACGGGCTTGCTTCGCAAGACGGAAACGTCTTGCAAGTTTGTTTCCTTTTTCTTAAAACCGTTAATACAGTTGCGACTTGACTTCGAGGAGCAACTCATAGCACGCGGTGTGGTAGCCTTTTTTGAGGTTTTTGAAAACTTTTGTGATTTTTGAAGCTTTTCCGACACCGTGCTTCGCAAGACGAAAAAAACCGCAAGACGAAAAAACTCGTGGAACGAATTAATTTTGTCTTGCGAGGCACCACTGTATGTGGTCCATGGTTCTGAGGCCTTTGAATCATAATAATAGGTTTGCATTTGAAAGTGTGGCAACAAACCCTATGTCTGCATGAACGTGTAGCACAATTTCTTATAAATGCAGATGACTCTCAGAAGGTAAAGTTCTAAATGGTGTTAAGGCAATGGTCCTGCAGCTTGTTTCCAACAGTAACAAGCCAGCTGCTTCCAGAAAGCCCACAGGCAGGGTGTGAAGGCAATACCACCCTCTCATCCCGATACTCCCTCTACCCCAACAACTGAAATTCAGTCACATACTATCTGAACATGGATGTTGCACTTAATTTTCACAGCTAATAGCCATTGATAGGCCTAAGTTAATGACATCATATGTTATGGTCGTGAATTCCCTAAGTTAATTATGTGTTGTTGTGTGAAGAAGCACTTTCTTTTGTCTAACCTCCCTGAAACTACTGATAATTTTCATTGGGTGATCCCAGGTTCCAGCATTTCGTGTAACAGAACCATGAAAAGCTTGCATAGCAAAGTTTACTTTTGTGGCTGCCCCCCCCCCCCCATTAGCAGAGCTGGCTGGCATAAGAGATCAAGGTGCTGTTGTCTAGCAGAAAGTAGAATCAGTAGTTGGTGGATGCTTTTGCAAATAATATGTATAATCCTGAGATGCTTCTTTTATAGTTCCTGGGTGGTTTAATTCCTGAGTCTAATAAATCAAGTGAAACTCATAATTGTTGTGTGTCTAAAATTAAGTGCATGTACATGCACACATGCAATAGAAGCATCTTCTGTACATAACACATAATCCATATTGTTTACCTGGTTATTGTTGATTGGTGTGTGCGATGTTGGCACAAGCAGAGGGGTAGAATGGTGTGCCTGCATTATATTTACAAGTTAAATGGTTGATCAACAAAAATGGAGGGTGCTTTGTTTGGGTGTACAGTGTTCTGCAACATGGATGAAGTGGACCCATGAATTTCCTGTTTAAAATTCATTCTAGTAATGTGGATCTTGTTTATTCATAATCTGCATAATTTTGACATGAGTGTTGGTGTGGTCATAATTGATTTTCAGCAAATGAAAGCAAATCCTTAAATTCATTTTTAGGTTTTTTAGTTCATATTAAGGGGGGTTTCTCAAAACAGTTGAGGTTGTAATCTATTCTGTAGCTGCACACTGTAATTCACTTGCATGTCTGCTGTAAATATGGATTTGTCATCATTTTAAGTATGCAAGTTAAAATCATCTTGGGCCTGCCTGCATGTGTGTAGGCCTTGACGATGCATGGATACATCATCTAGGACTGGTATGAGGGCCAGACTGCAATGGCAGCTTCACCTGGCAGTATATTGTGAGTGAAACTGCTGCCGCTCCTGAGTCCCTCTGCCTCCAGCACCCAGTGCACCAAGGAAGAAACAAGGTGCAGCCAGATGCTGGTGGTAGAGGGACTCAGGAGTGGCAGCAGTTCCACTCACAATATACTGCCAGGTGAAACCGCCATCTCGCTCTGGCTCTCATACTGCTGAAGGAGGAACAAGCTATATCAGCCAGAACCACTGTAGCTTGTTCCTCTCTTGGCTGCCTGCGCAGGCCTGTGGATCCTTTAAACCTCTCCGTTGAGGGGCACGCAACTGTCCACCCCTTAGCATAGAAGTCTAACGGAGCCCCCACCCTACCTCTGTTAATAAAGATGAGGGACATTTAATTCAGTTTGCACTAGACTATTGGAAAACACATTACTAATTTATTTTCCAGATTTACACCAGACTAGCCTCTTTCTTGACCACCCAGAAATATACTTGTGTGCTTTGTGAGTTGTGAAACATTTTGATAGCATGTTCATTCCAACACAAGAAGTTTTCAGAATTGTATCCATATTGTTATGTGGGTGTAATTCTGAAGTGCTGATGTGAAAGTGTTTGCTGTATAATTTATGAAACAGGTTTTAGTGCTGGATAAATGTGTTTATAGGGCTGGAGAGAAAGAACAAAGCTGATTATGTAAATAAGATACCAGTTTGGGAATTTAATAACTTGTCAGACTAAAAAGTTGTTGTTGATGCATACAGTTATATACATCGAGTTATTCCAACTCTACAATTCTGTGATTCTATGTCCCATGTCAAAAGTTGGCAGATGCTATGCTGAGACATTTGGTTATGAGCTTTTTACTTTCAGTGTTTAACCCCTTTCATTTCAATGCTGACATCTGTTCTAACCCTCAAGGTTTTATTAGGGGCACTAGGTTACATTGGTGGGGAGCCAGTTTTGAGCTAGTATTAGTAGCTAATCCAAAAATTGTAGTGCTTGAAACAGTCTAGGCAAACCCACCTTCAACCCTTTTCTGCTTCAGAAGCTTGTCGGTTTGGCTCTGCTGCTTGACAGTCAAACCTTCTCCAGAATGTTCCCAGGCCACTTCTGCAACTTCAAGGTTTGCAGTCTTCTCCTATCATACTCACCAGAGGATGGTGCTACATAGCAATGGTGAGTGTACTGAGCAAAAATGAGGATGCTAGTCCCTTTGAGCCTACCCATGTGCTGATGCCATCCTCCAGCTTCTTCCACCATCACAAATATGACAGGCTGTGACCAGAGAAACTCTCCAAGGAAAAGCATGTTATTAGTGATGTAGAATACCATGAAGCAGAACATAATTTCTATGAGTGCTTACATAACTGATTTCCCCAGTCAACTGATAGTATAGCGATGGTACTGGTCTTTCTTAAAAATTGTGCATTTGATGCATATGATACTTCAGTTTCACCATACTCAATACTGTATAAGCATTTTAGTAAGGTATTATATTTTCATATTCTGATTTTTCAGTTGCCTAGAAGATTGTTTTTCAATATCCAGTTACTTGGGAAAGAAGGTCTTTATGCAATCTGCATTGGTCTTTCTTATGGCATTTGAACTGGAAATCAGGAAATCAGCTTAACTTGCACCTGGCCCTCTTTATCCGCCTTTCCTTCTGTAGCATGCACCCTGTGGGGAATGGCAAAGCTGCAAATGGAGCAGATTAGAGTTGTAATGTGGCTTCTGCACTACCAGTGCTGGCTGAATTTCCGAGTGCCCAGAGGTTCCTATTCTATTTGTTATAAGGCATTGAATAGCCAGACTCTAATCTATTGAGGAATTGTTCTGAAAATTTCGCTTTTGTAATTAATTTGAAATTACCATACTTCTCATGTTTGTTAATTTGGAACATGCATGATTTTACAGTGCATGGTCTGTGAAAATGATTCAGGTGTTCTGCTGTTGCAGCAGTCATAGCAAAAAGAATTACCGTATTTTTTGCACCATAACACTCACTTTTTTCCTCCTAAAAAGTAAGAGGAAATGTCTGTGCGTGTTATGGAGGGAATGCCTATGGGTGGCATGCCTACGGATTTTCCTCCTCTAAAAACTATGTGCGTGTTATGGTTGAGTGCGTGTTATAGAGCGAAAAATACGGTAGTTTGAACTGCGTGGCTTAATTAGTGCTTTCAAGGCTGCCTGTATTGTTATGCAACCCAGTAGTATTGGCCTTTGTGGAATGTAGACTATGCTGTGGTGGCAAAACAACATCTCTATGTTAAAGAAAAATATTTGGGTGCATGTCAATAGAATTTCATCCTTAGTAGCAAAATGGTTAGCTTTAACTATAGTTGAGGGCATGTCTACATATTGCTCTATTGAATTGCATAGAACTTTAAAAATATATGTTTCTGATTTTGGTGAGGTAATGAATTGGATTCTGGGTAAGTCAGTTGCACTTAGGACCCATTGAAATAACCGTGAAAAGTTTGTAATGAAAAACTACATTCATATCTGCACTTACCTGGAATCAAATTTCATTGAACTGTGTGGAAATTACTTTTGAGTAGACGTGCATTGAATTTTACTGTTTGTGAAGACTTATTGGTTTCAGTGGGAGCTAAGTTCAACTGACTGACTTCGGATCCAAGTTCCAAGCCAGTGTATCTTAAACTGAAATAGTCCAATAAATTGTGAATAAACATTGGTGTTTTCTGTTCAGAAATTGTCATGCTGCCTTCCTAGAGGAAGACATTGTAAATATAGATAAGCATCACTGGTAAGTGTTTGGTAAGAAATGCAGTCTTCTAAGCTAAAGGAAGAAGAATTAATTATAGAAAGTGCAAGGATTTATTTATTCTTTCATTTTAGATATTTATAGGCTATACATAACAAAAGTTCTCAGGATATTATAGCCTGGCTTAGTACTCTCTCACAATACATTTTGTTTTTGTTTTTTTAGGCAGAGTAAAGGCATAAGGCAGCAATGGCACCACTCGGTGGATATGCCTTTGCTTGAAATAATCCTGCATAAAAGAACTCAGAAATTAGCACAACACAAAGGATGGTTGGTAATTTTCTATGATTGATAAATTTTCAGTTTTCATGTGGAAAAATAATGTATTTTTTGCTAAGCAGAAAAAGTGTTGTAAAGTGACTGACTTGGTTAAGACTTAAAGCAAAAAAATGTGAGCAGAGGAGGGTAACCAAGATGATGAAGCAATGGCTTGGAAACCAAGCCTTATGAGGAATGGTTGAGAGAGCTTGGTATGTTTAGCCTGGAAAAGAGGAGACTGAGGGGAGATAAGAGCCATTTTCAGGTATCTAAAGAGCTGTCACATGAATGATGGAGCAAGCTTGTTTTTCTCCTGCTCTGGATTATAGGACCCAAACCAATAGCTTCGAGTTACAAGAAAGGAGATTTTGACTAAACATACAGAAAAACTTTCTGACAGTAAGAGCTGTTTGACAGTGGAACAGACTCCCTTGGGAGGTTGTGGGCTGTCCTTCCTTGGAGGTTTTTAAGCAGAGGTTGGACAGCCATTTGTCATGGATTCTTAGTTGAGTTTCCTGCGTTGGACTAGGAGTTGGATTAGGTGACGCTCAGGGTGTCTTCCAACCCTACAATTATATGATTCAAACCACAGTACATCTTAACTCAGAAATGGCAACCACAGTTCAGATATCGTTTCCAATTCTGTAAGTAGGCAATCATTGGATTGTGCAAACTAGTGTTGTTGTTCAGGTGTAATAGCAAATGTGAAACTGGGAAGATAAGGAGGGCACAGGGAAATTGGGGAGTTTAACAGCACTCATTCATGTAATGACAAGACATTATTTGGTGTTGCATCTGAACTGAGTCACTTTGTAAGCCCTTTGCCATATGAACAAAGAAATGTCAATTGCCTCTAGTTAGAGGGCCTGTATTTTCAAACTATTAGTACTGAGAAAATAGATGCATTTTATTCTGTTGTAATTATTTATCAGCGTTAAAACTGAGCTATCCACCCAGTCTTCATGCAAAATATAAAACTATTCAGATTTCAGCTAAATGGAGTATCTTGTAGGTCTGGAACAGTGAACAGAAATACTCTACACTTCAATATTTTATTGCAGGTCCCACTCGTTAATACAGTTGTACCTCGGCTCCTGAATGCCTTGGGAGTCAGAATGTTCCGGATCCCAAACGATCGAAAACCGGAAGTGAGTGTTCTGGTTTTCGAATGTTCCTTTGGAAGCTGAAAGTCCGACAGGGCTTCCGCAGCTTCCGTTTGGCTGCAGGAGCTTCAATCAGAAGCTGTGCTTTGGTTTTTGAATGTTTTGGAAGTCGAAAGGGCTACTGGAACGGATTCTGTTCGACCTCTGAGGCACAACTGTACAATAGTTTTAGAGTCTAAGCTAAAGGAGGCAGTGTGAATGGAATAAAAAAACTGTGCTATAGGTAATTCGGTAAGTGCATAGGGAGTCTGGATTTGAGAAGCTAATATGTCATGAACAATCTGCATAGTGATTAGTTTACAGTTTTGGAATGTTTGTAGAAAGTTGGAAAAAAATACAAAAACATTATGAAAAAGAAAAGTGTTGTTCCTGTGTAGAACTATTTCCCTACCTTACATAGAATGTGGGTCATTGTTGGATGGGCAATAAAAGTTCAGAATATCTAAATTTGGGGAAACATGGGTATGCTACAGAGGGGCACAAATACCAGATCACCACTGTCAGCTTTTAGGCAGTGTCATCAAGAGGCTTAGGAGGTAAAAGTACTTAGATGCAGCCATTAGTTCTGCTACTGCTCTTGCCATTAATGGTTAATGCCATTAACATTAGGAGAGCCAGTGTGGTGTAGTGGTTAAGAGCGTTAGTCTCGTAATCTGGGGAACCGGGTTTGCGTCTCCGCTCCTCCACATGCAGCTGCTGGGAGACCTTGGGCCAGTCACACTTCTCTGAAGTCTCTCAGCCCCACTCACCTCACAGAGTGTTTGTTGTGGGGGAGGAAGGGAAAGGAGAATGTTAGCCGCTTTGAGACTCCTTAAAGGGAGTGAAAGGCGGGATATCAAATCCAAACTCCTCCTCCTCCTCCTCCTCTTCTTCTTCTTCTTCTTCTTCTTCTTCTTCTTCTTCTGGTGTTAACACTCCTATTTTTGAGGTTTTGTGGATAACTAGTTGATACAGTCTTTTGAGCAGGATTTGCAGTTATAAATTACCGTATTTTTTTGTCTATAAGATGCCCCCCTATTTGGGGGGACTCAGATTTAAGAAAAGGGGTAGATATATCCGTGTATAAGACACCCCCCCTAGTTTTTGACATTTTGGGGGGGTGGGAACCTAGTCTTATACACAGAAAAATGCGGTAGTTGGTCAATCATTGTTCATGCATCCTGTAAGATTAATGGTATAAAAATTGGGGATGGTGACATGGATGCACGTCTCTTGGTTTTTCTTTTAGATAGAATTTTAAAAGCCCTTACTAGTTTTTCCATCAATTTCAAGTTAGGTTGTCTCAGAATATTAAATCTTTTGTATGTCGTACTAAAGTTTGATACTCGAATATGGAGAAACAAATATATTTTTCAGTTTCTGCTCTTGCCAGTTACAGAGAACCAAGAGTTCTGATTACATTCTTCTGTTGTGAGAACACGAAGAGCTGCCAGAAATGCTAAAGGATTTTATTTGACTAGCTGGTGATCTCAGAACCACAGAAGGCTGCTAAGTACTTAAGTATTTTACAAATTCTGCTCATGTCACAAACTAGAGCAAATTTCTTTTTCCTCCAACTCCCCCCCCCCCCCGGAGAAAGTATATATTTTTACTGGCTTTACTTCTGCTGCAGGTCATTAATGACTACTGTACTCCCAGTATATCTAATATCCTTTTTCCATCTGTCAGTTTTGAGGGTTTCAAAACATGGTGCTGCTTTACTTATGCAGTATCCTCCCCTTTATAAGCAAGGCAGGTGCTGACATAGGCATCATTTTGGTTTTCTCTGCTTACCTAGGCATTTTAAGTGTCCTAGCTTATTATTTTAGCAGCCTCTGCTTGTTTTGATGACTTGATTCTATATGTTTTTATATTGGTTGGTTTGTGTTGTACGTACCTGGCCTTGATGGTGCAATATAAATGTTTAAATACGTAGTTCCATTTGACCAACAATTTCACATGTTAGTTCTTTAATCTTTAATAGCTACTGTCTAGATATGGTGATATAATACTTAATTTGTTGATGAGCCCTAGAGCTTCACATCTGTTTGACTGATAACATCTGCTCAATCATGGGTATCTTTCCTATTCCTTTGCAGTGAAGTGGGATGCAAATAATTATTTCACTTTCTCTGCAGTTTTTCTGTCATTCTTGAATTGCATTTATCATCTAACAGTCCAGTTGCTTACTGAAAGCTCTTGTTTCTGACGTATTTAAACAAGTGTTGTTGAGTTGGTTGTAACGTTTAAGCAATAATTTCCTCAAAATATCTCCCATTTGGGCATTCACATCTCCATCACTGACTGCTCATCCTATAAATGATTCTTTAAAGAAGGCTATGGGAGAGGAAGAGACTAGCTACATGGTGCTATACATAGGAACTATTTTCAAGTTTTCACAGTTGTTATGCTTAAGAATCAGAATTATGCAATAGTAGGGAGTCAGTCTTACCGTTTTGGTCCTTAACTTTGGTAATCACCTGATTCCTTTTTTTGGACCTGCTATGGGGAACAGCCAGAATCTGAAATGAAATAAATTTGCTAATTCTCATTTTGTACTCTAGTTCCTTTAGAACTGTCACCTTTATTTTCTAAGTTGTAAATATATTTCACACAAATAAACATTCTTATCTCTTCTGAGTTGATTTCATCGTGACAGAGGAGAGGATTATTCTTCCTTCATTAGCCTGACAGATGGTGACATTACAAGTCAGTTCATTTTTTCTCAGACATAAAATAAGCACTTGCTCTTTTATCCAATTCTCTTGGCTTAGACTGAGTGATATTTTAAATGTCAGCAGTGGTATTTTGCAGAGATTATCAATTACGTGCTGGTGATATTACAATAACTTCTTAAGATTTTTGTACTAAATTAATTACCTCATAAAATCTAATAAACCGTTAATGCTGATCTCTGGCTTTTCTTGGTCTAGAATACTCTTTTTAATTGGAAACATTACAGAGTAAGGTTAGCTTTACCAAAGATAACTAGGAGCAGACTGAATGGAGTGACAGATGAACCACTGTATCTGTAGTAATAATGATAATAATAATTTATTATTTATACTCTGCCCATCTGGTTGGGTTTCCCCAGCCACTCTGGCCGACTCCCAACAGAATATTAAAAACACCAAACGCTAAAAACTTCCCTAAACAGGGATGCCTTCAGATGTCTTCTAAAAGTCAGATAGCTGTTTACTTCCTTGACATCTGATGGGAGGCCATTCCACTGGGCAGGTGCCACTACCGAGAAAGCCTTCTGCCTGGTTCCCTGTAACTTGGCTTCTTGCAGTGAGGGAACCGCTAGAAGGCCCTCAGAGCTGGACCTCAGTGTCCGGGCAGAACGACAGTGGAGATGCTCCTTCAGGTATACTGGGCCGAGGCCGTTTAGGGCTTTAGAGGTTAGCACCAGCATTTTGAATTGTGCTCGGAAACGTACCAGGAGCCAATGTAGGTATTTCAGGACCGGTGTTATGTGGTCACCAGTTTAGCTGCTGCATTCTGGATTAGTTGTAGTTTCCAGGTCACCTTCAAAGGTAGCCCCACGTAGTGTAACCCTTCTGCTTGCCCCAACCCGAGTGAAGGGTAATGAGGGCCATGGCCATGAAAAAGATGTTTTTCACTGTTCTAGCTCCATGCCCATCATCATTACATAGACCAACTCAGGATCCAGCAGATCTTGACTGACCTAGCTCTACTTCCCAAAATGCCTCGTTTTGGGGGTTTTCTGCCAAGCTCTGCCTACCCATGCTTTTCGCGGATGCATTGTGGACCTCTGTAGCAGTGGAGGCCTCCTGCCAACAGAACCCAGTGGAGCTCAGTCCAGCCAGGTGGTTGGACATCTCCACCCCCTTCAGCTGAGCAAATTAGGGGTTATGATTGCCTTACTCCATTGGTAGGATGCATTGTAGTATACCCCAGATGGTATTATAAAAGACAACATTTTTTGCATGTATTTCTCCTTCTAAACAAAAGCACAAGTGTAAGGATTTTTTCCCACTTCTTCGAATTATGCCTCTGACATCTAGTTATCTATCTTGGGGGGGGGGGAGGGAGTTGCACCTTTATTTTGTCTTTAAGATGCCATAGATGTCTTTAAGATCTGTAGAGAAAGGCTCAATTTCCATATTGTCCTTTTTATGTAGAATTCATATTTCTTGTCTCTTTGAAAATTCTGCAGCTACCCAAAATTTGAACTCAAGTACACCCAGACTTTTATTTTTCCTTTAGCACTTGCTGCAGCTGTAAATTGAGAAGCTGGCATATTCTTGTAGCACTTTGTCTCAGCAATGGAAGCTTGTTTTAACTTCTGTTATCATAGGATTAGCTCTGATGCTGATGCTGCACAGTTCGGTAACTCTTACATCTTTTGCTTCAGCTGTGGCACCAGCAGCTCTGGGGCTGGAGCTCGTGGGTTCTCTCATCTCACAGCCACAACAGGTGCAGTAGGGGAACAGGGCCACTCCATCTAAATATCAGCTTCTGCTGTCCTTGCTGAAATTGCTGCAGCTAATCTGCTAGCCTGCAGTGACAGTAGGAACAGTGTGTTGTCATAGAAATATGTCATTCTTAATGCAGCTATTACTGTAGCTTCCCCATTGTCTTGTGTTGATTTTGTTATCGGGGAAACTACTGAAGGTAGCATGAAGTTACAAGAAGATGCATAGATTGTAATTTGCCAGTTACGACAAGTAGTGTAAATCCTTTTACTTTTTATTCATAAATACTATTATTATTATTACTACTACTACTACTATACCCCACCCATTTGTCCCTGGAGAGAAGACATTGGGGTGCTTAATTTTCATAAACTGGTATTCAAAAAGGAATAAATACATATAAATGCATGTTGAAGCTTAGTTAAGTAACTCTGCAAGGATTCTTTTCCTGAGCAGTTTATAAATAATAATATATATATTATTCTTCTAAATAATAAATAAATGTTAAAAGCTGGGCCAAAAATGAATTGACAATTAGCTATCTAGAGTTTAAAAAGAAGAAGAACCAGGTATTTTAAAATGAACATGAGTACAGTGGTACCTCGGGTTAAGAACTTAATTCGTTCCGAAGGTCCGTTCTTAACCCGAAACTGTTCTTAACCTGAAGCACCACTTTAGCTCATGGGGCCTCCTGCTGCTGCTGCACCACCAGAGCCCGATTTCTGTTCTCATCCTGAAGCAAAGTTCTTAACCCGAGGTACTATTTCTGGGTTAGTGGAGTCTGTAACCTGAAGCATCTGTAACCTGAGGTACCACTGTATCTTGAATCCTGCCAGGGTATTGAGAAAGCTATCAGAACACCAAGGTATGAGAGGCACAATTAAGCTTAATAAATAATAATAATAGTAATAATAATAATAATAATACCATGCAACCAAATTCTTTCCTTTGGGTTAAATACACAATGAGGCTAGGAAGTGACTCAGTTCTAAGCTATTCTCTTGAGAGTGCTAAATCAAACGAAACATGACAAAAGTGAAACTTAATGCATAGCAAGTTGACAATAATATGAATTCTAGATAGTGTTCTATCATGAATTTGAATCTCAAATGTGGGCAGAGCTGACTCTGGTAAAAGCATAATCAATTCAAGTCTATAAACGGGACTGCAATTTAGTTTGGTTGTTGTGGGTGAGGTTTTAAGTCTGCGGAAGTGAACATGAAAAATATAAGTGATTTCAGGCAAATTGTTAGAGACTGTAGATCGGAACAAGTTGGTTAAGCATGTGGTTTAGCAAACGCCTGTTGACTCACAGTGAAGTATGATTTATTTTATTTATTTATAGTAATGCTATGCTACCTCATTACCAAAGTTCTCCGGGCTGCATAATTTAAATGGGTTAAAATGCAGTAAAAATGCGACTACAACATAAAAGAAACCACAACACAGATAAAGCAATAAAATTAAAGCACAGACAGGTCTTAAAACTTCAAAAAGCCAAAATCAGTTTTGAAAGGCCAGCTCTCGCTTGATGGTGGCCTCTGACAGTGACCTCAAGGTGTGTGTAGGAACCTGTGAGAGGAAGGGACCTTTCATGTAACCTGGCTGAAAACTGCTGAGGTTTTTTAAGGTCAAAGCCAACACTCTGAGCTGGGTCTGGAAAATGACTGGAATCCAGTGTAGTTACAAAGCAACTGGCATCATTCAAATCATCTAGCCCAAGTTAACAACATTGCAGCCCAGCTTTCTAGACTGTTACCATAATAAAGCATCTTTCCAAACATTCTTGTGCTCCCTAATAATCACATGCTGCCCTTGTCTGCTTCAAAGTGATTTTTTAAAATAGTAAAACAAAATTTTGACACACAGAAACTTTGTGAGCCAGATCTTGAGATGGTATCTGTCTGCCTTATAGCTGGAGTTATTTGTGGTTTGGAGAAGTCATGTCTGAAAGCTTTGTCCCAGGATCAAATAGAGCAGTGCTCTTTGATTTACTGACCTTTGTTTCTTATTGCATGTAAGTGAAAGAAAGCTATCATTAGCATTTAATCCCTTTCACAACTAGGTGCATACAAGTTTCGTAAACCAGAATGCTGATTTTGATGTCTATCCTCCCAAAGTTTCTAGTCCTTCTGAAGTATTGCTCCTTGTTTCCCATCTACATCTCAGTGAGATTTCAAAAGTTGTACTTCCCACTCTAGTACACAAAGAAAGGCAGGAGGGGGCAGCACATAAAAAGCTGCCTTACAATGACTCAGATTGTTGGTCAGTTGAGCTCAGTATTATTTATGTTGATATGCAGCAGCTCTTTGGTTTCTCAGGTAGACATTTCTTCCAAGCCTGCTTCCATATGTTGCCTTTTCTGGAGATGCAGGGAGCAGGAACTATGACTTCCTGCATGGAAAGTGAGTGTTCTGCCTCTGGGTGACCGTTCTCCATAGTAGCAGTTCTATCTCATTAGCTCAGTGTTTTTCCAACCTATTTCTGGCTGTGGTCCCCTTCCGACCTTGTTTCGTTCCTGTGCCCCCGCCCCAGACTTATGGTAGCCGGGGGAGGGGCAGTGGGCAGCTGCCCCCCCAAAAGTAAAAGTCAATACAAATATGAGGTTCTGCCCCCCTAACAAAAATCCTAGCTATGCCCAGGCCCCCTCCTACCGGTAGACAGATAGTTATTTAAATGTTTTGTTTGTAAATAGAACATCTTTTATTTATAATTATTATAATTTATGCAAAATACAGTGGAGTAGAATGATAGGAACATAATAAAATATTGTTGAAGCAGAAAACATGGAATCATAGATCTGAAAAGGGACCCTAAGGGTCATCTTTCTAGTGCAACCCCCTGCAACGTAGGAAACTCAGCTAAACTCATCAATGACAGATGGGCATCCAACCTCTGCTTTGAAACCTCCAAGGAAGGAGAGTCAAGATCCCCCCAAGGGAGAGCCATCTTCCATGTATTATAAAAAATAAACAACACTTATTTGACCCCAGTTATTTGAGATGGAGGGGTAAACCTATAGATAAAGTCCAAAAGGTGCACAGGGAGTTCTGTATATGTGGGAGAATTTTTAAAAGCAAGTGGTCCTCACTGACCTGGTGCAAAAAGATTTGTCATCCAGAGGAGCCCTGGCTGCCTAGATAAAATACTATAGCCCCCCCCCCTTACCTGGGAGTAAGGCCCACTGAACTCAGAGTAGACAGTAGCATCAGACGACCCTGCTCAGCTAGGCGCTGGGGTGGATTTCATCCTGCGCCTTGCAGAGCCGGGCCAACAATGCAGGCAGGCCAGCCCTGCACCCACTCTGCAACATCCGAAGACCCTGATCTGCTAGGTGCTGGGGTGAATTGCACCCGCCTTGCAGAGTCAGGCCCAGGCTGCCACCAGGCCCAGCACTGGCGGCAGCAACGAGCATCTCTGGCTCACTCAGCCCCACTCCAGGTCACCTGAAGGTTCTGGATTGGGGGCTCTACAGGTCAAAACGGGAGCCTCAGCGACCACCCTCTCCCACCAGAAACAAACCAATACTGCTCCAAGAAAACACACATGGCAAAAAGGAGTGTTGGTCCCTGGTGGGTCACCCCCTTACCCGCTTGCGGTTGGCCAAGCAGATAGCCAGCCATCAGGATTTTTTAAAAAGCACTTTTAAAATTCACTTCTCACTTCCTTCTGTGGCCCCCTAGCCTACTTGGTTTTCACCTGGGGCCCCCTTGGAATATCTTTGGGGCCCCCGGTTGGGAAACACTGCATTAGCTAATCAGATGGGGTAGCTTCTGACCCTCAAAATACCTGGTGTGTGAGACTAGATACTTCCATAATGGAGTATCTGTTACCCTGTTACCTTGCCAGCCAAGCAAGGGGCATGTGAGTGTGTATGTGCATGGAAATTGGTGTCCCAAGAATGATTTGGGAGCACATGACATTCACATGCAGAGAGATGTGCTTACCTTCATTCCTAGGCATGTAATAATAATAATAATAATAATAATAATAATAATAATAATAATATATTATGTATACCCCGCTCATCTGGCTGAGTTTCCCCAGCCATTCTGGGGGGCTTCCAATCAAGTGTTAAAAACAATACAGCATTAAATATTAAAAACTTCCCTAAACAGTGCTGCCTTCAGATGTCTTTTAAAGAGAAGATAGCTGCTTATTTCCTTCACATCTGAAGGGAGGGTGTTCCACAGGGCAGGCGCCACTACCAAGAAGGCCCTCTGTCTCGTTCCCTGTAGCCTCACTTCTCGCAATGAGGGAACCGCCAGAAGGCCCTCGACGCTGGATCTCAGTGTCCAGGCTGAACGATGGGGGTGGAGACGCTCCTTCAGGTATACAGGACCAAAGCCATTTCAGGCTTTAAAGGTCAGCACCAGCACTTTGAATTGTGCTTGGAAACGTACTGGGAGCCAATGCAGATCTCTCAGGACCGGTGTTATGTGGTCCCGGTGGCCACTCCCAGTCACCAGTCTAGCTGCCGCATTCTGGATTAATTGCAGTTTCCGGGTCACCTTCAAAGGTAGCCCCACGTAGAGCGCATTGCAGTAGTCCAAGTGGGAGATAACTAGAGCATGCACCACTCTGGCAAGACAGTCCGCAGGCAGGTAGGGTCTCAGCCTGCGTATCAGATGGAGCTGGTAGACAGCTGCCCTGGACACAGAATTAACCTGCGCCTCCATGGACAGCTGTGAGTCCAAAATGACTCCCAGGCTGCACACCTGGTCCTTCAGGGGCACAGTTACCCTATTCAGGACCAGGGAGTCCCCCGCCCACCCCCTGTCCCCCCAAAACAGTACTTCTGTCTTGTCAGGATTCAGCCTCAATCTGTTAGCTGCCATCCATCCTCCAACTGCCTCCAGGATGCAATTCTAATCCTTTTGTGTTTGTCCTGTGCTACAGAAATCTGTGACCTTTATTATTTTATGGGCACAAGAGCATACATGGTACCTTACCATGCTATTCGAGGAATATTACCACTTCTAACTTTTTGTTTGCTGGTAAGTGGTGGAGGATTTTTCTTTTTTCTTTTCTTTTTCTTTTTGCCTTTTCCAACTTCAGACAGAAAACTGGGGTGGGGGTGGGGAGCTGCATTGTTGGGAGAGCTGCTGTATGTCACATGGGAGTGGCAAGTGTACAGAAAGTTCACAATGATAGGGTGGAGACACACTTTTCTAAACTGACCTCTATATCTTAATTCCTTTTGCTACTTAGGCAAGACAGTAAGTCTGAAGATGTCTCTGGCAGGATCTCCGAATCTGATCCTGAGGACTTGTCTGATGAAGAAAATGCTGAAACTTCCTATGGAAACTCTCCTCCTAGCACACCACGGCAGAATAAGCGCTCGTCAACGAAGCATCTGAAAAATAGCGTTGGGAGACCTACCGGCCGCTTTTTAAGAGGTATGTGTGTGGTACGCTGGAAATGATAGAAGTTGTAGCCCAAAACAGCTAGAGGGCTCAAAGTTGGCCAGTCTAGCCCAATATTGTCTACTCTGACTGGCAGTGCCTCTCCAGTGCTGTGTGGGCATAGAAACCCTTTCCCCATCACCTCCTTCCAGAAGGATTTAAGTGGGAAAAACATGGATTGCTAACTACTATGCTGTGACTCCTCCCCTATTAATAACTCTGATAGTGGCTAAGAGAGGAGCCTTGAATACAGTCTCCTGTATATTCTGTGGGACAAATGTGTCTCACTGCTCCCCTGAGGATTAGATAAATCATTTTTTCTACAGAGCTTTGTAGTAATAATGCAGGTGCTTTCTCCAAGAAATCATACAGGAAGGTTATCAGAACACCCTTCATTGCCACTGTGTGCATCTGTATGCACAACATTAGTATTGACAGGTATTTATTTTTCTGTGCTGTGCTGATGATATTAATGATTCTGCCCAAATCTCACATTACCGCTCATACTAATGTAGCTCGCAAACAGTACAGCATGCTAGTTAGCGTTTTTTGTGTAAAATAGCTGCATTCTGTGAATATAGGAAGTCCATTTAGTTTATGCTGCTGTTTCATTGTCATCATACTAATTGTAAACATTTATAAAGTGCTGCAGAATGTTTAGAATACTCCACAGTCCTAACACAACAGATTAGAGTAGGTCAATATTTTTTTATCCCCATATAGATAAATGGGATCTGAGGCTGAAAAGAGTGGCTTTCTACGACCACCTGGCAAGCCCATAATAGGTCAAGATTTGAACTTGGGACTTCTGATTTGTAGCTCATTCTCTTAGCCACTATGCTGAACCTGCTCTCCAACTAGGTTGAACATATATCACTTAGTTCCTTTTTATTTTATGTAACAGGAAGAGAGAGTTCACCACCCTCTGTTAAAGCGGTTAGTGGTTCAGGTACAACATGTATAGTACGTAATTTGTGATTCATGGCAAGAGCAGCACAGAAGTTTCCCCAGCAATGCCTGAAGTACAGAAGATTCATGATGCTGGAAAGTAGAAGAAAAGTGGTAGAGATGGGAACATATACTGCACTGAAACCTCCACCCGCCCCTGAGAACATTATACCTTTACCTCCCCTCCCCAATACCAGTAGTATAGAACTCAAAGATGGAGCAAACTGCTACAGCAGTTTTCTCCAACCCTCAGAGCCTGGTAGTTTCTGTGAGAGGGCAATGGATCTATTACAATTATATCCCCCTATTGCATAAGTGTGCAAAAATGGTTGCTAAAAACAACTCTCATTCTCTATGCAACATTTTCTTTTTTGAAACTTGTTAGGGCAGGGTTGGATGGGGGGGGTAGGGGGAGAGAGCAAAAATCCTCCTTCTCCCTTCCATTAGACTTGTGCTCCCAGAATTGCTTCTTAGTCACTCATTCCAGCTGCCATGTGCAGCAAAAGAGATAATTATAATGAGAAGTCAATTCTCATAATTACAATTAGTACAACAGAATGTTTCCATTAGCATGGTTTCAGAGCTAAACCTATTACTTTAAAAGCTCCACAGTATCATTATGTCTGCCTTTAGTTGCAAAGTGACTCAGCATTGCCTTGATTTCAGGGAGTGAAATGTGCTCCAGAATTTTTTTCTGTGGTTGTCAGTTATTACTATTAAATCTGTCATGACTGTTCAGGAAAATATGAATATTTGAGTTGGTTGTGGTTTAAATTGAGCCCCTAGAAAGAGCCCTGGGAACAAAGAAACCCCAGAAATAATTTGTGATACCTAGATGAAGCACCCTGACAATCATGACAAGAGTTTTCTTCATATCTTTAGCTGTCAAAGCTGTATGGGAAGAAGTGGTTGTATGGTAACTGGAACTTAATAAATCAGAGTTTTGCAAATGCAGCCCGTGAGAACTTCTTAATGCAGCCCCTGAGGCACCAGTGTTTAATTACATGGGATATGACTGTGCTGTTGCCATACCTGTAGCCACAAATAACATTCTGCCACTTTACCTCTGGCTGTTGTTAAAGACCAGTTGGATAGCCACTGATTTAATACATTGCTTATGACAATGAACTTGAAAACATATGGGGTACAGTATTTTAAAACCACTTGTGTTACACTGAGTTCTGAACTGTTTAAATAATTGTAAGGGTGTCTAATGAATATGAACAGAATATGAAGTTTTGAGAGTATGTGTCATGTGTGTTTAGTACATCACAGAACTGGAATATTATACAAATGGAGTAAAGAAAACAGGGCATGAGTGCGTTTTTTAAAAAGTGAACTTTTTACTTTTGGTGCAAAAAATTTTTATCTTATAATTTTCAGAGAAGATGAGCTCGCCAAGCCAGCTGTCCAACAAAGACAACGCCAAAACCATTGAGAACACTGAAGAGCACAGCTATAAGCAGGGGAAAAAGATCCGAGCCACCCTGAGGACAACTGAGAGGGATCACAAGAAAAATGTCCAGTGCTCATTCATGTTGGACACGGTTGGTGGGTCCTTGCCAAAAAAGTCAATTCCAGATGTTGATCTCAATAAGCCTTACCTCAGCCTTGGCTGCAGCAATGCGAAGCCTCTCGTATCTGTACCTGTGCCTATAGCCAAAACTACACGCCAGACTTCTCGTACTGATTACCCAGCGGACCGCTTAAAGTTCTTTGAAACCCTGCGGCTTTTGTTAAAGCTTACCTCAGTTTCCAAGAAAAAGGACAAAGAGCAGAAAGGGCAGGAGAGCACTTCCGCTGTTGAGTTAAACCGATCCAATGAACTAATTTGGCTTGAACTGCAAGCTTGGCACGCGGGGCGGACTATTAACGACCAAGACTTCTATCTGTACACAGCCCGCCAAGCCATCCCAGATATTATTGTTGAAATCCTTACTTTCAAAGTGAACTATGGAAACCTCTCCTGTCTAGGCAGTGGCACTAGTCTTAATGGTACATCAGGAGGACAGTGTAAAGCAGCTCATGGTGCTAATGCTATGGGCTACTCTAGCTACCATGAGCATCTCTATCGCCAGCGGGTCTCATTTGAACAGGTAAAGCGGATAATGGAGCTGCTAGAATACGTAGAAGCACTTTATCCATCTCTGAAGGCCCTTCAAAGTGACTACGAAAAGTATGCTGCGAGGGATTTTCAGGACAGGGTGCAGGCGCTCTGTCTCTGGTTGAACATTACAAAAGACTTAAACCAGAAACTGAGGATTATGGGAACTGTTTTGGGCATCAAGGATCTCTCTGACATTGGCTGGCCAGTGTTTGAAATCCCTTCTCCTCGTCCATTCAGGGACAACGATCCAGAGGATGAGGAGGAGGAGGACAATAGGGGAACCTCGGGGGCGTGCACAGAAGAAAGTGAAGATGAAGAACAAATCTCTCAGGAGAGTGTGGAGGAACTCAGACAAGCCATCCAGAATAATTTTGCCAATAAGCCAAATTTTGACTTTCAGGCACAGGACCATTTGTCAAGAAAGCTTGACAGGCTTGAATCTGAGGACGACTCAACCTGCTGGGCTGTTACGGAGTGCAGCGGTGAGACGGGGTGCAGCAGACACTGTTTGACCTCTATTTATAGACCGTTTGTAGATAAAGCACTGAAACAAATGGGGTTGCGAAAGCTCATTTTAAGACTGCACAAGTTAATGCACGGCTCCTTGCAAAGGGCCCGAATGGCATTGATAAAGAGCGATCAGCAGTTGGAGGTAGGTTCTGGGAGGAACGGGGGGTGGGGGTGGGAATCGGTTCTTCACGCTGCTAAAAGATTTTCAGGAAACTGTTCCTTTGTTTCAATTTTCTCTTTGGAAACTATTCTTCTGTATAATACGCACATAGTTGTTTTGCGATATGCAATGCCTTGTTAATGAGTCATCTTAATCACTGCAATGTGTTAATGGAGAAGTATCGTATATAAAAACCCAATGTGGAACTCCCATGTTGGCCTTGGAAGTTTGCATGTGCCCTGGCTCCATGTTGGCTGCTTGAGGTGCTGAGCCCAGTCTCTCCTTGAAGCTGCTTTGTTAAAGAACAGAGGGCTGAGGAAGGCTTCTCTTCTTGGCTCTCCCATCGGTGGATCTTCAGACCAGTTTCCTTCCCTCCCTTCTTGTTTGGATCATAGTTGTTACTTACCGCCCATAAAGTCATGGGCAGAGTCTAGAAATGAAGGCTAGACTTTCAAAACGTGATGCTTTGTGTACTGGTTAATGTATGGCAGAGTTAGGGGTCCAGCCCCACACAAATGAAATAGAAAACTTTCCTGTATTTGTGAAGTGTGGGGAAATAAAGCTCTTATAGGAGTCCTTGCTGGAGCCCAAGTGAAATGTAGTGCATGCTTGGAATCTGTTCAGTTCTGAATTTCAGAATACGGATTGGCATGGAAATGAAACTTAATAACTTATTTCCTTTTTTATTAGGTTTATATTCTGCCCTTTGCCCAAGGAGCTCAGGGCGTTGTGTGTAGTTGTTCCCCTACCCATCTAAATTCATCCTCAATGTTTTTTTTGAGGTGGGTTGGGCTGAGATACAGTGACCAGCCCAATGTCACCAAGCCATGGTTTTCATGCCTGAGTGGAGAATTGAATTTGGCTTGCCCTGGTTCTAGTCCAACACTCTTTCATGGGTTGACACCATGACACCCATGGGCATCCTCATGCTCTCAGAGATCTTCCTTTGTCCCTCCCCCTCCCTCCACTGAAATAAGCCTTCTTTAGCTAATAAAAGACTCTTTTCAAGGTAACTGTAGTGTGCTGGACATTATTGGGTGCATGCATTATTGTTAGGAAGGGGAGAGTTACGGTATGCATGTGGGTGCGTATAGCAGCTTCTCGGTTTTGTGGTTGCACCAACAAATGAAGTATGAGTGGCAACCCATTTAATCACTTCCACATTACTCTCCCCATTCTTTCAATCTCTTCCATGGCTACTGAAGTATCATTCAGATTACACCAGAATGTCTGTGTTCATCATGGCGTTTGGAGGGGGGTTGCTCAAGGACAAATGTGTGTTCTGAAGAAGATAAAGTCTGGTTTAAAGATACTGGATTTTCTTTTATTATAATATATGAGTTTGAGCATATTAATTTATACTGTAAACCTTGTATGGGAATTGAATTGAAAATATACATGTGGGTATGATGCCTTATTGTGCTTTGTATATCAAATTGCGTTTTTAATTTGAATAACCACAGTGTAGAATAAAATTAGAAGGCACATCAAGACGACCCTTGCCTTGAGACTGGATTTGCTGATCATAATTATCTACTATAGCTACTTTCTCAAATTGTCCAAAGAAGGTTCTGCTACTTTTCTGTGCAGTTTTTTCCATTAACAAAATGATCGCTGCTAGAAAGTTTTTCCCATTATCTAATCTGCTCTTCTGCAATACAGATTTTTAAAATGTGAATGTGGAGAGATGAGCATCGCTGTTGTGTTAACTACCCAGTGATGGCATTATCATTGCTTATAGAGTTCATACCTTTCAGCTGTTTTATAAAGAATCCTAAGTCTTATGAAATGAAACCTCATGGGATATTGAGAAACCTATTTAACAAGGTCTCATCATCTAATATGATGGTGAACAGTGAGGTGTAAAAAAGAATTGAGGCATTGACTGGTTCCATTTTCCAAATTAACTCACTTCGGAGTCTAGGATTGGAATATTATTATTATTATTATTATTTATTAATTTTAACAATCAGCCATTGTAAAGGGATGTTTAATATTGAAGTCTACTCCAGGTAAATTTTCTTTATTGTGGAGACATCTTTCTTTAGAACAAGGCAGCTAACCTGTGGCTGTCCAGAAGATGATGTTGGACTCCCTTCAATCCCAGCCATAATAGCCAATTGTCAGGGATGGTGAGAGTTGCAATCCAACAGTATATGGGTAGCCACAGGTTACCAACCCCTGCTGTAGAAGATACTGATGTAGACTTTTTGCACTGTTTTTTACTTTGCAAAAATTAATAATCTATTTTAGTATATAGAAGGATGAAGTTCACATTTTGGCAATGGTGTATTTCTTAGCATGTTCATTCCTGAAATATTTTGTTTTCTGAAATAATACTATAATGAGAAGCAGTCATCTAATAATAAATGCACAAAATGTCAGAAATGTGTCTGAGGTAGTATAAAGAAAAGCAAATTGGATGTTGCATTTATGAAAACTAAGACACTTACAGTACAATCCCATGCATGCCTACTCAGAAGTCAGGCCCATTGAGTTCAGTGGGACATCTTCCCAGGTAAGTGTATATAGGAATGCAGCTTTAATATGTTTAAATTTTGGGGCTAGTATAATTACATGTAACTGGCTTACTGTGTCTGTTTAAAATTATAAATTTCTGATTCCAGAAAGATGCTGATAAAGTTATTTACTACTTAAGTATGGTAATTTCATATGTGATAATATGGAATATGATGTGCAAAGTAAAAAAAAAGACTTTGAGCATTCTGCCCTTTCAATTCTATGACTATATGAATGTTTAGTTACATGAGCATTTATTTATTACATGAGCTGTTGTCATGTTGCTTTCATAGCCTTGGGCGTAAAATAGGTAGTACAGTCATACCTCGGAAATCGAACAGAATCTGTTCCGGAAGTCCATTTGACTTCTGAAACGTTCAAAAACCAAAGTGTGGCTTCTGATTGGCTGCAGGAAGCTCCTGCAGACAATCGGAAGCCCCATCAGATGTGCGGCTTCCAAAAGAACGTTCGAAAACTGGAACAGTCACTTCCGGTTTTTGATTGTTTGAGAGCCGAAACGTTAGACTCCCAAGGTGTTCGGGAGCCGAGGTACGACGGTAATGTAGTAGTACTACTAGCAGTAGTAGTAGTGGTAATAATAATAAATAATAATTAATAATAAAATAATAATACTGATGCTATGAACACAAACTTAATACCAGTCACACTTAGAGGTGCATTCAATCATTCACTGCATACTATCTCTTCCTCAGCTATACATTTTTTAATTTGGATGAACCCATTTAGTAATAAGCAATTAAAATGCTGATATCAGTGGAAATGTGTACATTAACAGGGGTTTCCCTTTCCTAAAAATCCAAGGAGGAGCAATTTTATAAAATGCACCTCATTTTTATAAAATGAACATTTAAATTTACAGTTAGTAGCTGAAGGACAAACTTGTTGCAAATGGCTTTTTAACACATTGATGTAGGTAGCAATTTGTTTAGCGTATTAACATTTTATATTGCATGTAGTGCTGTACAATCACTTAACACAAGTGTTTTAGACATTGTTTTAACACTAGGACTGTTTGCAGATTGGAATTACGATGCTCATTTTAACGTTTACAGTATGGCATAGAGAAACGCAACTATCGCAAAATATCCCAACCCGTCCATGCAGATTTTTTAGAGGTGCCCTCATGGAACTTCAGATATATTTTGCTTTGAATATCAATGCTTGTGCTGCATCACAAGCTGCTTTTGAAATCCACTCACTTAAAAGTGGACTTGCTAAGCAGCATGGCATGATGCTGATTTGAGAAAGCTCAAGCGCCCTGCTGGGCATGCAAAGTTAATTGTGTGATTTCTCCTGGCTTGTGACCAACATCTACTACTATAGTTCTACAGGTCTGAAAGGAAAGCCTGATACTTTGATTGAACAAGATTGTTGTTGTTTTAAAGTCAATGTTTGGTGGTGGGTTTACACCTGATAAGTTATTAAACTGAAGGAGGGGGGGAAGTGTTTCAGGTTGTTTGTTACATAGTATCTATTTTTTTGTTAGTTTTCAGAGTACCCAGATCCTATTTTAAGTTCAGATTACGTGCAGTTGTCAAATTCTCCGCCTTCTTCAGATCAAAAGTGCAGTACTGTGTCACGGGAAGAGCTGAAGTCTATGGATTTGCCATCTTTTGAGCCTGCATTCCTAGTTCTTTGCCGAGTCCTTCTCAATGTTATCCATGAATGCCTCAAATTAAGGTTGGAACAGCAGCCTGCTGGGGAGCCATCTCTCTTGAGTATTAAACAGGTTTGCCCAAAGTGTTTTATTAACCCCCCTCCCTCCCCAGTCCTTAGCAATAAGTCTTACATTGTTCCACAGAAGGGATGCGTAGTACGTATTTAGATTGGTGGTAATATTTTTCAGTAACATAAAAAGATACTTAAAAGACAACGAAGGCCAATATTCTATGTACAATTCTAACATTTTGCAAATAATTCTCTGCTAATTGCTTTACCAAAAGTTACAGTAAGATCTTATACCTCTTCTCCCCCAAAAGCCTACAATTTTTTGTAAGCTGCTTTGAGACACAGGGTGAGAAGCAGGATATACATTTCTTAATAAAGTGATGAACAATTCAGAGGGAAGCACAGTACTGTAAGCTGCTATTTCTCTTTCTTGTAAGAATGACAACAATTACTGAGGATTCTGTGGAGGGCAAATATGGTTCTGTCTCTGCTTCTTTGCCAACTAAATTGACTTATTCCTTAGCTTCGGTAAATACATAGCCATCAGCTATATTTATTTAATGGGTTTTAATTCCCTACTCTGTTGCAGGGGCTTGGGTTATAGTATACAGTAAAAAGTTTATCACGCCCCCTCCCTTCCCCACAATTCTAGCATTGTAGCAGGCAAACGTGAAAATGTGAAGTTTTATGGGTTTCTTAAATTAAAAAAAGGGTTTTGTGAAATGATATAAAGCAAACTTTTTATAAAGGTGTGTGGGATTTGAGCTGTGGAGATCTGGGTTCAGATACCATCACTGGTCATTACCATTTGAGGCCTTTCTTGGAGTAAAAAGTGGCTCCATGTTACAGGCTCATTGTGATAGTAAATGAAGAAAGGTTTGTAAAACACTTAGCAGAGTTAATGGTCTGTAGAATTCAACTCTGAAATCCCACCCACTCTACTGTTGTAGCTCTTGTGTTGCTTGGCGATTTTATGTCGTGTAGAGAGGGCCACATGATCTGTTAAAACCTCTAAATTAAATCTATGATTAAAATCTCAAGAGAAACTCTTTTTTAAGCATCCGAATGATTTATTGCTTTTTATGGACTGTTTCCTTGCAGCTAGTGAGAGAGTGTAAAGAGGTCCTGAAAGGGGGTCTGCTTATGAAGCAATATTATCAGTTTATGTTACGTGAGGTGTTAGATGACTTACAGAAGAACAACTGCAACATCGACTCTTTTGAGGAAGACCTGCATAAGATGTTAATGGTAAGCAAGCAATCCTGTTTTATAGTGGGTCACTTCTGTAGGCTTCTCTATCGGATTCTTAATTGTCTCACCATTGTCAGTTTATTTTCATTAGCTTCTCTAGTTGTGCAGGAATTGTGTTTCTGTTTTAACTACGTTGTGCAATATAATCAGGGGTCCGATCTTGGATGGTCCTGAGCTTTGCTCTTTGGAAGCAAAAACAGAGATGAGGTGCTGATTTTTACATATCTCCCTTGGCATCTCACCTACTCCCTAATACATTCTGACGATATTCCATTTCACAAAGCCACCATCACATTACAGGTGGGCTCTGTCTCCATTGTGGAGTCTAGTGAAACAATATGACCTAAATTGCTGTTCTTCCCTTTTCAAGGTTTATTTTGATTATATGCGAAGCTGGATCCAAATGCTACAGCAGTTACCTCAAGCATCTCATAGTTTAAAAAATCTCCTGGAGGAAGAATGGAATTTCACCAAAGAAATCACTCCTTATATACGAGGAGGTGAAGCTCAAGCTGGAAAATTGTTCTGGTAGAACTTATTATTATTGTGATTCTCATGTCCATTTTGCTCAAAATTTTAAGTTTTATTAGCAGGGATTTTTAAAAAAAGTTTTATTAATTGGAAATCTACTGCCATTTACAAAAAGTAAAGATGATCTTATTAAAAAGCTAGTAAAAGTTGAATATTAAGCAGTGTGTATCTGAACAATTTTAAAATTAATTAGGTCCCCCCCCCAACTGCATCTGACTGGGGAACATTTAATTTCATTTATTTTACATAAACTTTATTTAATACTTTCATATCAATGGCATTCTAATCCTGGAACGCTATGGAAGTTTTGAGAGCCAGTGTGGTGTAGTGGTTAAGAGCGGTAGTCTCGTAATCTGGGGAACTGGGTTCGTGTCTCCGCTCCTCCACATGCAGCTGCTGGGTGACCTTGGGCCAGTCACACTTCTTTGAAGTCTCTCAGCCCCACTCACCTCACAGAGTGTTTGTTGTGGGGGAGAAAGGGAAAGGAGAATGTTAGCCGCTTTGAGACTCCGTCAAGTAGTGATAAAGTGGGATATCAAATCAAAGCTCTTCTTGATGCACAAGCCTCTTTCTGTGTTGTCTGTGGGAGTGACAATTGTTTTTGATTATTTTGTTTCAGTGACATTGCAGGAGTGCTGCTTAAATCTACAGGGATCTTTTTAGACTCTGGCTTACAAGAGAGCTGTGATGAGTTTTGGGCTAATGCTGATGACAGTGCAGCTTCAGATGAAATCAGGTACTCCCAGACCTACATAAGATACACTATCATGTTACGGATGTCTTTATATGCATGAAAGAAGCAGCATGAATTTCTTTTAAAATTGCAGCAGAAACCCAGTGTTTGTGTATGCTCAGCCTAATAATGCTTGCAGTTAAGGGCATGAAAATAATTTCTCTGCCTTGTTTCCTTAACTGTACACTTTGTCTTTTTGTGTAGGATGTGTCATCTTCTCAATGCCAGATTCATTTTTAGCTTCTTGTTTGTACATATTTGCCTTCTGACTTCTTGTTTAGCCTTTTTTTAATGTGTTCTTCTTCAGCACATTTGAATGCATGTGCGACAATATGTTGAAATAACTGCATTCTGTTAAATTATTTGTAGGAGGTCTGTGATAGAGACCAGCCGGGCACTGAAAGAGCTGTTCCATGAAGCCAGAGAGAGAGCATCCAAAGCTCTTGGCTTTGCCAAGAGATTAAGAAAGGTAAAAAGAAAAAGTGGTTTTACATAGTGTGCCCAGTTCAGCTGCATTGATAGGCTTCTTAACAGTGCAGTTTGATAAACACCTGCCATTTTATTCTTAGGACCTTGAAATAGCAGCAGAGTTCACATTTTCTGCCTCTGTGCGGGACTTCCTCAGTGCCCTGAAAGCACAACAGTACATGAAGGTAAAATCAGCCTTGGGGCTTAAAGGCATTATTATGCTCTCCAGTGTGTGGCGTGTAGATCTTATGCATGTCCAACTACCAAGGTTAGATACGTCTAGCTACCAAAGTACCAGTTCATAGTGGCATACTTTGCTGAATTGTAACCTGCACTTGGATCATACGATGAAGGGAAGGATAAGATACACTTAATAAACAATTTCTCACTGAGGGGGTAAACCTGTGTCTGGGTTGTACCACTGAAGGTGGGGGTCCATGTGACTGAATGCTGTTCCTTGGACATCCATCTGTGTACTTGGAAAGCACCTGACCTCCCTGATATACATTGTGGGGCAGAGGTGGATGGGAAGGAAAGGCATCACCTCACTGCTGTGAGTTCATTGCCCTCTTTTGCAGCCCACCAGTACACAGAATGTGTCCCATTGTTGCCAAGGCAACTGAGAGGTGTTCCTGTCTTTCTGTGCATGTTGATGGGTAATGAAACATGGGAAGACAGTGTGATGCCTAGTGATGTGTTGTCAATACACCCTGGGGCAAGAGCAACACCACTTTGTCTTCAGTGTCAATTCTCTGTAGTCTTGTTCCCTGTGTGATCCCCACTGGCTATTATGCAGTGATGGGGGAGACAACTGAGATAAAGAAGCACTAGGTGGTGGTTGTGGGGAGGGATGCAGTGCAAATAGCCATGGAAAAGGTGCATAATGGTGGTAGTCACTTAGCATCTGTGAAACTCCTTTCACCCTGAGAAAAATGAGTGAAATTTTTCTGTGGTTCTAGGTGTTAATAATTTGGACCATATTGGTTTGTTCCTCAGGTACAGATCCCTGGACTTGAAAACTTGCAGATTTTTGTGCCAGATAACCTTTCAGGAGAGAAATCTATCATCCTGCAGCTACTTAATACAGCTGCAGGAAAGGACTGTTCAAAAGACTCTGATGAGGTTGCAAGCGAACCATTTTTACTTATGACAAAGTACAGAGACAAAGATGATGACACTGATGACAGCTGGAGCACTTGGGAAGGACAGCCTGTCAAAATTGTTCCTCAGGTGGAGACAATTGACACATTGAGAAGTATGCAGGTAAAGAATTTCTGTATTAGTATTCTTCTGATTTGGTAAATGGTAGTTATTTATGGACTCCCAACATTTAAGAAATGCTCTGCTTTTCTCACATGTAAGAAAATTGGAAATACTACTAGGGTAGGATCTTAGGTGCTTGAGAATTCGGCCTATGCATTCTTCATAGGGGTTTAGTTTGATCCTCATATTGCAAAAAAGTGTGTATTTTTCTGTCTTGAATGGATTTGAGAGTAGGGTAAATTGTCAGGATAGCCTTAGATCAGATTGGGGTTGTCATCCAGAGCATGGCACTTTGCTGAGTAGAGCAATTCTATTCTGAACAGCTTGCCGTAGTACAAAGGTATTCTACCTTTTTGTAAAACCGCTTTGAGGTTTCTTCTTTGAGCCAGTGTGGTGTAGTGGTTAAGAGTGGTAGATTCGTAATCTGGGGAACCGGGTTCGCGTCTCCACTCCTCCACATGCAGCTGCTGGGTGACCTTGGGCCAGTCACACTTCTCTGAAGCCTCTCAGCCCCACTCACCTCACAGAGAGTTTGTTGTGGGGGAGGAAGGAAAAGGAGAATGTTAGCCGCTTTGAGACTCCTTTGGGTAGTGATAAAGTGGGATATCAAATCCAAACTCTAGAATCAAGCCTTCTATAAATTTTATAAAATAAATAAGAAACAATGTTTGAAGCTACAGGATGTTAGTAGAAAATGTAACATTGTTATAATATTAATAAGTTCTTGCACTTGTTGACATATTGGAGAAATCAAACGGCTTTCTTCACTTTAGAAGTATGAAACTAATGTATATAGTGAGCATATAAAGTTCTTATTCTAGCAACAAGAAGTGCATGGAACTCTTTTCCTCCCACCACTCAGCAACACATTTGCTGAAGTGTGCTTCTGCACAGACTTCATTCCCCAACTTGCTGTGTGGAGGTTTTGCACCACAGCTGCGCATACAACTGGAGTTGCTCTCATCCCTCACCTAGCAGCCTCTGGTGCATAGAGGGAGGCAGACAATGCACCAAAATATGTTTATCAATATGTAACTGTCTCTAAATTGGTTACAATGAACGTTGAAGGAACAGCTTTGGAAAATCCAGAAGTACAACTGGAGACGTTTTTCATAAAATTAGCAATTTTGTGGGAAGGAAAATAGTACCATTTAAAACATGTCAGAGTTAAGTATTTTAAATTTCAGAATTCACGGTTACAACTTTGGGAACCGTTTTTCAGCAATACCATAAATTAATCTTGTATTCTTAGGTTGACAACCTCCTCCTTGTAGTCATGCAGCCTGTTCATCTTGTGAACCAGAGAAAAGCTGTCCAACAGTTTCTTGAAGGGCTCATCTCTTTACATCAGGAGCAAACATCCAGCCAGCCAGTCATTGCCAAAGCTTTGCAGCAGCTGAAGGTACGTATCTTTCTGGTTTATATTCCTCTGGATTGTTAAGCATTCTCAGTCGCTTAGAATTACAAAATCTTTAAAGAGGCTGCTGAGGTCTACTTTTAAATGCAAGTGATCAGAGAAAGATTGTCATTGCAGTTTTGTGCAAGTAAGTTGAGAGTAATTTATACAGCAGGCTGAATGAATTGTATGTACAGATTGGGAGGTCGTATGTTTATGCACTGACACATGAAGCATAGCTTCCAAACAGATTTGAATAGTAAGTAAGAAACTTTATATCGTGCTTTAGGAAAACAGTAAAATGCAGTGCTTGGGAAAACCTTTCCCTTATAAGGCTTTACTATTTACAAATCACCAGTTTATCCACCTGACTTCTACTCAGAGTAGATCCATTGAAATTAATGGACCTAAGATATTCATACCCATTAATTTCTGGATTACTGCTGTGGTTACAAAAGTCACTTATCAATGTTTGGTCCAGTGTTCCAGATTTCTAGGGGTTAACCAGAAAATTCTTGGAAGCTGGCCATTGCAACCTGAGTGTAGGAAACTGGGTGTGGAAACTTGCATGCACACAAATAGTGGTTGGATATATGCACTTGAAGAATCTTAATCACACTTTTGATAAAGTTGGCTTTTGCGTAAAAATCACAATTTATTTTTTAACAGTGCAATCCTATATATGTCTACTCTGAAGCAAGAACCACTGAGTTCAGTGGGACTAACTGCCAGGTAAATAGGTAGAGGATTGCAGCCTAAGGTATCCCGTGATATAGCGAGAAGTAGCCATTGAGGATTATCATAAGGTTCCTGTAGAACCATGTATTACATGATTAAGAAGTATCAATTAACTATGAGTTAATTGTTTTGATGAATTTGTTGTTTGCTTTATATGCTGTTGTGTTTGATATTATAGAGATTGCAATGTTCGTTGTTTTTAAATGCTATTGTGATTGCTGTGAGACTCTTTGAGCTCAGCATTTGCTATTTGAAAAGCAGAATACAAATATTAAATACACAAATAATACTTCAGCAAATATTTTTCCTGTTTTCCAGAGTGATGCATTACAGCTTTGCAATAAGATAAGCGGTGCGATTGACAGAGTTGATCGCATGTTCACATCTGAATTTGATGCTGAGGTTGATGAATCAGAATCTGCCACCCTGCAGCAATATTATCGGGAAGCCATGATTCAGTGTTACAACTTTGGTTTTGAGGTTGGTTCAAGAGAAATGTTTTGCCTATTTTTTCCCAAGTGGAAGGCTTTAATTTTATTTCTTCGAAGTGAATTTTTAAATGGGTCATGTTTTTTTTAACAGCCATATGATTGGGTAATCACTTTTCCCTTCGGAGAAATAGCGTTGTGTAACTAATAGTAGCATAATGTTTAGAATCAGACCTAAGGGCTTGTCTAGCGTAGTGTTCCGTTCTTACAGGGGCCAACCAGATGAGAAGTCCACAAGCAAGACATGAGTGCAATAGCACTCTTCGGCTTTACATTTTATGCAAAAGAACAAAAATGCACAGAAAAATAAAAACAATATATATTTCCCATTATAAGAATGCTTGTTTTGTTTGAAAGTTATGAAACATTGGAGGCTGTGTAGCAAGCACACCACATAAGAAAATAGAAGATCATCTGCTCAGGTCAAAATTAGACCCATATTCTCCTTTTTCAAGGGCTGCTGCTAAATAGCAGTGTTCCCTACTGGGTTTCCCTTTCTTATGTATGAAAGGCTCCAGGGAGTTTTGACCCAACAGCCTTTTTATTTATGCATAACTGCAGTTTTCTATTGCATTGGTTATCAGCAGGTTTGTATGCAAGGTGTTACAGAGACATACCATGCTATTCTCTTGCTTTTTTCACAGGGTGGTATCTTAACAAAGTAGTTCCATTTGCACAATTATTTCCATTTGCACAGTGGATCTCCCCTCTCTCCCCTCTCTCCATCAACAAGATTTAGGGGAGATGGGGGAACACAAAGGGAGGGAGGGGAACATCCATTGCACAGCCAGAAGTTCTTGTGTTAATGAAGTACTTGGTTGGATATCACCCACATTGTGTTTATGTTGTACCTATTGCATTATTGGAGAATTTGTAAATCTGGATGCAGAATTTTGAAGTTTCAGAAACACTGTTGTAGCAGTTGAAAATGGCAATATTTATTTCAAAGCCTTGACAGGTGATTTTAATATATTGCAGTACCACAAAGAAGCCATCCGTCTGATGTCTGGGGTATTCAGACAGAAAATTGGAGACCAGTATATCAGTTTTGCAAGAAAGTGGATGAATTACGTCCTTACTAAGTGTGAGAGTGGCCGAGGTACTAGACCAAGGTAATGATTGAGAAATAACTATTTTCAATTTTCCTCCTTTCTGTTTTATGGGAGCTTGTAATATTTAAACAAAGAGCAAGGTTGCTGCCTTGATTACTTTGAAGATTATATTAATGCTAAATACCACAACATGGGTACAAGAATAAGATATTTGAGGTAATCCAAGGCACCAGTCATTTAAGAGTTTTCAGATAAACGTGACTCATGATTAGAAAACAAGGCTAGAATTAAGGTTTGTTACACAGTTTAATTAGACTTGATTTTTAAAATTACGATATGGGGAATGCATGCTATAGTAGATAATCAGGATGATTTAGAATATATTCTTCTGCCCATTGCCTGCATCAAGAGCTGCACCCAGCCTCCAAGGATTCCCTTATAATTCACTAAGTACCTGAAAGTCATGGCAATTTGGTTACGGTTAATTGTGGGTTCCCAAGCATTTTGGCTGTCCTTACCAGGTGTACATCCTTTTCTACATGGCATACACTTCATTATTTCCTTTGTTGTCATTAATTTGAAAAGATAATTGTCACGACTGGAGATGTTGCAGAGTTTGGCCATACTTTGCATTGTGGACATACTAAACGTCTGCGGGGAAACAGGGTTGTCATCTAGATCAGGAGTCAGTAGACTTTCCCCCTCCCTCCCCCCATGCCACCTAAATCTCTGGAAGGTTTTGGAAACCCCCAAAATAGGTTTAGGAGGCACGTGGAGGAGGCGGAAGTCCTGTTGTGCCAATGGACCTCATTCCATGAACACATGTCCCACTTAGAGCTATGTTGAAACCTACCTTAAGGGTGTTGGGATTTCAGTATTCTTTCCCATGCATAGCCATAAAAACATAGCTTCAGGGAACAGAGTCTTGAGTAGGCATTGTTTTAGATTTGCATAGTGTTTAGAAAGGCAATATTTTTGTGTAGCATGGCAACAGAGGTTGTTTTTCTCTAAATAAACAGAGCTGCTTATATAAGTACTCCTGGTTAACCAGTAACTTCTTTCTGCACAACAGGTGGGCAACACAAGGTTTTGATTTCCTTCAAGCCATTGAGCCAGCATTTATTTCAGCTCTTCCTGAAGATGACTTTTTGGTATGTCATTAACCACTCTCATATTTTAAGTTAACAAACACTATTGGCTGCATTTGTGACCAGATAAGTTTTGCTGGTGGTTCATTTTATTCATACTTCTTGAATTATATATGTTCCTAAGTTATACATTTAAATTCATTAAAGATACTGCAGGTACTTATTAGAAAAACGCGGTATTTATTGTTGCAGTGATGTTAATTTTCTATCTTCCAGAGTTTACAGGCATTGATGAACGAATGTATTGGCCATGTAATTGGAAAGCCTCATAGTCCTGTTACAGGTTTGTACCTTGGTAAGGCAGCAGCTACACAGTCTCTTCCTCTGGAACTTTACACCTGTAGTTTGTAGAAATAGAAACATGTCGTTGTAAGTGAATTAAATGTGTAAATCTAAAACACACACGAGTCACAATAAAAACAAGAACCAGCCAGTCATCCAACTCAGTATGTCGGCCTCCTGTCTTCACAAAATGATGACAACAAATCAGCAGGAATGGGGAACCTGAGACTCTCAGGACGTTATTAGACTGCAGCTTCCATCATCATTGACCATTAGTCATGCTGGTTGGGATTGATGGGAGTTGGGAGTCTTAACAACCTGTAAAGGACCAGTGTTTCCCCATCTCTACAATAAAGAATGCAGTTTTTAAAGCCCCTCTAAAATATAAGAAGCAGCAGATAATCCATCTTGGCCTACTAGAACAGACAGGTTTTCAGTTTGGCTTGGAATGACATCAGGGAGGTGAGGTGGCCAGATAACTCTTCTCAAGGCACAGCATTCCAAAGCATGAGCACAGCAGCTAATTAAGTCCCATCACATGTTCCCACCACATGTTCCTTCCTGAGCCTCAGGAATTGGCAGTGCCTGTCCAGATGACTTCAGTGAGCATGGTGGTCCCAGGGCATGTTCTGAAGGGACAAGAGGCCTTGCTGAAGCTAAGCAGGCCTGGATCTTGTCAGTGTGTGGATGGGAGATTGCTTACGAAATGCACATGTGCTGCTGTGTGCTGCTTAGAGGAAGAAAGGCAGAAAAAGAATAAATAAGTAATAGGTGGTCCTTTAGGTGGTCCTTATAGCTGCTTTCTACAGCAACTGAAGTTTCTGAGCCGCCCTCAAAGGTAGCCCCATGTAGAGCATGTAATAGTAATCCAAGCTAAGGCACGTGTGACCACGCTCACAAAACAGTGGTGAACAAACTGGAACTATGTGGGAAATAACCTTATACAGAATATTTTGCATTAAGTAAAGTTCATACTAATAGCAGAAATTGAATAGCTTTCCTGGAGATTCTTCAACTTAGCCCTGCACACATTGTTGGTGGCAAAGAACAAACAAGACTGATCAAACCATTGGTGGGCCTCCTATGAAACTGGTGGGCTACATTGTGCCGGGAGGGGCACGAGGTGTGCAGACCTGCATGAACTAGAGAGGCCTGCAAGCCAATGTGGAGTCTTGTTGTATATAGAGTGTGTCCTCCACAATTAGCTTGCCTTTCCCTGCATAAAATGTATAAGCAAGGGAGTTGCTTATGTTGAGAGATCAACAACTATGGCAGGTACAGCTATAAAGTGACAACATTAAAATGACTAGAAGTGTTCTGCTGATACCAGGTTAGGATCTCTCTTGCTTATTGTGGTTGAGCTGGAATGGCTCTTAATGGACCTTTGTCCATTAGGACAAATTGAAGAAATAATGGCATTATTATACTCCATTAGGAGTATATTGAAGAAATAATGGCAGTACTTGAGGAGGAAAAGAGGAAAACTCAAATCCGTGTTTTGCTTGAACATCAAAGATGCACTTGGAAGAGTGAACAACTTCAGTCCAAACAAGTCCAGGTTAATTATGAAAGAATATATCTGTAGTCAAGCTAAATATTTAAATATACAGAGCAAGTCCCATAAATTGGGAGTTGTCTTGTGGCTTAAGGAAGCCTTTGTACTTTTGCAAAATATTACACACACACACACACACACACACATTTTCTTAACTATTTGTACGCTAAATGACATATAAATAGGAATAGCTTACTTACTAGTGCTTGCTTTTCCATAGCCCACTACATCTCCTGGCTACTAGCCTGCATATACATTGGGCTGACCAATTTCTTAAGTCCGCTTCTCATGGGCTGACAGGCAAATCTGAATGCACAGTGAGCCACATCAGTTGCTATTTGAGAAAGTCTCTCTGGGTCGATTTCATCCCAGTTTCTTCCACTTCAAACAAATTGCATGAACTGGACCTCCATTACAATGATCCTGCATCAAATGTGACATGCATGTGTTGACTGTTCTCTTCAATCATCTGAATGCCCTCCCTCTGCCTCTTTCTGCTTGTAGCTATTCATCGGAATAGTCCCCGTCCTGTGAAAGTACCTCGATGCCATAGTGATCCCCCAAATCCTCACCTCATCATCCCAACACCTGAAGGGTTCAGGTATTAAAAGCTTATCCAGATCCTTACTGCTTGTATTCTAGAGGAAACTGGTGTTTCTGAAGTTGTTCAAGCAACTTTACCATTTGAACCTTGATGTCTGCCTTTATCCAAAGGAGATAAAAAAAATTCCTATGTGCCAAGCCCGCAATACTTTCTCCCCTTTGAAAAAATGCATAAAACCCCACAGTAATTTTCCTTATTGTTATGAGTTCTGTGAAGAATGTCATTGCCTCTCTGTAACATCATTTTGATAAGTGACATAGCCTTTCTCCTATATCTGAACAACTTTCTGAATTTTATTATTATTTATTGCTTTCTTCTGTTCTCCATGATATGTGATTCAGTAATATGCTACTACAGTGCTGGAGCTAGAGGTTTGTTTTGTGTGTGTGTGTGTGTGTGTGTGTGTGTGTGTGTGTGTGTGTTATAAAAAGCAGCAAGAGCAAGGCAGCTCTTTCTCCCCATCTCTGTCCACCACAATCCTATCCTACAGTTTCTTGAACCTTCACTTGAACCTTCCCGCCCCCCATTTTCTTGCTGACTACTTCCTCTCCTTCTCCTCAAAAGATTGCAAACAACAGTATTAACCCCCAAACAGGTGGACCCTCCTAGATCTATAATATACGAAAAATGGAAACTTGGCTATTGATGACAAATTAGTGGTAGCTCTAGCAATAATGTTACTGATTTTTAAAAACAGTTTTATTAAGACCCTCAGACAACTGAGATGCAGAAAATGAAGATTCTGTTGTGCTGCTTTCTCTTCTGGTTTTTTAAACATGCATGTATGTGCATGCAAATCCCTGTGATGTTGCTGCTTCTGTTAAGTGTAGATTATGAAAGTTAGCTGAATATGGTGGCATTTCTGCATCTTGGAAATTAGAGGGTTTCCACATCAACTTGTCTATGGACGTTGTCACTTCACACCTACAAAAAATATATATACTATAAGAATTACTATACAAAGCCATCATGCGGAGACAGCATTTGCACACATCACACTAAATCACGCTGGAGCAAGCCTCAGCAGATTTCAGATTTACATGCTTCTCTCCTTTCCTCTCCCCTTGCAAATTGCAATGACATTGGAAGCTTTTGCTTTTGCATAACTGGCTTGTTTAAACAGTGATACCTCGGTTCTCAAACGTAATCCAATCTGGAAGACCGTTTAAGTTCTGAAATGTTTGAAAACTGAGGCGCGAAGGGCTGTCTGCAAATCCAATTGAGAAAACTGAAAAACACACAGCGGAAGCCGTTTGACCTCCAAGGCACGCTTGAAAATGGAAGCATTTACTTCCGGGTTTTCGAAATGTTTGTCAACGAAGACGTTTGAGAACCGAGGTACCACTGTATTTAAGATTAAATACAGTTCCAGGTCTCGACAAAAGGGCAAGCCATGTTTAATCAAAAGTGCGGCTCTGCGAAAGGAGAAGTGAGGCGACAGAGCATGTGAGCCCAAATAGCTTAAGAGTAGTGTATGCCTGCTGCTACAGTATTTGTACTCACTACACTTTTTGTTTACAATTTTGTTTTCAGTACTCCACATTTATAAATGGATCTCCTTTTGCTTGCTGAAAACAATCTAGGTCCTCAGTTGCAAGCATATTTTATAGTGCAAACTGGAAACTTAATCTACTTAGAGCTCAAATCATTTTACAGGTTGTTTTTTAAAAAACAAACTTTTCACAAGATTTTTTTCAGACTACTGTTTTGAGTCACTGTGTTTTAAGAATCCAGTAAAAATGGACCTGAAAGTCTTTTCCTGAAGCTTTTCTTCTCACTGCAGCACCAGGAATGTCCCATGTGATGTACGGAACCATTGCAGCCCTGCTCTTAGTCGCCCCACTCCCCTCGGTGGTGACTCAACTCAGCCAAAACCACCTGTCAGCAGTACAAATGATATCAGGTAGCTCCACAACATAGCAGATTCATTCCTGTCCACATCACTCATATAAACTGCTTGCAATTAGATCCTAGTAGTTCATCATGGTTCCATTATATGCTCCTGGTGATTACCTTGTTTCTTCTAAAAGTGTGAGATTTTTTTTTTTAAGTGCACGTTATGTTTATCCATTTTAAAAAGATCTTTTTTTTTTTACCATGCATGCTTGAGAACAATTTTTTATTTAGTTTTATTTTAGAACCATTAATGCATGCAGTCCATTTCCTTTGTTCCTTTGCAGCTTTATAGTAGCTAGGTGTGACTGAACTAATACTGAACAGAGAGCCTATAATATGTACACCTCTCTTAATTTCATAAAATTCTTCCCATGGGCATATAGAGTGAGTAGTAAAACCTTCCAAGAAGAGTTACACTGGTGACAAATCCACCGTAAGATGTTTCTTTGGCACACTGGACAACATGCAGTGCACAAATGCTACCATACTTCATTTGTTCTTTTTGAGTACCCCATATTTCAGATAAAGAGAAAACCCAGCAAAAGCAAAGCAACTGTGTCTGGTACATTGATAATGTCATCTTTAATTTTATTTGCTTCTCTGGACATTGAGTTGAATCCATCTAAGCCATGCTTTGAGAAGACCCATTGAAATCATCTAACTTAAATCCATTGGTTTCAGTGGATTTATTCTGAGTATGGTCTAGTTGGATGAGACCCATTTTAAATTAGATTTTCAAAGGTATAGCATTATGACTTGACACAGGCTCTTTCTTTCTCCCATTAATATATACATATGTATGTATACACCTGTATGCATAAATATGTATACCTTTGAAATGTATACTGCCCTGCCATTCCTTCCAATTGCTGCTGATGTGTTTCGATATGTAAGATGGCTCCATTTTTAAAAAAATGAACTCCGTCTAGTGGACAAGTTCCTTTGATCTAACAGGATTGTTGCCTGGTTTATTGTAGACCAGCGGCATCTGGCGCCTTCACAAGTGTTCCCCCTTCCCTGCTTCAGGATGATTCCTGCATTGACTAGATGACCTTCAAGGTCCCTTCCAGCTTCACAGTTCTGTGACTCTATGATCAAATGTAAATGTAACCTTGTGGTACATTTGCATGTACTGGTGCCATTGCATTTACCCCTCTCAAATATTAGTAGCAGCTTTTTTTTTGGAGAACAATCATATTTTGGGATTCCTCCCTCTCTCTCTCTCTTTAACCAGGATGCAGATCTAGACTATAAACATTTAGTTTGCTTTCTTAGTATGTGGCTTTCATTAACATACAGAATCATGGCTATTTTCACTTTATTTAAGCTTTCTGCTTTTAGAAAATGGTTGGGGGCGGGGAGTAAAAGTGCTAATTACGACAGCAGCAGTGTGTGTTCTTTTAAACAGAGGCTCCAGCGTCCCTGAAAATGATAGACTGGCTTCAATTGCTGCTGAACTGCAGTTTAGATCATTAAGCCGCCACTCAAGTCCCACTGAAGAACGTGAAGGTGATTGCTGTCTAAATTGTAATGCTTCCCCCCTGCCAAATTGTTTATGCATTTCTCCCTAAAACAAACAACCATTGTATTTCAAGGCCAACAAACAACCATTGTATTTCAAGGCCAGGTTCTTCTGCTGAATTATCAGTTTGACCTTCTCATTCCCAAATACTGTAGGTGTGAATCTATCGGCAGATTAAGATCTATCTTTATTATGCCTTATGGTAGAACGCTTTTCGTAGCAGATCTGCTATTGTAATTTAATGTAGTTGTTTGCATCATTTATGCCCCACTAACAGTAAGTAAAATGAGGAATTGTAAGTCTGGAGAGTGATCAGCTAACCTGCTAATTAACTGCTCTGATGATCAAAGAGGGCATTAACTAAATGATGAAAGGCAACAAGTGATGAAACCAGGCAGGATTCCTGCAGAGACTACGCTTGTGGAATAAATAGAGGCACCACTACTTTGAAGGCTGCGCTCCATAATTAGGACCAACCCCTACAAATACCCTTACAAATTGATACTGAAATATCAACATGTAGCAAGCAGACTCTGTTATTGAAAGCCAGCCATAAATATAGAATGAGAAATTGCCCTTATTTTTACAGCTTCATTATGACTAATCAGGTTATTGTCCATTCCAGACCTAACTTTTTGCTTATTAATCCTTTCAAATCTACAATTCTGTGGTTCTAATGGGAACCTAGAACATTTCAGGTTTTGACACTCTTTTCAGTTTATTTCAGACAGTAATTTTGGTTTTCACTTTTTGGTTATTCTACATTTAATCATATTCCTATGCACAGTTGTTTTTATGTGTATAACCTTCAATTTCTATAGAATGAATGCTTTATAGCATTGTCTCATCAGTCCCACCACCCTTATCCCATTCATCTTAAATTCATGGAGCCAAGAGGTTCCTTCTGTGAGTAGAAAGGCATTTCCGCTTGAGGTGGGGAGGCATCAGTAGTCTGTGGTGCCATGTAACACTATTTCTGATAGCTTTCTGACCCAAAGGAGCATTGCCTCCGTGGACACTGGGGGCTACTAAAAGGCATTGCATGGGGCAACCCAGCCCGTTTTTATGGCACCGGCCCCTTCCTCCTCCACCAAAACAAGTGGTGCTTGTTTCTACCCTTGCAACTAAATCGTCTCTAAAGAGTATGCAATCGATCTCCGTGTTTATGTAAATAGCTTATACTACTGTGGGGCCCTAATAATAGTTTGAACCATCTTCATATCCTAACATCAACAGGAACCAGTGCTAAGCAGTGGGTAAAAATAAATAAATCAGTTTTCTGCTCTATATCAGTGCCATCAGTTTCTTAAAGCATTTTGTTTTCACAGAGCCTACTTATCCAAAAGGAGACTCTAGTGGATCAGCCCGAAGAAGTTGGGAGCTTCGGACTCTTATCAGTCAGACCAAAGGTAAAGATAAGAGTTGGCTACTTAGCTGTGTTCTGTTTTGCCATGAATGCTAGGTATGATTTTTAGGAGTGCCCTCAATGCCAGTTGGTTTTGCTGTAAGCTCTCACCAAACTATATCTTCCTAGTAAATAGACTTGTATTTCTGTTAGTACATCGCTTGTAGGGTTGCAAGAAGTTTTGTAAGGAGAACTATATGAATTATTGCAAAAAAGGGCTAAGAAGGAGTTTATTTAAGATTTGGATTTTATAGCAATAACTATTAAAATAAAATGCAATATCAGAAAGAAAGTTAGAAAACCATTAGTCGAGGTTGATGGAAGTCCTAGGCTGTGATAGCCAAAGGTTTGTTATGTTGTATAAGATGGGGTGTTACATTTGGAAAACATGTGCAAAAACCAATAAAATTGTATGTATGTATGTATGTATGTATGTATGTATTTCTGTTAGTATACACAAATGTGCATATTGGTGTAAAACTTAAACTTGACAGCCATTGACAGCTCTTAATTCTGGTGGAGGATTCAGAAAGTTATGGCATTTACTGAATCATTTCAAGAACCACCAAACTAAACCAAAGATGAAAATGCCTTTTCACATGAAACCGAGGTGGTACAGTAGCTGCACCATAACCCCTCAGTCATGCATGGCAAAGGGTCAGCGGGAGATGACAATAGATACTTGTTCCTCTCTATTCTCATTCATGGCCTAAATTTAAAGTCTACAAAGAATGACTTATGAGTTTTATCAGCATTGCAGCTTACCATATCTTAAACTCATATAGTAATGGTTCTTTATAGTCTGCTTGCTTTTTTTTGGTCTTAAAGTCATTCTCTAAATGCTGCTGAGGTTGAGAAGTTTGGCTGATACCAGACAGTCATGGATGTATGATGCTGTCTTGTGTTAGCCCTCTACTGACTGTCTGATTTGCAGCAACTCATTGAGATTTCAGGCAGAGATTTGACTGCTCTACAGCCTGCTTTCCTTTTAACTGGAGATCCCAGGGATTGAAATTGCAGTAACAGGACTTGTTCAAGATTTTCCCCTTTCTTTCTTAATTCCTAGACACTGCTTCCAGGCAGGGACCCATGGAGGCAGTTCAGAAATCTGTCCAGCTGTTTGAAGAAAAGAGGTACCGAGAAATGAGGCAGAAAAATATTATTGGCCAAGTTTGCAACACTCCCAAATCTTACGATAACGTCATGCATGTAGGCTTGAGAAAGGTGACTTTTAAGTGGCAGAGAGGAAACAAAATCGGTAAGTTTCTGGTAAGCTGCTTTTCAGTAAACTGTATTCCTAATTGCAGTTTATTTTACAATACATGAAACCCAAGCAGCATATTAAATGCACTGTTGTTGAAGATAGCATCTGATGAGTATAAGTCAGTGCAGTAGTATATGGAGAAGCACTTGGGCTGATTGCCCTTTCCCCCACCCCAAATGTATGATCATCTTTGTGAAGGAGGATATACAGTGGTGCCTCGCAAGACGAAATTAATCCGTTCCGCGAGTATCTTCGTCTAGCGGTTTTTTTGTCTTGCGAAGCAACCCTATTAGCGGCTTAGCGGATTAGCGCTATTAGTGGTTTAGCGGCTATTAAAGGCTTAGCGGCTTAGAAAAAGGGGGGGGGGCAAAAAAAAAATCGCAAGACTCGCAAGACATTTTCGTCTTGCGAAGCAAGCCCATAGGGAAATTCGTCCTGCGAAGTGCATTGAAAACGCAAAACCCTTTCGTCTAGCAGGTTTTCCGTCTTGTGAGGCATTCGTCTTGCGGGGCACCACTGTATATGCGTGCATCACCTGGTCTTCCATTTCTGCGTAATCACAGTCTTGTTGTAGTTTATGGATGGAATCAGTTGAAAATTTTACTCGTGTACTCAGTGATGTGTGTACAAATTTGCATTTGTTACAAAGGAGGTTCTTCTGAAATGATCTAGAGGGGACTTTGCCCAAGCAGCTTTCTCTGTATGGAAGTTCTAGCAATTTAAACACTACTTGCCTAAAGCCTCAGTTTCAATTAATACCATTAGAGGATGAACACAGAAAAGTTACATTGAGGATCCATACACATATTTACAGGAGTCATTGTTCATACTGGCAGAATCGTGAGCAATATGTTCAGGCTGCTTACACTGTTATTATTCTTACATTTCTGCAGGAGAAGGTCAATATGGGAAAGTGTATACCTGCATCAGTGTTGACACTGGTGAACTGATGGCCATGAAAGAAGTAAGTACTAGACTAATAAAACACACTGAATTTTTCTGTTTTCTGCTTTGTATTAGCAGCAATGTTAATTTTAAAAATCACTGTTTTTGCAGATAAGATTTCAACCAAATGATCACAAAACAATCAAAGAAACAGCAGATGAATTGAAAATTTTTGAAGGCATTAAGCACCCTAACCTGGTTCGGTACTTTGGTGTTGAACTCCACAGGGTAAGCAAACCTCAGTTGCTGACACACGCAAATAAGTTAGGTCTGCAAACTTTAATCAGTTTAATTTGTAGGAACACACAGAACCTTTGGGCCCCCTTTTACATGCGACGTTAATATTATCAAGTTGCATTTCATCACATCTGTACATGGTCAGTGGAAACAGTGGGTGTGTGATATATTTCAGAACCATAATTGGGGATGTTTTCAGCTAAGTCTAGTCAGAGTAAACTCAGGGATATCCATGTTCCTAAGTGAATCATGTCCATTAACTTCAGTGGGTCTACTCTGAGCCGAATAACACCCTTCCTGTTTAAGAATCAAAACTGGGTGTGATGTGGAAGCGTCATACTCCAGCTTCTCAGTATCTTTTTATGTGCTTAAAAGGAGTAGCTGGAGTGGGTTCAGTTTGGGATTGAGGCTGAGCAGAGATGGCCCTAACTGAAATCCCTCCTCTCTGAAGCTGCTGGAGGTGGGGATACAGGTACAGTGTGGGTACCCACAGCAAACAGCAGCATGAAGTGGGTGGCAGTTTAGATTTGGAACAGACTTGTTCTGCAGTCTGCTTCAGAGGGTAGGACTAGAAGTTTGTTGGCATCCATCTGTCTCGAGAGACAATGGAGTGCAGTCAAACCACTGCATTAGCAGTACCAAAGGGACCTCCACACCAACCAGGTACAAGCCTGGTGTGGAAATTGCAAGGAAGCAGATTTTGGTTAAACCTTAGCAGAAACTTATTTTAAGAGAGATAAGCAATAAAACAGAGTGTTTTGGGGAGGTGGTTTTCCAAACCAGCAGAAGTATTTAGTGGAGCCTGGAACGGCATCTATCAGGGATGCTTTTGTTGCAAGATTCCTGCATTAGGCAGCAGGTGAACTCGATAATCTACAAAGTCTGTTCCTACTGTGAAATGGATATCGCACCATGTCTACACTGGCCCTGCATATTTTATGTTGCAGCATAGAGAGTCTTATGGATGTTGTATGAGATAAAAGCATCACTCTTGCATTAGGTATGGTGGCCCAAACTTCTTTTGTCTGGTATGCTTAGCAACCATCTTCGTAGCCCACCACAGCAGACAGTTGCCATTTCCCCCCATACCAGCTGTTGCCTGTATAGAACACATCCGGGACAAGGTACTGTGCGGTGCATCTACCATTCCAGGCAAAAACACAAGGCATTCGTAGCTTACAGAAGCATGCATATTTGAAAGACTCTTACTCTGCATACAGAAGATGCAATGAGACCAGATTCCTTTCTTTGTTCCCCAACTATAGGAAGAAATGTACATCTTCATGGAATACTGTGATGAGGGAACTCTAGAGGAAGTGTCAAGGCTGGGCCTCCAGGAGCATGTCATTAGGCTTTACACTAAGCAGATCACAACGGCCATCAATGTGCTGCACGAACATGGCATAGTGCACCGGGACATCAAAGGTAAGCAGCACTTCTGAATTCTTTCATTTCCCTTTTTGCTCTGGGCTGATCTGCAGGTTTGCATTTAAAAAACAAACTTTGGGAATATAACAAAACTCGGGGATATAAAGCTACGCAAACCCCATGTTAATGAGATTGCCCCACCTTTCTTTATTTCCTTTCCCTCATTTCAGGGGGTTGGACAAAATGAATCTTGGGATCCCTTCCAGCGCTACAATTCTATGATTCTATTATTTAATGCATATTCTGCTTTTCCTCCCAGAGGGGCCTGGGATAGCAAACACACCTGCAATTCTTAAAAAAAAATTTTTTTTAAGCATTCTCAAACAGTTCAAACATTCTACAATCACTTACAGTTTAAAGCATTATAACATAATGTGTCACCCTTTCCCTTCTGGAATAGTGCGTCCAGAACCTTATTTTCTGGGGCCAGAATGTATTACTGGTGGTGGTTTCTGCAATTGGTAGCCACCACCACGAGTTGTTGAAATCTGCTCTGGAGGGTTAGAGGTGGCCCAGGAGAATATTGGAGGGTGGCTAGTTGAGGGGAGAGATCTGTGAAAAAATGCTGCCCCACCTCTGTATTCCAGGGGAATCCTCCACTGGATCCTAGTGGATCCCATTCCTGGGGGTTAGGCAAGCTCCAGGACACTAATTCCCAACTGTGCATAAGCATACATAAAAGAAAAGTATATGAAGAAATCAGTATCTCTTCAGATTTTAGGAGGTTGGGCACTGAAAAAAGACTATAACCAACAGGCAGCTGTTCTCGGCTACATAGCTTTGATTAGCCATTACATTTCATCATTTGGAATCCAAGTCACCATTAGGGCCAGAGTTTTAACACTGCCAATCATAAACTAAGGATTGGAATGAAATTCCTTTATCAGGTCAGTGTTATCCCATGAAAGTGTTTCCCAAATGGCTTGCTTTGTGTGTGCCAAAAGATGGTATGAGTCATAGGTCCGACAAGCTGCTTGGCCTCTAGTTGTGGAGTTTGGGCAGAGGCTTGAAAATAGGCACGTGCTTGGGTAAGAGTTGCTGAGACAGCCCACTGTGCATCCATTTGCAGTGTGAGGAGCTGCTTCTTGACGCCGGCACCTCTTCTCCTTCCTAGAAGAATTGAGGGAACAGTCCTACATATTGCCTCTACAGGGGAGCTCTTGTGCTCTCATCTCTATTTGGAAGGATGTGCCCTGACTATTGGACCGACCCCCACTTTCCTATACATGTCTCCATTGTAGAAGGAGAAAAAGGAAATTGGGAGCTAGCCCAGGCAGTTGGGGAGAGCTGCCCGAATGCTTCCTGTCCGGCTGTCTGGGAGGGATGAGGGAGAAAAACTACAGGGCCACATTCAGTTCTCATAGCAATGCTAGTTAGACTGCTTGGGGGCTGAGGTTCTTTCTCCATCTCAGCTAAAGGCTTTAAGGGTGATTGGAAAAAGAGATTAGATGCTCTTTAGCGTTTTGTGGGGTAGAGAAACTGCAGTCCTAATGGCAGCTTCTCTCTCTTGTTCCTCCCTTAGAAAAATGGTGCTGAGTGGGGGGAGGTGTGATAACAGATCCCCCCATGTTTGGGGAGTTGATGTGTGCTGGGTTATGGAAAAAGGCTTTGGCAAATGAATCAAAGAAGTGGGTATCTCCCAGCTCCTGGTTATGTGAAAGACTCTTTTGGACCTAAAATAAAGTTTTTCTGTTTCCACAAGTTGTAAGTAGATACAGTGGTACCTCGGGTTACATACACTTCAGGTTACATGCGCTTCAGGTTACAGACTCTGCTAACCCAGAAATAGTACCTCAGGTTAAGAACTTTGCTTCAGGATGAGAACAGAAATCATGCTCCGGCGGCACAGCAGCACCAGGAGGCCCCATTAGCTAAAGTGGTCAAGAATAGTTTTAGGTTAAGAACGGACCTCCGGAATGAATTAAGTACTTAACCCGAGGTACCACTGTATCTATGCCTGGTTGTCTAGCAAGACCTCCAGACCAGTAATTAGGGTGATCACTCTATAATAAACTGTCTCCTTTGGGTTTAAAATCCTGTCTAATTTTTTATTTAAGAATCAATCACTCTTCCCCCCTCCCTTTCAGGAGCAAACATATTTCTTACTTCATCGGGGCTGATTAAGCTGGGAGACTTTGGCTGCTCAGTAAAATTAAAGAATAATACACAGACGATGCCTGGCGAAGTGAATAGTACTTTGGGGACTGCAGGTAATAGAGAACATGCCAAGGAAGTTTCCTTGTGTGTACTGACTAAAACCAATGAAATGTGTTATTGTAGACAATTGCTCTGATGCATTGTTTTGCTATGGGCACGTGAGCTCTGATGTTCACATTGATAGTCAGGTGCCTAGCCTTACCCATGCTGGCTTACCCATTCATTTCAACTGGCACACATTCCCTTGTGTATGGGAACAAACCTCTTGACTTGAGGCCCTGAGGAATCGCTGCCAGTCAGTATAGGCAACTCCGAGTCTGACTTGTCATGCTTCAAAGTTAACATTTACAAAAAGGATCAGATGTGCTTTACATTATTAAAATGCAAAAACAAATCACTGTGTGGGTGTGTCTGATTTCATGCCCCTTCCATCCCCCTCACCCATCCCATACCCTGGGATGATAATACCAATTTGTTAGTCATGAAAACAGAGAGTGTGTGATGCACTTTGGACATTTAATTTTTAAAAGATCTATTCCTAAAAAATGAATTCTATTCCTAAAACTTTCTAGACATTCTAGACAGCACTAGTTGTATTTCAAAAATCTTTAAATAATTTGCAGAATGACTTTACCTTGGGAGCTCATTTCGCACTTGCTCTGCAACAGAAGACTAATGAAACGTTTATTCCTCTCTAGTCAGAGCACAGGGAACAAATTATATGTGAAACATTATTTGTTTTTGAAAAAGATGAATGGTATTGGCTAAAGCATTTTATATCAACGGCTGCACAAGTAAATAATTTGGTTATGTCTATCAGTTTTAAACTACAAATCTGGTTTTGTAGGCATCGGTTTAAAGTTGACATAAAGTCTTATTGTCGGCTGCTTAGTGTAAGAGAATTTTAAAGATGTGGATTTCTGGCTCTGTAGCAGTCCAGCATAACCACAGTTTTGCAATTTTCCATTGCTTGGGGCAAGTACAAAACTGGGATGTGTAACTCTTTAGTTTAGCAGAAAATATCTGGAGGTGATTCGTATTAAACTTGTGAAAATATTTTTAAAGTATTGACTACGTGCATTTAACACATTGTAACAGAGAGCTGATGATCAAATAAGCAATTTGTGCTTGCCAGCAAGACAAAACTTATGGGTAACTTACTATCTGTTGGACATGATTTGGTTTCTCAGATGAATCCCATTTGTAGAAGACTCTTCTTCCTTTTGTTACATAATCTGATGTGATTATCTGTGTTGTTTCAAAGCATACATGGCTCCTGAAGTGATCACTAGAGCTAAAGGAGAAGGCCATGGGCGTGCAGCAGATATCTGGAGTCTAGGCTGTGTTGTGATTGAAATGGTCACTGGGAAGGTAAGCGTTATTGTGCAAGATTAAGCCAACCTCAAATACTCATGAAGCTGTATGGTAGTCTAAAAGACATATGGACAACCTGTGACCCATATGTGTGAAATAGTGTTTCTGTATGCATGGGAGCCTGGGGGCAAAAGATGCCCAACTTTGTCTAAAAAACCCGTGGCTGAAATTGAGAAAATTGTTGAGGAATTGTACTTGGGGTTGTTGTGTTGTGTGTGTGTGTGTGTGTGTGTGTGTGTTGCTGTTAAAGTCATATAGGCAGGAGGACAAGGACTCATTTTGGATAATAAAATAAAAGCTCTGTTTTATTTGCTCAGTGTGCTCTCCTCATACAAAGGCCTGCTTTGGATGTGGATACTTTGGGTTAATAAACTGTGATGTGAATAAGCTTTGTGCCCAACTGTATTGACTCTTCTTAGCACATCACAACAAGCCAGGGTGTCTGCAGTTCATCATAGCTTCCCATTACATCCAAAGCACCAAATAGAACATGCCAGCGTAAGGCTGTTGCGTATCTCAGCTTGTTATCCAATGCCATCCGTGAAATTTCTCATAGTGGAGAGAACATAATCAAGTCTGCTCCATATATTTGTCTTCATTCTCCTTTCAGTAAAATACCTGTATGTTAACTGTGTGTGACTGGAAGCACAAATTTTTGACTGTCCCCACATACATAGATCAGGTGGTAGTATCAACGCGGATTTAATTCCTGTGTAGAAACTAATAATTTATGAAGGAGCTTCTGTTTTGGGGGGCATGCTGGACAGGATACTAGACTGTTAAATTTCCCCCCAGTTTGGAATGTAGCCACTGCATTTATGTTGTGTATTAGTGAAACATCCACTATGCTGTGCTCTGCAGGAAAGTCCAAAGATAGAAGCACTCAAAATAATTGAACTAATACTGAAGCCCCGTTTTGTATTCAGCACGTGCATTAAGCCATCCCTGAGTTGTAGGGAAATGTTTTGGGGACAGAACGTTTTGTTTGCTGCCATTACCAGAGCCAAGAAATACAGAAAACTCTCGGTTCTGAGCATCTGATAACTGCAGTATAAAAAGCAGAACCTCTTCCCCATCTGCTGAGTATAATTTATTGGGGCTTTTACTGCTGTGTAATTGTATCCCAACAATTTTCACTTATTGCTGGAACACATGTTTTTCAGAATGTCCCGGTCTCTAACGTATTTGAAAGATAATAATAGGTTGTAATCCACTACGGTTCTGTCATTTCAGAATGGCCATTCTTTGCTTTGAGTGTTATTCTGTATCCTATTTCATTTTGGGCTTTGTTTCCCCATTTTTGATAATGTAGACCTGTAATCAAGTGTGTGTGTGTGTGTGTGTGTGTGTGTGTGTGTGTGGGATTTATGCAAAGAGCTGTATCATATTATACCCATATTATATATATGGATAGAGGTCCATATAGTTGTTATGTAATGCTCCTTGATGTGCAGGTTGAGTGTTAATGTATTTAATGGAACAGGGAAGTAGCTAATTTTCTATATACTGACAGTGGCGGAGCTTCATACTTCGGCACTGGGGGGGCGGAGAGCAGGTGGGGCTGGGCTGGCACGTGTCCTGGGGGTGGGGCACACTGCCTGCAGGGGCGTGGTGCCCAGTGTGGGCAAGTGGGGGGCAGCCGTGATGGCACCCTACCGGGACCGTGCTGCCGGGGATGGGCCACTCCCCCCCCCCACTCCTCTTCCTCCGCCAGTGTATACTGATAGAATTTTTCTCCATAAGACTATGCACTTGTTTAAAATCCTAAGAGGAGCCCTTCTGGATCAGGCCAAAGGCCCATCTAGTCTGGCACCCTGTTCTCACCGTGGCCAACCAGATGCTATTGGGAAGCATACAAGCAGGACCTGAGTGCAGTCCGAATTGAAACTTGCACAGTATGCTATTCAAGGGTTTTATGCTGCTCATGGAGAAATGCAGCAGCAAGCCTATGTTAAATCAATTCATTTGCAAGCTTACCCTTTCAACACTGATACACCTCCTTCGTTGCAGAGGCCCTGGCATGAATTTGAGCACAACTTCCAGATAATGTATAGAGTAGGGATGGGCCATAAGCCTCCCATCCCAGAAAAGATAAGCCCAGAAGGAAAGGACTTCCTTTCTCACTGCCTGGAAAGTGAGCCAAAGATGAGATGGACAGCTAGCCAGCTCCTCGACCATTCATTTGTCAAGGTTGGTTTAACTTGTTTTGTTCTAATTTCCATCAAGAATAGGATCGGGATGTTAGAGAACTGAATCTCTCTTCAGGTTACAATTGCACTGGCCAGGAGCACAAGGCAGTTGCTGGATCTGATACTCTGAAGCAGGGAGTCTGCTATATCCTTGTGACTCCACACAGTTAAAACCCCTAAAATGGCCAGGGTCCTAGATCATGTGGAGAGGCTATGCACATGGTATTGCAGGTTTCGTGTTTCAGAACTTCAGCACCAACACATGGACAGCAGTTTGCATGTGGGCCTTCAAGAATGCCATCTAGAGAGCAGCGCCGTAAAACATTGCCATCTCCTTCACGTGGCTGTAATCACATGAGAGCTTGAAAAACTACAGCAGAGTCTTTCCTTCTTCCTTTAAGCCCTACTTAGACATGTGATAATATCATGTGATATTTGCTGGCTTCACCCATTCTGTCACATCTCACTTGCTCAGCCCACGACCCTCCTTCTGCTGGAAGACAAATGCTGTCCTCATGTAGGATCCCTGGCCAGTGCAAGTACAGAAGGTTTTCTACCTTTTCCTATGTGTGGAGGGGTGGGGGTGGGGAGCCAGGATGTCCCCACTTTCCTCTCTCACAATTCTACTGAGGGTTTAGTGCCTTTAAAAGACTACAGATAGCCAACCGGAGAGGAGAAGGAAGAGACATGGAGTGCTTACTAAAACAATTTTAAGTTTTAAAAGAACAAATTATTATTAATGGATTTTCTTATCCATCCTTGACCATGAGGTCCCAGAGTGAGTTGTGATGGTTTAAATATATAATACTGAAATCAGTTAAAATGTATCTTGTTAAATCCCCCACGGGAGTGAGTATTCACACCAGTATACGTCTGGAAAAGCAACCCTATGCAAGTGTTCCATTTCCTCCCACAATGGGGGAAAGTACTGGAAGAGGAGCAGTGTGTGCCCTTTCAGAGCTAGCTGCCTTTTCTCTGGGTGTTAATGCCAGCCTAGTCTGTTATAGGTTATAGTGCATTTCTGGTGATTTTTTTATCCACTATGATTGAGTTCAATGAAACATTATTGCAAACATTTAATTAACATGCTTAATTCTTGGTAAAATACTATTACTATTACTATTACTTTTATTATTATTATTATTCTGTTATGAGCTGGGAAAGCAAACATCTTTGGTGTTGGGCACTCCATTCAGAAATGAAAATGGAATGTTTTCATGGAATCAAAGAATTTTAAGAGTTCAAAGGGACCATGGGTGTCATCGAGTCCATCCCCCTGCAATGCAGGAATCCTGCCTACAGCCATCCCTGGCTGGGCTCAAACTGCAACCTACTGGTTAACATCCGATGTCCTGACCCCTTGTGTCAGTGGTAACCACCATTTTGCCTATTGATCTTCAGCGGGAGAGGTCTCATGATCAATGTGAATGATCATGTGTGTATCTGAAGAAGTATGCATGCACACAAAAGTTCATACCAATAACAAACTTAGTTGGTCTCTAAGGTGCTACTGGAAGGATTTTTTTTATTTTGTTTCGACTACGGCAGACCAACACGGCTACCTACCTGTAAATGAATGAGCAGCGCTGTCTTTACAGAGAGCTGCAGAGCCCTCATTGAACCTGTGCACAGTAGATTTGATTATTTTTGTTTTCTCCCGGTCACTATAACCCATCCCAGGTGTGTACAGATGAAGAATGAAGTTATGCACAATGCGTGGCCTCCTGTTCTCTGGTGAAGTATCTCTTAATCACTACTGTATGTAATATTTACATAAAGACTATGCTGAGACCCAGGATACAGTTCAAAAGTTTCCGTGACTGAAGACTGCACAGGTGACCAGCGTCACTTCTACTGCTGCTCTCATTCATTTTCCTTTGGTGGGCGTTGCTCCCGGGACGATGCCCACGAGTTCAAAGAAGCTGCATGTTTCCGTGAAAGTGCCATTACTACTGTATAATGGACCATGACCTTATTTTTGTTCCTTCGCCTCCATTTCTCATATGACTGAGAACTGTAAAGTTAATATGTAGTATTTTTGAACTTTCTAGGTTCGAAAAAAAGCAAAGGTTAGTGTTATATCAGGTATTCTGGACCTTGTTTTTACTCTCCTGTTTGTTGAGTGCACTGACTGTGAACTTCTACCTTTTTTGTTGTTTTTTTATTGGCCAGCTTGATTTGTTATGCAAAGGCTGTTTGATGAAATCTAAAGGCCTTTCCTCAATAAATTGTTTATTTTAGGAAGTCTTTTTCTTTATTTCATTGTTCGAAGCTGTTATGTGTTAATTCTGATAGCGCTTTCAAGGGCTGTAATTTTACAGTACTGCTGCAACATTTTAATGTTCTAGTTTAGCTCATTGATCTTAAACCATAGTGTACATCACCAAAACCGTTGCAATTTATGTCTACTGATAAGGTAAGTAGCAGCTTCAGGATTTGTTCACAACTGTGACTTGACCTGCTCTTTAGTCCTCTGCCCGGTCTGAAGTAACTGGTGCTTACTTATCGATCCTAAAACACATTTCATGTGCAGGTATAATTCTGGTGGCATTTTAAGACCCGTAACCTTTAATAGCCAAGTTCTTTTGATAATTCTACAACATTCAACTTTCAGGTCTTTTGTTATTCATTACAGAAGTGAATCTTGAAAGGCTGCATTTGTGATTTTCTTATGTCTCTTCCCTCTCCCTCTCTGATGCTAGTTACTAAGCATTTGTGCTGTATTTGCCTTTATAACTTTTGTTTTGTTTCAGAAAAGATCCTGTTTAGGTATAAAAAAGTAAAACTGCTTGGGATGACATGACAAGACCAAATCTAATCCCTTGGTGGTGGTCATCATGTGCAAATAGCAAGAATAGACTGTACAGTCATACCTTGGTTTGCAAATGCCTTGAGAGTCAAATGTTTTGGCTCCCAAACGCCGCAAACCCAGAAGTGAGTGTTTCAGTTTGCAAACAGTCTTTGGAACCGGAATGTCTGATGTGGCTTCCCTGGCTTCTGACTGGCTGCAGGAGCTTCCTGTAGCCAATTGGAAGCCGCGCCTTGGTTTCCGAACGTTTTGGAAGTCGAACAGACTTCTGGAAAGGATTCTGTTCAACTTCTGAGGTACCACTGTAATCATAATATAATGAAGTCTTCAGATGAGCAGGCCATCATACGATTGTGTTCATTGTGTGGGTCACAAACTGGGCTGTATGAATCAGCCCAAGTGTTTGAGGTTGATGCTTGGCAGTGGCATCTTAAAAACCTGTAAACAGTGAAGAGCACAGTAGAATATATTATTTGTTCTTAAAAGCAAAGACAACTGAATGCTTCCATTATATTGTTTCAAGCTGAACTTGGGGGGGGGGGGGTGTTAAAAGCAAGCCAGATATTGGACCTCTTCTGTCTTACCAGTTTGAAGTTATTGGGTAATGTAGATTCATAAAAATCACAAACTAAACATTCATTATTTTGACATCTTTATTTTTGTATAAACATAATATTTAATATTATTTTTGTTAAGGCAATTTTAAAACATACAGTTGTTCATGGAGCGTGAACACTGATACTTAACAAGACAATATGAAATTGCTTTAATACACCAAACCAGAGTCAAATTTTGTTATTTTGGCAAGTACCCTTTCAATCTCAGGTGATACTTTCCTCATTACCTGCCCACTTGTGGAGAGCTTGGATTCAGTGTTAAATGTACATGTTCAAATTTTAGGTTTTCAGAATGTCAAAATAAGCATAACAGATCATCACAAAACCTCGACTATTTATGCCTCCAACTCTCACTGCAGTCAGAAGAATTTGAGGAAGTGCAAGGAATGAATCAGGTATGAAAGTAATTTCTTTTATAACAATAACCCTCTTCCAAAAGGTTGCTTCTTGGAAATGAGCCAAAGGCAAGTGTAGTTCCCAAACATCAGAGGGTCCAGCTGGCTGAGTTCCAAACTGCTTTTTAAACTACTGTTTAAAATGAATATTTTAGGGGCTTGGCACAGGCCTTGCTGATAGGGAAACTGGCTCAGTGTTGTGCCCAGACTGAACAACACACCTCTGCTACTATTCACAGGTGAGGTATGTGCCTTTTCTAAACATATTCATACTTCTGCCAGAAAGTTGAGATTCATAATGCAGTCCTAATGCTTTTGGGCTGTTGGTAATTATGAACAACCTATGCATGATACTATGATTAAAAACTTTTTACTGACTCAGTGGTGTCTGAGGATCACTGCTTGTGTGTTTTGGAAGCAGATCAGTCATCCTAGAAATACGCTCCTCAGAGGAAGCTCAGTGTAGGTAAGGGTCACTTAACGCCATGTTTGTTGTGTAATTCCTCTGCATTTAATTAGCTAGTAACTGTGTAAACAGACTCCTTTTGTTTCCTTGTTGGTATTTATGGACTGGGTTAATTGCATTGGCCCTCTGTTGTGGCCACAGCTTGTTCCATTAAGTGGCAGTGAGGAGGAGTTTGCTCCATGCTGTAATAGTCATAAGGTGTGAGAGGGGGGATTCTAATTAGCATGCATCAACATGGTTTTAAAAGTGGTGAATTTTAACATTCTGAAAAAATAATCCAAAAGTCAGGAGCAGCTGAGGCAGAAACTGCACCCCCCCCCAATGTAACACATACAGAAACATACACCGTGGAGAATGGGCTTTTATAAGGAAGCTTGCCGACATTCTATTTCCCCCATTGGTTCTGGGGCTTTTTAAGATAACAAAGACCACACATAGTCTGTATCCCAGTCAGCGACAGATTCACGAGCTAGCTTTTTTATCGCCTTCTGAGTTGCTTAACGAAGTATTCAGCAAAATGCAAGTAGTAGAACTTTTTATGTTTCTCTTCAGGCTAAAGGGTAAGAACATCAAATTCTTCCCTATAACAAATGTTTGGATAGGACCAGATCCTTCACTCTGACATGTTTGCATGCAGACTGTAGGCTTGAATCACTGCTGACAAGGAGTTTGTGTGGACAAATGTGCAGGTTTGGTCTCATTGCTGTGTTGGTCTCATCTTTTGTGTAAAGATGGGGTAGGTTAAGAACCACTGGACTTCCTTGAACTTGACAGAGGGCAAGCAAAAAGCACTAGGGCAGCAGCAGCATTTCAGTTCTGAACAGCTGCTCAGCTCATGGAGCTCTGTAGTAAAGAGTAAAAGCAACATCACTAGTCAAAATATGTTCACCCCCCCCCTCCAGAATGTGACTAACTTAACAGCACATCCTAAAAATATATGACTGGCAGATGGTCTTTTGTTACATCACTGTTGTACACCCCCTTTTTCAATGAAGATTTAAAGGTTTTGCTTTATAGAGTGTATATCGTTGCGAAAAACATTTTTTTATTTTCTCTCCCTTCTTTTGTCAAATTATGACAAAAGCACAATGGGGAAAAAAGCCAAATATTTGCTTCTGGTGGTTATTGATAGCTAGGTCCAAGTATACACTTACGTAACTTTCTCACCTTCAACAGACCACTGTCACTTATCCACCACCAGTTCAGGCCTCAGATATTGTTGAAATGATTTATAGTAGACATCCAAATATCCCCTGCATTTTCTCCTACACATAACCAAACCCAAACAGACAAAGGAAAAAGCAGGGTATAAAATAGTACACTTGTAGGGTCATCTAGTCCAACACGTGGCCCCCATCCAATTTGAAACCATACCCGGACCCTGCTTTGCTTACTGCTACTAGCAGTTTTATTATTTATTGGTTTTATTGGTAAGGTCAAATATACTTACCAAGTACATGATCTAGCCCAGATTAAGTACGTTTGAGGACAAGTGATTTCTCAAACATGCTTAAAGTGCTGATTTCTGGATACAGTGGTACCTTGGGTTACGGACACTTATGCTTCAGGTTACAGACTCTGCTAACCCAGAAATAGTACCTTGGATTAAGAACTTTGCTTCAGGATGAGATCAAAAATCACACGGTGGCAGCGGGAGGCCCCATTAGCTAAAGTGGTACCTCAGGTTAAGAACAGAACTCCGGAATGAATTAAGTTCTTAACCCAAGGTACCACTGTAGATCCTTTACTTAGAGCAAAACAAAAACAAAAAACTGAAAACAAAACCCTAGTACTTGTAACAAGGAAAGTAGCTTGTAAAGATTCCTGTCCTATGATACACAGTTAAAAATTACCAGCTTTTAACTCCAAATGAGTCTTCTTATACTCATTAAAAGGCAGGTGCAGCTTCTCTTCATATGGTGCCTATGATACCTGCACTTCCAACCTTCACCTTCCCACACAATTTCTAAAGGCACTGGCAATGTTACTGTACAACTGTACAACTGTACTGTACTTTGCAGACTTACACACAATGAATGTAAACACATTCAGCATTTACTGAACAGCAGTCTTTCTAACAGCTTGCATCACCCATTTCTTCAACACTTGTCCATTTTGCTGATGACATGGTACATTTATATATTGACTGCATAGCTACTGTGGCGACAGCCAAACTACACTAAGACATCACCCACAAAATCTTGAGGTTCCTCTCTGACGGAACAGATCCTTCTACAAGTGATGTCAGCCGGTTTCATTCATTCTAGCACAGGTTACCTTCTCTGCGCCTGCATGAATTTTACAGTGAAATTTGGGGCAAAAGTTGGTGAAGGGAAATTTGTCACTTCCAAACAGGGACTACTATGTTTCGACAGGGCTTTCCTAATCTGGAAAAGTAAGGCAAGCTTGAAAGGTCCAAGCATCTGAGGAGCTGCCAGCTGATGAAGTGCTGAGCCCCACTGCCAAAAGCATCCACCTCTGCACCAGAGAAGCAGTCCGTGTAACACAATTTTTTAAAAAGGCCCAAGAAATTACAGGCCACTTAATGTAACGCCTGTTCCAGGGCAACTTTATCTGCAGAACAACAATTCTTGCTAAACATAACCCTTCAGAAGACAACTCCTGTCTCACTATCCCTTAATTTGAGTGTCAACAAGACATGTGGACTTTCAAAATGTTCTGATGAAGTCCCTCAACAAAAGCTCAGAACCAGCTTAGAAATAATGGCAAAGGAGCAGGTAAGATCTCAAGGATCAGTAACTGGTTAAGTGACAGGAAGCAGAGCCTCAGACTAATCGTACAGTTCTCATAGTGAAGGGATGTAAACAGGGTCCCCAATAATATCTGTATTGGAGTGGGTGGTGGTTTGTTTTTTACTTTTTCATAGGGATGAGCAGTGACATGCCAGAGTTTATGATGTGACCTAATTATTCAGAGTGGTTAAAAACAAAAAGGGACTACAGAGAGTTCTGAAAGAGGTGAATGAGCAATAAAGTTAACTGTAAAAAGTTACTGTCCCCAATGCTAACTTTCCATGTACAGTACTGGGGTCAAATTTGACAGTAACTGGGAAGGTCTTTATGGGCAAAGTGGATAGCCCAATAAAAGAAAAATATATTGCCAAACTTGCAGTGCTGTGCACATTTCTGGTCACTGCAACTTAAAAAGTACACTGTAGAGCTGTATAACACGCAAAAAGGGCAAGTGAAATTATCAGGGGGCTGAAGTAAGGTCAACACTGGAGGTTATTTAGGGAAAAATCAAGAGGGAGGAGACACAAAATTATGGTGTAGGAAAAGTACACCTGGTGTGGAAATGTATGTCTTCCTCTCATGATACTAGACTTCAGGGTCATCCAATGAAACTGGATGGTAAGAAATTAAAGACAGACGAAAGGGAGAATGTCACACAGCGCATCATTAAACAACGAAACTTGCTGCCTCACTGTGTGATGGCTAACTTCAGACAGTTTTTAAAAGGGATTGAACAAATTCACGGGTGATAAGGCTTATTTTCTGGAGAAAATAAATTTCACTTTCTTATAAAACGACTAAAACGGATTGACAGTGTTAATCCTCCTAAGATTATGGGGAAGAAGGAAGAAGAAACTGATCATCAATTCCTTCAGATGCTTGCTACACTGTCATTGCATGTTTTATGTTCCTTAATTTGAATAGGGGGAAATTTGAAAATAATGTGCAGAATATGAACCAATATCCCCTGCAAATTGGAGGAATAAGGGGCAAAGAGAATGAATTCATGGCCATCTCACTGCATTCAGCTTCCGTAGATTTGAAGGAGAATGGCACACTGCAGTCCACAGGAGGTGTGCATGTTCCCTTTGGGTATGAAGCAGTCTCTGGAGCGTTCACTTTCATTTTTCCTTGTGGCCGTGGTTGCCATAAGTCGAGCCTTTGTTTATTTCCGTAACTCCTATCATCCATCGACTACCAACAGTAGCTGAAATAAGAAGAAGAATAGGATAGTTTCATTAATCACCAGTCAAGAGAGAAGCGCAGCCCACCACAAGTCTGCCTTCAGGCATTCAGAAGAGCCTAGTGTGTTATCTTTTAAATAGCTAAGCACCTCAGAATGTTATGTGAAGAAGAGTGAGCACCACTGACAATTTGGGATGTTGTGAGAAAAACCAAACATTTTAATCTGAAGTCGTACAACTGGCCAACAGCTAATAGGTCAAAACCTGATGAGAGCAGAAGTGCAACTCTGCCAGCGCTCAACAAGTTGGTGGATGAACAGGAACGTCTCGGCCTAGCACTAGTTCACAATAATTCATGCATATGCCATCTGCTAAGCACACAAGTTAACTGTTTTAAGTTCTAAGTGTTAACATTTTATTACTGTAACTTGCAGGAATAGTGCCAACTGAATTTCAGTCTGCATGCAGGTATCTTAGTACAAATAATGGTATTTCTATAAGGCATTTTTTAAAGAGAGAAAAGTATAGTTCCCCCCTTCAGTGAACTCATAAAATGGAACCCAGATAGGCCAGCATGATGAGCTTGTAAACAACTGTCAAAAACTTTTTGACACCACAATGTTTATTTTATTGTTCAGCTGTAAAATCCTTGAGCAGTTATGTGCATGTACCAGTAAGGCTACATTCAGTCACAACTTTTTCTCAAAAAGTCAGCATAGGCTAAGAAATAGAGAGAGCTCTTTGACTGGAATCTGCCAGATTACATGATTGTCCAGCAACTCTGATCGTACGGACTTCATGACATGTCACCATAACTAGCTTTCTAGAGCAAAGGACTAGCCACCAAAGGTATCCAACTATGAAAACTGGAGACAATAACATACAGATCCAGTCTGTACTTTTAGAAAATCGCATCTACCTCATATACCGTATTTTTCGCTCCATAGGGCGCACCGGACCATAGGGCGCACCTAGTTTTGGGAGGCAGAAAACAAGAAAAACTCATTCTGAACCCCAGAAGCCAGAACAGCAAGAGGGATCTGGCTTCTGGGATACCGTGTGGCTGTTCTGGCTTCTGGGATAACCGCGCCAAGCCTCTTCAGGGCAGCGGGATGAAGGCTCCCCCTGCCCGAAGAGGCTGCGCAGGGCTAAAGCAGAAGCCAGGACAGGCGCGTCGCTGATGGGGCGCTGCGCCTTCTCTCTGCGCAGAGAGGGAGAAGGTGCAGCGCCCTTCAGCGAAGCTGGAGAAGGAACAGAAGGAGACCCTTCTGTTCCTCCTCCGGCTTCGCTGGACAGGTGCGTCGCTGCGAAGCAGGAGAAGGAACAGAAGGACACCTTCTGTTCCCCCTCGGGCTTCGCTGGACAGGCGCGTCGCACAAGGGGCGCTGCGCCTTCTCCCTCGCGGTGCAGCGCCTCTCCTTCACAGGAGAGGTGCTGCGCAGAGAGGGATAAGGTGCAGCGCCCTTCAGCGAAGCTGGAGAAGGAACAGAAGGAGACCCTTCTGTTCCTCCTCCGGCTTCGCTGGAAAGCGCGTCGCTGCGAGCGGGAGAAGGAACAGAAGGAGACCCTTCTGTTCCTCCTCGGGCTTCGCTGGACAGGCGCGCTGCTCAAGGGGCGCTGTGCCTTCTCCCTCTCTGCGCAGCGCCTCTCCTTCACAGGAGAGGTGCCGCGCAGAGAGGGAGAAGGCGCAGCGCCCTTCAGCGAAGCTGGGGAAGGAACAGAAGGAGACCCTTCTGTTCCTCCTCCGGCTTCGCTGGAAAGGCGCGTCACTGCGAAGCGGGAGAAGGAACAGGAGTCCCTTCTGTTCCTCCTCTGGCTTCCAGGTCAGGCGCCTCGCCGCGAAGCCGAGGAGCCTACATTCGCTCCATAGGACGCACACACATTTCCCCTTCATTTTTGGAGGGGGAAAAGTGCGTCCTATAGAGCGAAAAATACGGTAGTTTTCCAAGGACTTAAATAGATAGATGATCAAGTTAAGTTACACCTGTGAGCATAAGAACTGCAAGCAGAAAATGCATTTGACTTGTACAAATAATTCCACAAGTGGCATGCAAGCCTTAAGACAACCTGTGTGCCAGACAGGCTCACATACAATGCTGCAGTTTTCTTCACCTGTCGCTTTTACATGCTAAGGTGGCTGTTGGTGTTCCATATTAATAAAAAGGCCACGAGATCCTGGCAAACTGAAACTGCTGCTGCTCAGGGCTATAGCACTGGGCCCTGAAGAATCCCACTTTGACAAGTCAGTTTGTGACATAAGGAATCCGGCTAAGTAGTCCTTGTGTGGTGACTTTTGCAAACTTGCATCCATGGCTACAAAAGTTGAAGAATTAGAAAACTAGAGCACAATCAAGGCAAAACCAAGGACTTTGGTTTATGTGGAAGAGATTCTACTATATGCCTTTCTCCCACTGAAACCAAAGGGAACTTTGCATCACTATTTTCAACTGCATCATGCACCTCAATCTCTAAAACAACATCCTTAGGAAGACAGGTCATAATCAAATATTAAAACCCAGCAAGGAGAAGAATGTAGCAGCAAGCATTAGGTCAATAGCCTATCTAGTCCAGCATCCTGTTCTCACAGTGGCCAACGTGATGCCTATGGCAACCCCATTGGCAGGCCGTGAGTGAAACAGCACGCGCCTGCGGTTTCAAACAACTGGTGTTCAGAAGCATACCACCTCCAACCGTGGAGCCATGGAGAGCATTATCCTCCATGAATTACTCTAATTCTAAATTAGAATACTCCTGTTACAGTCAGCACAATTCAAAACCCTGTCCCAACTACTCAGTACTCTGCAGGGTCAGTGAATGCAAGAAACCTATTAGTTTGGCCACTCTGAACTGGACAGGAATGCAAATTGCCCCCTGGCATTCCCAATCCCCACCACCGCATAATAGTAGCAACATAACCTCTTCTATATGCTATTCTGCAAAGGCACAATCTAACCATAAGTCACTGGCATTGCCCAATTTTTGTTCTCAGTGAATTCTCATGCAATTGACCATGATAATTGCTGCAACAGACCCTCAAGTGCCTCTAGCCTAGTTCCCACATTGAGACATGGCTCTGTTCAGGCCTTTTCTCAGCCTCAAGGCTGTTCTTTCTTCAGCTACACTGGATATGAGGCAGTTTGCAGCATGTCACTGTTTCGCTATAATTAAGAAACTTGCCCATATGCCATCCCTAGGGTATCAAGTTAATAAATGAAGTCACCTTTCAAGATAAAGAGGAAACAAATTGGGAAGAAGCTACGCTCTTGGATGCTTTAAACAGGAACCTCAATTGTTATCGATTTTTTTAAAAATGTAATTGGGTTTTCGACGGCACCTTAGTGGAGAAGAGGAATGAAAGCACATGTTCAGCCGCCACAGTATCCAACCCCACCTCCATCACATCATGCTAGTATCCCTTGGAGAGTCTTGGCTACTGGATAAGCTCAAGCAATTTCACTTACTAGCTTCAAGCCTCCTCCAAGGTCCTTAACCAATAGTCACCTAGCAGGGTCCTAGAAACAAGGAGGGAAGAGAAAGAAAGAAAGGGAAAGAAAGGCCCAGACACATCCATGCACACTGAGACACATGCACAATTCAAAGACACATGCTCATGCTCTTATAAAAACACATTCTATCAAGGCTGACATTGCTGAAAGGAGCTGTGCGACTTAGGAGAAATGGTTCGGGGGAAGATCCACCTAAGGACTGCTACCTACCCAACAAGCTACTGAATCAAATAACCAGCCTCTCTCTTGCTTTGGCTAAAAACCAAATATTTCAGGTAGCGGAGATGGAAGGAAGAAGGGAAAGTGTTAATAAGTAACCAGAAGAATGACATGGGAGGTAGGTCCCAAAAGGTAGGGAAGAAAAGCAAACCTTATCCAGAGTCTCCTTTCCTCCCTCCACCTGCCTGGGCATTTTTGGACAGAGATGGCTGAGACAGGGAGGCCACAATCCAGCTAAAGTGAATCGGGATTCACAAGGCAGTTCCCATTGTAAGACAGAGCTGACCCATTGAAATTAATAGCCATTACTAACTTGGGTAATCAAGTTCAGTTGGCCTACTCTGAGCCAAACTTGGTGAGAACTAACCCACATTGTTTTCAAACAGGTTTTATTTAATTGTAACTTGCTCCACCAGTTTCAGGGGCATTTGGCAATTACAAACTTTAGCTGGATCAAGACTCAATGTGAACTGTAAACACACATGGCTATTCCCATAGCAGAAGGGAGGAGCAGAAGGAGAAGGGGGGAGAAAACCCTATCCCCTCCACAAAAGGGTCCACCAGCAAATTCAGGGACTGGCACAGAACTAAAGGCCCCCGTAGTCTATAATGCCTGATCTAAAACCCAATATTATGCTGTTGACATTCAGCACTCCACCGTGGACACTGAATGGCTAGAAATACCCAGTCACTGATTGGCAGAGTGCATGATATTAGAGGAAGTCTTCACTTCAAAGAAAAGGTATTTCTGGAAACTAGAAGCACACATGACCCAATTCATAGGCAGGTATGCAGAAAATAAAAATCAGGTTGATATACTAGACAGAACATATACTTTTTTCCTTCCTGATAGCAGCTATCTACCCTTGCCATTCACATATGTACTCAAACTGAGTTGTGCAGCTGTTTTCCTAGAAAGAGGCTATTCCTGTGCTGGCCACCAGATGGCTTCTGCAACTTTCTCTGCAACATGTTTACTATTAAGCAGGAGATCCTGTCAAAGCCTTATGGAAATAAAATGCATTTAATTGATCCACCTTTTTTATCAGGAATGAGGAAGATGTGGCCCTGCAAATGTTGGACTCGCATCCTTGAACATTAGCCGTTCTGGCTGTGACTGATGGGACCTGGAATCCAATATTGGGCAGGCCACAGGTTCTTCAGCCCTACTTTACATTGCAACCTAAACCCCCTGCTTCCCCCTGTCATACCATCTAGTGGAGCTCAGGTGGTTTGTCATGGTAGCAGAGAGAGCTGGGTGACCCAACATATTTGCCATTCACAGAACTACTTTGGGGTGGCTTCTCAGAAAGACGGGACCAGCTAACCAGTTTCCAAAACCGGTCCCTCACTCCAGGGAGCTGCCACCATTTTACTACATAGCCAGATAAAACAGGGACACAAGACTGGCACAAAACAGAAGCATGACTAATGTAAAGCCCAGGCATGTGTTACACTATCCTGCTGCTACGTACCCTTAGACATTTCCTATTCAGCTCGGTATCACTCCTTAAGATTTGAGCAGGAATGCCCTTCACTTTGGGAAGAGGGAGAAGGTTGGTTTTTAACATGGATTATTAAGACGTTGCATGGCCAAGTATAATGAAATTTGGAACTCTTTTATACAAAATACAGTACGGTAAAAAAAATGTAATTAACTGTTAATAATCGTTATAATGATATACTAGACCTTTCCTCCTTTCTTATTTTTTTTAAAAAACACTGTATGCGTTGAATGTAAAATTAAATAATCTTGGATTGTTATCGTGACTTTCCCAGTGTTTCCCACATACTAATATAAAGAACAGAAGCAAAATTGGTAATTCCAGGAACCATGAACAAGAGAAAAATTGTGATTAGAGAAAATAAAATTATTTTTAATTCAAATTAAAATCAATCCAGAGTAATGTGACATGAGAATCCCTCTTGAGGGAGCTGCTTTCATTAAAATCCACAACCCAGCAAAGTTTTCTAATCAATGAGCTTGAGTGTATGCACTGTGGTGAATTGGGGGAAGGCTTTAGGACTAAGTTGGGGTATCTACTGTTGTATACATAACCTGGTTACGTTTCCAGAATCAAAAAGTAACTGTGTACTTTCACATCTCATCTATGCAATCTCCGCTCACTAGTAACAAGTAGTACTTAAAACATAATTGGTGACAAGCTGCTCTGTCCTGAAATTCTCACATGTAATTCTCACTACAGAGTATTTGAAACATGTGTGATGACCTCTCACATTATGCATGCAGTTTCAGGTTAACATTTAATATAGCCATGTGGATTTCTGTCTAGTTTGTCTAGCCAGTGATGAAAATTTACAGTAGCTTGATAGTTAAACAGGCAACACTTTCAAGTCAGTTTCAGATAATCCAATGCACTAAACATGCAGCAGTACATGCAACATGAGTAACTACAAACATTTCCTTTTTGTAATTGCCCAGCTAGCAATTTCTTGCATAGTTTAGGTGTAATCTACTGCAGATCGAAGTCTTTGAAATCTTAGAGCATTCTCCATTTAAAACCTTAATCTTACAATCTGCACAGAATTATGATTACAACCTGAAGAACGTTCCGAATATCCTTTTCCACTACAAAAATCAATCAATGTGGCCTCCACCATCATCACACTAAGCTATATAATAATTGTGGTCGTGCAACATTGGACCTCATTGTTTCCCAAGGCTATTTTTATTATCGGCTAATTCTCTTGCCTGTAAAATTTATGGGCTGGAAACATTCCACAACTTCTCAAATGTTATTAGCATTAAATATTCAAAAGCATCATATTGAACCCACCTTAAAAACCCAACATAGCCCCTTTCTGGCACTGAGTATCTGGGAGCTAAGCTGTCAAAGAATCACAGACTTCTAAAGTTGGAAAGGACCATGAGGGTCCCTCTGCAAATGCAGAAATACTTTTGCCCAGCATAGGGCTCGAACCCTTCAGCCTGAGATTAAGAGTCTCATGCTCTACCAGCTGAGCTATCCTGCACCATAATACTGTTGGGAGCCTGAAAAAATAAAATAAAAAACCACTGTGGATGCATTCTTGAATAAAAACATAAAAAGAGTAAAAATCAACAAATAACAAGAGATGCTTCCATCTCAAAAGGGGAAAAAAAGGTGAAACCTTTGGTTATAATTATTGCAGTCATTATGACAATCGTGCCACCAAAACAGCACTCCATATAAAAGGAGTCCCCTTATACTACATGGGGTTGATTCACTGGTCTGTCTGAATGTTCTTTCTCCTTTTAGTCCAGATAAGACAGCACCTGTGCTAACTGAATTGCTCCTCTAAATTGCTTTGCGTAAGCACATGTGTCAGGACACCACACTGCCTAGTTATTCAATTGTGGGCTGAGCATACAATGTGCAAAGCTGCATTTTCTGCTAGCAGCAGATTTGCCATGACCACTACCAGTGCAATCCCGGCAGGGGAGACAAATGCCCAGCCACATCTCTGACTGGCAGCCCGTCTCTCTGCCCTGTTCCTCTGCACTGTCTTAGGCAGTTACTTCTACCTGCCCCTCTGATTTTTCTATGTCCTAACTGTTAATACTGGGGCCAATTTTGAAGGCTTTTTAAGGAAGAAAGCACACAATCCATGCACCTGCAATTGAAAGTAAGGCTGTATATATTCTGTGTAAGACCCAACAACTGGTATCAGGTGTTTCTCCCCCCTTAAAAAAGGGGGGGATGTTTCTATGTGCTACGATTGCAAGACAGGCTTGAGAATGGATTTCCAGTAGCCAATGTTCCTGTTTGCTGCAGTGTTCTCTCACCACACACTTTATGAGCAAAGCGAGACTGCAAACCAACCAAATAGTCTTACTTAATGTATGCAGTTGGCACATAATTTGGGTTGCTCTGGTGCCATTTGTTTCAGTTGTGTGTAAACTATATGAAAGATATAGTTTACATTGCAGCCTTCTAGAGCCCAGACTGTAAGGTTAAAGACAGGGCGAACCCTTCCTCACTGTATTCTCCTAGTCCAAAAATATTACATTACACTTGGTTTTTGAATCTGTTAATCCAATCGAGCTACGCAATCTGACTGATAGGGTTAAACGAGAGCTCTTGAATCTAGATGAACTCTGGGTTTAATCGATAAGCCATACGAGTCATATCCGAACACAAGCACAAAACAGAGCATGGTCTTCATACACTGACTGGCCAGCAAGCACTTGCCAACAAGAAGTCCCTTTAGGGGAAAAGGTGGGGTATAAAGAAATATATGACAACAACAGCAACAACAACAACAACAGGAAGCTTCAGGGTCATCTCAGTCATACCCGAGACGTTGCAGTACTACTACTCTGATTTAATACAGAATACCAACTATTTTCTTCTGTTAGATGCTGAGAATGCCAAATATTGTATAAGCTGATTGGATCAGGACACCAAGAGAATGTAAGAGGGGGGAAAGGTAGCTTGAAAAAGAGAATTCATTACAGGCAAGAGAAAACGTTCTCTGATTTCACACAGGATGCTTTTGAATTATGCTGGGTGGCTTACCTGAACACATTAGCATAGAAAGACATGGTGCTCTTCAGTCCTGAAACCGCTGGTTTGACAAAACTGAAGCAAGTTTCATGAGCAAATATTCTGGAGTGGTGTGGTGCGGAAAGAGGAAGCCTGTTCACTATATGCTGCAGACTTGGTGGGTACTGGCTACAACACACTCTCTGTTTAAAGAGGCTGCTCCACCATTCACAAAGCACCTTTAAGTAAACATTCTACAAAATTATTCGTGCTGCTGAAGAAAAGACACTTCTATTATTGTAATCTGTTAATCCCTGTCAGATATATGTAATCTGGTTAGTAACTGTTCCGCAGAAATTGCAAAACCAGAGTTTTGATATCTTAATGTTGGGTTTAGTAGATAAACCCAGAGCTGACTAATATAGTTCAATACAAAATTGCAAGAATTCAGAATCTGATAATGAGCATCTGCTAACAGTCTTCGGACCGACTCAGCCATTCTGAGACACTTCAATTCCAAAAGAATAGGCACAATCCTGACATTCGTTTTCCCCATATTGCTCTTTCTAAAAGCTTAGTTTTCTTTTGCCAATATGAGGCTTAACTATCAGACAGGATTGAAATGTCAAGTGGAGACCCTGAGCTGAAGCCGTGTGCCCAAGCATTTGACATATTGGTTATTTGTTTGGACAGATCAAGCTACCATCACAGAAAGGAAAGAAAAAGACAAGATTAGCTCAGTTCATTGTTGGAAAAGTAAGTGCATTTGAAAACTTGCTAGCTTCACTTCATTTCTTTCCATTTTGCTCCCTGACTGGAAGAGAAATGAGAAGTTCTTCAGTGTCTTTACTCACGGGTACTTTTCAGTTGAGTTCTGCAGACTTTAAAAAGCAATATTAATTCAGAGAGAGAGAGAGAAATAAGATTAAGTTTCAGTGATAGCACAGCATGTCACTCAGCTGAATTCCAGCACTGCCTCTAGAGTGGTCTACTGGGGGCAACCGGTACGCAAAATTTCTCCCCCACCCCATCAGACCTAAATGTGCGTGCAAACATCTGATTGATGAACAAATGCTCAAGAAAATTAGTTAAAGGCAGAATGGAAAAAGGACCCGTTTCCTCAAAATATTATTTCTAGAGGCAGCCTTAAGGTTGCATACCACAGCTCACCTGCAATGAAAACAAAGGCAAACGTTGCCAGAGTCAGCGAGGAGCCACTGCTGATCATGTTGATGAACAGCTTGAACAAAGGATATAGCAACAATATGGCCCAGAAGAGCCAATTCAATAGAGTCCACGGCCGCCGGGGTGGCACTATGGGAGTGCCAGGATAGGCTCCTGTTCTGTAGTATTCCTCTTGAAAAGAATCCTGGTTAGGGCAAAGGAGGAGAGCGTGAGAAGACGTCAAGGGGCCCAGAGCATGCCCATCCCCTCTGAGTCTCCAACCAGGCATAGCAAATCTCCTTGTTCACCTTAGTAACCATTTTTGCCACACTGTCACTCACTTCTACCTTAGCGCAGGAACCCAAGAAATGATATGCGCACAGGGAGAGAACCACACATGTGACCTAAGCTTTGAATTCCCTTTTCTCTGAAATGGATCCCACTAATAAACAAGCTACTGTGCAGTTTTAAACGCTGCTGCTATAGAAACTGCTGTGGTGAGCAGCAGAAGTCCAAGGAACATGCACATAGCCATCCTTTGGATTCCAATTGGCTCCTGCAGAAGGTTTGATTGCCTCTGATCTCTTGGTGGACATTGTGGAGGAATATGACAGAGGCAACAAGCTTAACTGTTCCCCGCTCTTAGTTTGTCAGTCACCAACTCTGCAGTTTTAATGAGCCCTTATCTCTAAGAGATTTATAATCAAAAGAGAAGAATATTTACTGATCTTGGTGTAACATTTTGCAACATCAACATAGTTAGTTTCTAGTTGCTCTACAAACCAAGCAGTAAACATATTGGGGGGGGGAGGATAGTACACATAAACAAATCCTTCACCTACTGCAGCCTTGTGTCACATTCTAATTTTAATAATTTGGGAATTGATTTATGCGCTTAAGTTTCTGGGGAACAAAACAACCCATTTGGGGAAGTTCTGCTGCTTAAGTTACTTTAGATTATTCAGATCAGATAATATGTATTTTTAGGAAAGACACATAAGAGGCCTGAGGGTTATTTCTAGCTGCCAACCATGAGAAATTCCTCATTTCCAAATTGGTTTTGATGAAGCAAGGAAATGAGATATAATCCAGAGATCTAATCAAGTCTGTCAGCACCTCTGTAATACATTCTTCTTAGATTCAGCTTCACAGGGAAATTTGTCTTTTCCATTTATTTAGTGTGGGGGGGCTTTCTGCCAGAAAGTGACTCTTCCTTTTTTTTATGTACCACTGGTGAAATACATTGCATGTTTATTTCTATCCATTACAGTGATCACAATTTGAACATATTCCACGCTTTTAGACCTTCTACTGGGCAACCTCATGCCAGCTTCCCCCCTTTATTATGTGAGCAAGAACCTACCCACCCCTTCCTTCCTGGTTATTATCATTTTGTGTTGTTGGAAGTGTTCTAAAACACTTAATAAAGCATATAAATTGATGAAATCCAGAAGTATGTATTTTTCCTCCCAAAAATGCACGGAAGGTATATGCAAATTATGGAGGATTTTGAAGATATGACTTCCTTTGTACGTTCAGGGATAGTTAAACATCTGAGAATCTCATCCCCCAGGTATCGGGAACAAACTACATGGGAAGAACATCAACATCATTCTAGACTTGTGAGCATCTAGAGGCATCTAGAGCATCTAGGCTGGCTTCTTTTGAAAACAAAAAAGCTGGACTTGATGGGGCTTGAGTGGATTCAGAGTTACAATTCCTCTCTTTGTAGCACAGTAGCTTAACAATATCTAATCAGCTTGAAGCACTATCAGCCAATTGTTCAAATATACAGATTAATTCAAACTAATGGATGGTAGATTTGAAATGGGGAGAGGGTTTTTTTGGGGGGGGTTTAAAGAGGTACTGCATGCCATTATCTTGTGCATTGTTCATGGCAGAGCACAATATTTAAAGTCCTAGTAGCAGAAAGAAAGCAGCAGACTTATGCTCTGTTGCACAGGGTGTGTGTGTGTCTCCGCTGCTTTGCCTCCTCCTCGATTTCTAAACACAAATTAGGGTGACCAGACTCAAAAGAGAACAGGGCTTTCCAACTTTTAATAGTGGAGTAGAAGAGAGTATTTCAGCAGGTGTAGCTTGCTGCTGATATCCTTTCTTCTGCATCATTAAAGGTGCAGGAGCCCTGTCTTCCTTTTGCAACTGGCTACACCAACACAGATGCAGAGAGTTTTTGCTGCTTAAAATGCATTAGGAAACACAACTACTGCAGGAGACTGTCTGCAAAGAGGCTGAAAATCCATGTAGAGCCTTTTATCATCCAAAGAGCTGCTGAATAATAAACCAACCTTCTCTTGATAGAGTTTGTGAAGCCATTTAGAACATTCCTGCTCATCTTCTGGGATTTCCTCTAATGGAATCCGCCTACAAAGGATAAAGAGGAGAGAAAGAGAAAACCGCTTGCTAGCATTTGCTATATAATTAAAACCAACAATTATTAAATTAGAAGTGGGCAAATGTGTACAAATTCCAATCTAAAGCCATATGCAATTGAGTCAAGAGTGCATCAAAATGTATTAGCTGGTACAACTTGTACAATCAACTGTTTGGGTTAAGTATATTAAGGAAGGAAATAGCAAAGGGAACATACTTACCTTACATATAAATCTGCCTGGTATTTTTTGCCATTTAAAACTCCCAGCAAAGTTGGATTCTCATTATTTCTAAAGTTCAGTGTAGAATCATACACGGCTGAAACTACAGAGGAAGAGAAGACACCACACGCTATGATTGCTGTCACAGACTGATTTTTAGCACTACTGAGCTATCTCAGGGAGCATCACTTACAAGTCCCCTGCCTCCATCCAACGGTGGAAAATAATCACTTGCTATAGGCAGAGACGGTGGTTTATTATGTATTTACTTTTAAAAATACATACTATAACAACTGATAGGGAAGGACACTCAGAGGCAGGAAAGAAAGTGAGCTGCCTATCAAAAAACAAATTAGAGCTCAAATCAGTCCAAAGGACAGATCCGGAACCACAAATTACACATAGCAAATGAGTGTGAAAGCTGTAGGAAGGCACATGGTAATATCTTGACCAGTGTGTGGCTGGAGCAAACCAACACCCGGCTCTCCAGGATGTTGGATCTGCCACATGAGACATTTTAAAGAAGTGGCAACCCAGTGTGTGGTGTGACATCTGCAGTAGCAGATGGCTGAAGACAGGAGAAAGGCTTGGTGCCTAACACAACATACGCGACCACCTGCAAACCCTCTCCTGAGGGTGGAGGGGGCACCTCAGCAACTAGGTGCAATGGATACAGCAGCACACCATGTCCTGCAAACACCCAGCCAAGGGAGGCAAAAGGTGGATAGTTATTGACAAATGCACACACACACACACACACACACACACACACACACACACACAAGCTCCTAAGGTGCACCAGATACACATGCACAAACATGCATATGTTTTCCAGGTTCTTGTCCCGCAGAGTGAGGCAAAGGCATTCCATGAGAGCATCTTAGGAAAACATGGGATTTCCTGTCCCTTCTCCTACAATATACTTAGTATTCAAAACGGTGGAACTTCTGCCAAACTGAGATCAGACAGGCCCACTTCTCACCACACTCAGACTCTCTAATTCCAGCAGGCTAAAAACCTAAGGTGATGTACAGGTTCCTGTTTGGTTTTATTATGTTTTTATTGTTTTGTGCTATTATAAAAGCTACTGATTAAACGGTGCATAAAAACCTGAAATAATAAATAGCCGGTTTTCAGTTAAACTATCTGGTTGTCCAAAAATCTTACAGAGTCAGAAGATGGGCAATATTCCAGTTCATTTCAAACAAATTCAAAGACTGTTTTAGCAATAAGAAGCATGCTATGTCTTGCATCCCTTTTGCAGGCATATACAGCTGCCTGGGAGAATGGCAGAAGATAGGAAGAAAAGAAGGTGGCATCTTGTTTAGAGCACATTGTCAGTTAACAATCTCACTCCCATTCCAAAGGCTGATCATGTGAATGTAGGGAAAGGACTGCAGCTCCAGGAATCCAGCAGACCTAAACTGCTGCGAGTAAAATGAAGATGAAAAATGGCCTCTAGAGGTTGTGCTTTCACTTTCTGGAAGTGATGGGTAAGCCAGTAACTGCTACAACAGTAGCGTGCAAGTCCGCGATACAAGATGAACTGACAAATTGAATTAGAGATCTAAGGAAAGTGCAGAGAGCTTTATACACCAATTAAAATGGTCCTCTGAAAGGAAAGAACTGTAGTGCTTGTTTGGCTGAAAGTAAATAGAGCTAATGATCCACAATTAAGCTTGTCAGCTCATATCATTCTGGCACCACACTCCACAGCCCTATGTGTCATTGATCTTTTAACTCTTGACTATCTGGATTTTTGCTGAACATTTCATTCAGGATGGAAATTGCTGATATTTTCTCACCAGGAGCAGCCAAACTCCTAAATATTTTGAGTAATTTACCGTATTTTTCGCTCGATAACACGCACCTAACCATAACACGCACATAGTTTTTAGAGGAGGAAAACAAGAAAAAAAAATTCTGAATGAAACAGTAGATGTATCATTTTTGTGCTTCATGCTGTGGCCACAGACATGTGATTTGACGGTGAGTTTGGGGTAGCCCAATGCAAAGATCCTGAGGATCCATGTGGATCCATGCTTTGTAACCACGTTTTTGCACCATTGCAGCCCCAGGCAACAGTGGGTGCGTGATTTTTTTGGTGCAGGCTGTAGCCATGGACATGCTATGTGATCTGATGGTGAATTTGGGGTGACCCAGTGCAAAGATCCTGAGGATCCATGTGGATCCGTGCTTTGTAACCACGTTTTTGCACCATTGCAGCCCTGTTTTTGCATCAGATCATTGCTATGTGATCTGATGGTGAATTTGGGGTGATCCAATGCAAAGATCCTGAGGATCCATGTGGATCCGTGCTTTGTAACCACGTTTTAAGTGGGGAGGGAAGGAAAAACATAGAAGGGACAAGGAGCACCGAGAGGGGTGTGCAGAGAGGCAGCTGGCTAAGAATGCAGGAGAGGGGTTTTACCGGAGGGAGGAAAGGAAGGCAAAAGTTCCCCCCACGCACCCACCCAAGCCAGCCAGTTCTCTCTCTCTCCCCCCCACCTGCATGTTGCAGCACCGGAGCACAGAGAGGAATTAGAAGGAAGGACGCTCTGCTTTCCCCTCTGCTTGCCTGGAGGGGAGGGGTTTTCTCTGCTCTTTGTTCCGTTTGAGCAAACACAGTAACAAACAGAAGCGGGTGGGCAGTAAGACCCTGAGGCAGAATGCAGGAAAGCAGCAGCTTCCTCTTTTCAAGGCTTCCTTCTCCGGACGATTGATATTTGTCTGATTTTTACCTTCACTCGCGCCTGTCGGCTCCAGGGACCACACATTCGCTCAATAACACGCGCAGACATTTCCCCTTACTTTTTAGGAGAAAAAATCTGCGTGTTATAGAGGGAAAAATATGGTACCTTTCACAGCAATCTTGCTTGGACCAACTGTAAATAGGTCAGTATACAAAAAGTGTGTGTGTGTGTGTGTGTGTGTGTGTGTATAAAAATCGAATAATGCAAAACCACACATATCCCTCCTTACACATGTTACAACCCAAAATGGGATTATTTTTGCTTGTCCAACAAAAACCACTGAATCATTTGAAGTTGTATGGCATAAATATGAGGGCAGGAGAGAGTCCTAAGCACCTCTTCCCTTTGAAATGATTTTTTTTTAAAAAAAGAAAACAAATCAGAGAGCTCCGAAAGAAATTGAAATCTGAATAGATATACATCCCAAAAAGAAAAAGAAAAAAAGAAAAGTACAGGTCAGGAAATAATGGACCAATAAGCTTCTCTATAACGCTATATGCTATTACCTCAGGGCATCTAATAGCAGTCTATTTAGCTGGGGAAATGCTTCTCACATATATTGTGCTAAAGGACAACACATAAAGTGAGGAAATGTAAACTGGAGAGTTCATGCAGTACCTTTGTGCCAGCAAGCAAAAAAAGATTTGGGACAACCAAACTGAAATTAGGACAAAAGGGAAGGAAGGGGCAAAGGATTATGGAACTTCTTTTCAGTTGGCTATGAGGTCTGGCAGGTGTGGGAAACCCATGGCCTCCTGGATGTTGCTGAAAAACAAATCCCATCATCCATGGCCACTGACCATGATTGTTGGGGCAGATGGGAGCTGTAGTTCACCTATCTGCATTACAATGCAAATCACAAAAATAAAACCCAAGAGTAAGTTAAAACATCAATTTTGCAAAATTATCAAAATTTAAAATAACATCCCCCAAATAGTTTAGATTTTTAAAATCCCCTTGACAGCTGACACTGTTTTGAGCCAAAAAGGTAGCCTATAACTTTCTCACTGTTAACACATAGAGAACTATCCTGTCTAGAGAAAAAAAGTCATGGGAACCGTGGGTTCATTTGGATAATCATGTCTCAGCTTTAAAAACCACACAATGAACAAACATTTCCTCCCTCCCTCCTAGCAAGAGCAATTAAACCAGGAAGCCTTCTGTTAACTACAATTCCTGGTTCATTTGACCTGGGAGGCCATGGTTAACAAGCTTCAGAACAAGCCAGAATATTGAGCCAGCCTCAAACCATGATTTAATATCCTGACTTGGGAAACTGGTTGATGGAGGACTTCCTGGCTTGTTTGCTCCAGCTGCAAAGGAAAGGATGAAGGAGCTTCATATGCAGTCATGTCTTGTTCATGTCTCCAGTTATTAAGCCAAAATACCATGGTTAGAATGCAGCCATTTGGAGGAAGGATTTGACGGAAGGGAAGTAGCGTTATTTTGAAATTATCACGAGTAAATTATCATGAGTAAGCAGAACTGCCATTAAGCCTTTGCAGAAAAACTGTTGGTCTAATTTAGTGGCTGATGTGAACCAGTGGCAACTGCTGCTTTTGTTTTAGTTTAGATGCTTATTTAGTTGCAGTATGCAGATAACTCTGAAAAAAGATTTCAAAATAATATCTTGGAAACTTTTCCTTGTGCAATTCCTTACCTACATTTCTCAAACACTGGATGGTGACAGCAAATCCCTTTGTCCGTGGCAGCAGGTGATATTTGAGCTTGGGTAGGCCTTTGGCTTCAGCTACCTGCATGCTGATTTTGTGTTTTTGCTCTGTGAACCTGGTGCCTTCACAGTGAATCAGAAACTGAAAAAGAAATACATATATATATACCACCAAAGAGCTTGATAAGGAAGATAAACCGACTAAAGAAATAACAACAAAACCCTGCAACAAATTCATTACATTTTGTTGTATACCAGTGGACAGTTTACACAGATGAAATCAAATTACTACTGCTGATGCAATATGTTAATGCAGCATTTCAGATAAATCACAAAAGTGCAGCTGTCTCCAAAGGCATTAGGAGAAAGCCTAGCCACTAAGAAAGGTGCATCAGGCTGCAAAGTGCGTTACGCAGCATGAGTGTAGAAGCACGGATGACTCACATGGCTCTTATGCATACCACAATGCTCTTTCCAACTATCTGCCAAATCTGGTAACTGTCTTAAATAGCTTGCCACAGAATAGCTCGGTATCACTGGGGGTATTTGCTTCCAGAGGCAAATACTAGCTTCGTAGGAAGGAGCTTCCCCAAGACCACAGCAGAACATGCCACCTATTCATCTCTAGAGCTCAGCCCTCCCTTCAAGTGAGGTCAAAGAGAACTGGAAGATGCTTCATGTGGACTGTGTAAAAGAGGGGTGACTAATGTCTTCAACTTTGGAGGAACAGATCTTCCCCAGGCAATCGGCCCCACCTCCCAGGGATAACATGAGGGTCTAAAGGTAAAGGGACCCCTGACCATTAGGTCCAGTCGTGACCGACTCTGGGGTTGCGGTGCTCATCTCGCTTTATTGGCCGAGGGAGCCGGCGTACAGCTTCTGGGTCATGTGGCCAGCAGGACTAAGCTGCTTCTGGAGAACCAGAGCAGCACACGGAAATGCCGTTTACCTTCCCGCTGGAGCGGTACCTATTTATCTACTTGTACTTTGACGTGCTTTCGAACTGAAAGGTTGGCAGGAGCAGAGACCGAGCAACGGGATCGGCAAGCCCTAGGCTCTGTGGTTTAACACACAACGCCACCCGCGTCCCTAACATAAGGGTCTAACTTCAAGCCAAAAATGAAGAAGAGCACAGGAGAACCATGTTCCACTCCTTCACAAAGGTGTCACTGAAGAGGTCTCTAAAGCAGGTTTCCATTTCCTTATGGGAAATGTTCCTTCTGACAGGATGCTCTCGTGCTCCTTTTGATCCATCCAGGATCACTTCCTATGCAAAATCTCTTGGGCAGCTGCGCTGCACTGCGCTGCACTGCCCAGCCAAAAAGAAAAGCAAAACAAACTAAAAAATCAGGACTGCTGCTCACCTGACAAGCACCATTCTAAGCTGCAAATGAGAGTTCACCTATTTGGTGCCTGTCAAGTGCATAGTGGCAGCTTGCCAGTCCAAAATGGTGGAGGGGACTGGAGAAAGCTAAAGTACAGGCCAGATACAGCCTACAGGTCTCCTGTTGGCCACCCTTGTCCTACAAAACAACCACACAAGCCTCTAAAATGATGGAGTTCTTTGGCAAATCAGCTGGTGTGGAAGGGGTTCCCTGAAAAAGGGTAAAAGAGTATTTATGTTCCAAATTCAGAGTTATTACATTTTAATGGTTTTTGTGCCTCCTGAAAATATATGTTTTCTACTCTACTGCCAAGTGTTTTACCCAGAAGTTTTCAGGATAATCCCGGAGATTGAGTAGGGCTTGCACGACATTTTTCCGATCTTCCTCCCACTTTCGCGTGCAGAAAACTATCTCAAGGAAGTACCACATCCAGCCAATGATTGGCATAGAAGCAAGCTCTTTCTTTGCAAGTACTTTGGAACTCTGAAAAACAGAAGAAAAGGCAGAAGAAAATAGTTTATTTAAATAAAAGGCAATATATCTGTAACAAGAGGAGGGATAATTAAAGAGACACCTGTACACTTTTTTATATACATTCATGCATCCCTTTGGAGAGAGCGAATCACTGGAATAACATTGCAGCAATGTGCTCCAAATGCCCTCAGCCAGACAACACCCTGGTCGCTGTGCTTTGAATTAATCATTACTATTACAAAGCAGGGACATGCAACTTGTTCACAAGTCCACCAACCAAGTACAGCATCTTATGAAGAAGGGGATAAATATCTTGGTTTTGTTTCTTGCTTGAGATTACTCAAACAGGGGATTGTCAAGCACTTAGCTGGCCACAGTATACAACTGATTGGTAGGTTTGATATATATATATAAGGTCCGCATAACCTGTGATATACCACCATGCAACATTGAGCTCACCCTCTTCTTCAGCTAGTTCTACTCTTCCAAGCCAATAAAAAGGAAAGTTATAAAAGTGCCAATTTAAAAAAAGAAGATGCACAAAGGCACAACCCAAAATCTAAGTGACCTCCAATTTGCTTCATAGGGTTCCTGTAAAGGGCAATTGGTTGAAATACTAGTCAAGACTCACCCCTAAGACTCCAAATCTTTCGCAAAAGTTCCAGCTACAGAGAAAGTCAATTTCAAAGTTGTGATTAAGGATTACTATGGCATTCTCTGTCCCGTACTTTTCATAATTCTGGGGATCCGTGTAGAGTGTACAAATTGTGCCCGACCACCATTCCAGCAACATCACCAATTCTGGAACGAACAAACAAATCAACAAATACATATTTATAACATAACCAGAGGTTTTGTTAGAGCATTCATTCTTGATTCCTCAGAACATATTTATTTATTTCTTATATTTATATCCTGCCCTTCCTACCAAAGCAGCCCATGGTGAAAATGGATAATAATTGTCTAAGCAGAATCCTGAAGCACCAACAAACCAAATACAATTATACACAAAGAGGGCCTGGTTGTAGGAAACATAGAGATCATTATATCCCTTTAAAATCACTGGACGAAGGACTTAGGTCATAGAATCATAGAATTGTAGAGCTGGAAGGGACCCAGAGGTTCATGTAGTTCAACCCCCTGCAATGCAGGAATATGCAGGAATATACAGTGATACCTGGGGTTACATACACTTCAGGTTACAGATGCTTCAGGTTACAGACTCCGCTAACCCAGAAATATTACCTCGGATTAAGAACTTTGCTTCAGAATGAGAACAGAAATCGTGCTCCGGCGGTGCGGCAGCAACAGGAGGCCCCAGTAGCTAAAGTGGTGCTTCAGGTTAAGAACAGTTTCAGGTTAAGAACGGACCTCCAGAACGAATTAAGTACTTAACCCAAGGTACCACTGTACAGGGATCCAACCCCCCAGGACCCTGGTGTTTTCAGCGTCACACTCTTACCAACTGAGGTCCTGGATTTAGTTTTCTGCGGGGTTCTTTTATTTTTTACCTACCCTTTTATATTACTGTGAATAGTGTGGAACAGAAGACAGATCTCAGGAAGGGAGACAGCTGACAAGCAAGGAAACTAGGAACTGATCTGTTGCAATACATTCCCAGGGGGGGGGGGAAACACGCATTCAGGCAAGAACAGCTTAAAAGCTTTTGAGCTAAGACTGCTATCGTACTACTGTCAGTGCCACTCAATTTATTTATTTATTTTTAAAATAACCTAACTCTTTGATTTTCCCCCAGAACAAAAGTATTTCTTATCCTAAGTGAATTATAAAATTTAAGGGGTAAATAGACCTGTATCCCTAACAACGGTTGTACCACATAATTTAAATGTGCTTTTTGTGGAGGTGGGACAATTTAAAGGGGGGGGACTCATTCCCCTGCCTGTTGCTTTTGTCCCCCACCCCACAGTTATGGTTCTCCAAGATGAACTTAGTTCAAAATGGTTAACAAAATGGCTCTTTTAAAATGTGGTGATTTGGAGGGGGTTATTGGGTTGTTTTTAATTTTTATTATATATTTTGTGATTTTATATTCTGATTTTGTTGTGTGAACCGCCCTGAGACCTCCGGGTATAGGGCAGTATATAAAAAACACATACATACATACATACATACAAGGTAAAAGGACCCCTGACTGTTAGGTCCAGTCACGGACCACTCTGGGGTTGTGGCACTCATCTCGCTTTACTGGCTGAGGGAGCTGGCGTTTGTCCGCAGACAGCTTTCAGGTCATGTGGCCAGCATGACTAAGCCGCTTCTGGCGAACCAGAGCAGCGCACGGAAACACTGTTTACCTTCCCACCGGAGTGGTACCTATTTATCTACTTGCACTTTGACGTGCTTTCGAACTGCTAGGTTGGCAGGAGCAGGGACTGAGCAAAGGGAGCTCACCCCATCACGGGGATTCAAACCGCCAACCTTCTAATCGGCAAGCACTAGGCTCAGTGGTTTAACCCACAGCACCACCCGCGTCCCTACATATATACCAGAAAGAAGAAAGGGAGGCGGGAATGGATATATGAAGCAGGAATAGCAACTTATTAGAATCTCAGTTGAACTTCAGAACTTGGCAGAGCAAGAAAAAAAAAAAAATTAACCCCACCCACCTAAAACCTTCTCCTTTACATTTCACACTAAACGTTTGGAGAGATGAAGCAGGAAGAGCAGTGTGCCAATTGCATACTGATGACAACAGACTCCAAGTCCCTAGCTGATCTAGCCTACTTATTTAATGCTAAAAAGCATGGGGGATGAAGATGGAACCCAAAAATGCAAACGCCATGGGGTCAAGTGTGGTGTAGTGGTTAAGAGCAGTGGACTCATAATCTGGGGAACCGGGTTCGCTTCCCTGCTCCTCCACATGCAGCTGCTGGGTGACCTTGGGCCAGTCACACTTCTCTGAAGTCTCTCAGCCCCACTCACCTCACAGAGTGTTTGTTGTGGGGGAGGAAGGAAAGGAGAATGTTAGCCGCTTTGAGACTCCTGAAGGGGAGTGATAAAGCGGGATATCAAATCCAAAAAAAAAAAAATTAAAAAATCCCCCAGCACATTTTTTTGGACAGGCATCCAGGTATAAATGGAACCATTGCAATGCAGTACTGCCGCCTCAGACAACTGTTCCTGATGGATATGAAGATCAATTGTATCAGAAACCACTAAAAGATCAAGGAGAGATCAAAAGGGTCACCTTCCCCACATCTTTCTCCTGATAGAAGGAATCCCACTAGGCAACAAATGGTTTTTTCCCCTCACTGCCAAAACCAGACCAAAAGAAGCAGATCTAGAAAAAATTAGCTGCATCTAAGAGTGCTTGGATCTAGTTGCCCACCACTTCCCTCAAACTTCTTTCCCAAGAAAGGGACATTTGCCATCATCCTACTATAGATATTTAATATTTTGGTACATATTTTAAAAATGTATTAAAAGAGTGTTCAGACATGAAAATATACACTGTCAAGAGTCAGCACGAATCGCCTTCTTCAGAACTTGGGTACAGAAACTTCAAACAACATTTGATTTTAGTGCCTGAAACAACCGTGAATGCAAAAAAGCAAAACAAAAAGCATTTCCCCTACTAAGGATTAAAGCCACGTAGAATATCAAGCCTGACTGAAGCTTAAAATAGTTCTCTCAAGTGCACTTGAAAAAAATGACATTTAAATCAGGTGTTACTCTGCAGAATAGTAAAATGATTGCATAATTATCCTTCTGTAAACAGCACTCTTTGTACTCAAGCTTCTTCAGAAGGGGGGAGCAAAAGAAAGTGGGTACCATAAACAGGAATCCCACATACTCCATTATGCCAAAGTTTAGAAGACTTTTTATTTGAACAGACACAAATTTAGTACCATGAATGATTCAGGTCTCAGAATTAAGGGATTCAGATTTATATGTTTACTTACCTGATGGCTTTGCTCCTCATGTTGCATTTTAAACTTGCATTCTACTGGTTTATTAGCATGTGTGTCATACAAGCTAGCATCACCCCCACACTCCAGGTATTGAGGTGAATATTTTGAACACAGTGAAAGAGAAGTTACAAAAAATGGAACAAGGACAAGGGAAGATGCTGTCATAGCCAAAAATTCCATTTTGTATACCATCCACAAAAAAGAAAAGAAAAGCTGCCACTGCTTTGAATGTTTTTTTTTTAAAAAAAAGAATAAATATTTTATTATAAAACCACCTTGATATTTTCTGTTGAAGAGTGGTATGTAGGTTAATTAATTAATTAATTAATTAATTAAATATAACAACTCTCCCTGGATTTGTCTGCCTCAAAGTCTTTAACTGTTAACTGAGGCTCACCGCTTCAGACCCTCAGCCTCATTCTCATGAAGGGCAGAAAATAAGATGAAGGTTGTATTCCCTGTACTCCTTCCAAGTAATCCTCATCACATGTGTTTAAATGTGATGTGGAAGGCACCCTCGGAAGACTATATGCCACATGAAATCATGCGGTATTTGGCCCAGATGCATTGCTGTTCCTTGACCAGAATGTGCCAAAACACAGAAAAGTGTTCAACTTCCTTCTCCTGCTTTCTACAGCCACACTACCAGCCAAATAATGTTTTTACCGCTGCAACTTTTGCTCCCCTGCTGTATTCAATCAGCGCCTTCAGGGATGAGTAATTATTTGCCAAGTAATTGTTGTTTATTCAGTTTATCTATGAGCCCATGAATGAGAAAAGAGTACAAGAAAAATGCAACAGCACGCACTCATTTGCAGTCAGTTTTTTTTTAAGGGATAAAAATTCAAGGAGCATTAATTAAATCTTATTATTTATAGTCAAACCTTCACTGTACACATGGGGAGGAGTGGGGGAGATGAGCATCTTCAAAACCAACACAATCCAGGAGCTTACTACCACCGACTTCAAGTAAAGGTTTTAAAGAAAGATAACAGATTGCCCAATTTCCTGTCAGATTATTGTGGATACACACTTTAGCTTCAAGCACAACACTCATATATTTAAGTAATACTTCTCTCACACATGCATGTGCACATAAAAAACATGGGATATTTATTTCAGTTCTATAGCCCAGCTCACAAGTATGGACTGTGCAAGGTCAATGGAGGAAGAAAGGGCTCCCAAATAACTTTTGTACTCCAGAAAGTAACTGCCTGACCCTTTCACCAGTTGGACACTAATTCTGATTCATACAAGCCCTGGTGCAAAAACTCCAGAGTGCAAGGGGGGGGGGGATATGGCAAAAGGGTTCCAGAGGGCATGGCAGCAGAAGAGTAGGAAGCTTAAGCAAGACTCACTATATTGAAATTAATAAATGATTCTGTAATAGCAGTTTTACCTCCAAGTTCATGAGCAACACTGTCTTATAACATTTTATTTTAATGTTGTAATATTTTAATGTTGTATTTTAATTTTGTTTTTAAGTTGTAATTATTCAACTTGTTTTTATTATTGCTTGTAAGCCGCTCTGAGCCCGGCCTTGGCTGGGGAGGGCGGGGTATAAATAAAAATTATTATTATTATTATTATTATTATTATTATGATTATTATTATAACTCACAGGGAAAAGTAGAGAAAGAGAGAGAGAGACAACTTCACAGAGTTAAACTAGGACAGCAGCCTAATTAGCCGACATAAATTATCTCAGCTATGTTGAACAATTTAGATACATTTGAAGAGCTGGCCTCCTTTCCCCATCCCTTAAGCCAGAATTAATGTGGCATAACTAGAAAATAGATCTTGGAAGTTGCCAGGCTATTTTTTTTCAATTCCTAAAAAACAGCCAAATAAACCTTTTCAGAAGATTGCACAAACTGGGACATATGTTTGCTCCAATGACAAATATTTTAAGCATTCTGCTAACCTTTCCTTACTACCTTAAGGGAGGACTGGCTGAGTTTTACTATTCTCCAGCTCTGCCACTTCAAATGTCACAAGTAACACCTCTAGACAAAACATGTACTGCTGTCATGCCTAGCCTAACTTGTTTCTTCAGCATGAATGGCTCTACATCTAGATAAAGAAATTTACACTGAAGAATTTTCCATTTTGGTTGTTCCGTTTATGTCATGTAGTATGACAGGTACTAGAATGTGTTTTAGAGCACAAAAAGGAGATTCCCATTTGCACATAACTTCCAATATTCTAAAAGCTTTGGAGCTCCATATTTTATTACCCTGTTCTGATACGGAGAGAGACATTTTATGTAAGCCAAATTGTATGCTGGGCACACCCTTCCCATTCCTCAGAAAAACTACCATTTTCATTAAAAGCTTCATCTGGCTGGCTGCAGACATCGCCTGAGATCACCGCTACACTGAGATGGAAAACCTTCACATAGCAACTTCCCAGCAATTGATCTGAAAATAGCTATTTCCAGAGAAGTCAACCAGATGGTATTCTGGGGAATACATGCTACATATTTTCAGTATCCTTTCAAAATACACACACACACACACACACACACACACACACACAGAAGACTATAACTGGGATAAAATACCATTTAGGAAATCTCATTCCTGATGCTACAGAGTTTGAGAGAGAGAGATTTCAAAGTCAAACAGAAGGAAAGGTACAAAATGAGAGAGGGACAGAAAAGTTCAAAAACTTCCCTAAAAATAAAGGAACACCAATCCAGTGTTATATCAAACAGGCAACCTCACAAAGTTGGTTACAGCATGTGTGGTGCTGATAACATCAAGGTTGAGGGTTCAATCCCCTTAAGGGGCCGCTGCATATTCCTGCATTGCAGGGGGTTGAACCAGATGATCCTCTGATTCATAAGCCCAGAGTCATTAACACACACACACACAATTCCTCCCCCTACACACACCAATGCTCTTACTTGCTTAGAGCACAGGTGCTTACACACATTTCTCCCTTTAACCCTAATCCACCTCCTTCCTTTCCATCAGCATAAGATTGAGGCTGATACCATGTTGGGATGCATTGTCACTCATCACAGCAATTCCCCCCAGTTTGATAGTTTAGGGTAAGGTAAAGGAACCCTGAAGTCCAGTCAAAGGCGACTATGGGGTTGCGGTGCTCATCTCACTTTCAGGCCGAGGGAGCCGGAATTTGTCCACAGACAGCTGTCCAGGTCATGTGGCCAGCAGGACTAAACCGCTTCTGGTGCAACGGAACACAGCAATGGAAACCAGAGTGCATGGAAACACCATTTATCTTCCCGCCGCAGCGGTACCTATTTATCTACTTACACTGACATGCTTTCTATCTGCTAGGTTGGCAGGAGCTGGGACAGAGCAACAGGAGCTCACCCCGTTGTGGGGATTCAAACCACGACCTTCTGATCAGCAAGCCTCAGAGGTTCAGTGGTTTAGGCCACAGCGCCACCCGCATCCCTGATAGTTTAGGGCAGGGATCAGCAACCTTTTTCGGCCATGGGCCAGTCCACCATCCCTCAGACTATGTGGGGGGTCGGACTATATTTTTTTTGGGGGGGGAATGAACGAATTCCTATGCCCCACAAATAACCCAGAGATACATTTTAAATAAAATCACACATTCTACTCATGTAAAAACACCAGGCAGGCCCCACAAATAACCTAGAGATGCATTTTAAATAAAAGGACACATTCTACTCATGTAAAAACATGCTGATTCCTGGACCATCCGCGGGCCGGATTTAGAAGGCAATTGGGCCGGATCTGGCCCCCGGGCCTTAGGTTGCCTACCCCTGGGTTTAGGGTAGCCCCCATGCAGTCATGTAATCAAGATAAGCCACCAGAAGGCAAGCAGGAGCCTTGCTGAGCTAATTAAGAATTGGTTTTTTCCCTTTATGTTTCTTTATTTCCCAATCCTATTTAAACTAGGGGCTTATTAGATCCTCCTGACTCCTTATGCAGTAGGTCAAACCCCATTTTAAACACTTACCTTTTTATTTTGCACTAAATATATATCCAAAGGCTACTGAAAAGGAGGCAGAAGGAAAGCAAGCAGAATGTCACAGTGTTTTAAATGCCCACACCTAGCGAACTTCAGTCAGAGATTAAGTCCACTCAATCCCTAAAGGCTTCCAAATCTAATATTTAGTTTTAACCATGCCAATATACAAATATAAGCTCAAATGAAAAAGTAGTCTACCTAATGCCAAAAATAAAACATAGATAATTTGGAAAGACTAAAACATTTTTCAACTAAGGTGTGTGTAGAAGAGGTCAGATGGGAAAATAACTCTAAATAAATACTTGGCAAGCGAAAGACAATCCTCTCATTTGTGCAACAATGTCTTTTTCTTCTCTATTAACATTACAGGCACTGTTACAATGGACAATAAGGAAATCTGATATGCACTCACAAACTGAGTGCCAGGGGTCGGCAATTAAACACCATCAACAATGCACTGGAGTTCCATTTTTAGTACTTATTATTATTATCTTATTTCTTCAATTTCTAAATCAAAATGGAAGAATTATGTTTTAAAAATGTGATATAAAATTTTCCAGTTGAGAGGAGCGGATGGATAGGGTGGGAAAGAAAATTAGCCACTGAAACAGAAAACCAGATGTTTCAGAATACCCAGTGTGGAAAGGCAGCAAAGCCTGTAACAAGTGCAAATCTATGCCGCTTGCTGCTAATTCTGGTTGTTGGTGCCACACTACATCATGGCAGACACCGCCTCATTCTAGTGCGGGGTGTGGAAATCTGACCAGTGAGTTTGTGCAGGCTCAGAAGAATGATCTCACATTCGTTTTCAAGCAGATATCCAGTGCAATCATCTGGATTAACAGACAGACACAGAGAAGTTTTTGTAAGAATTAGCATTCAGCCATGGTTTCATCCCACTCTTCAGAAAATCATTCTACAATTTGAGTTCTTGAACAGCTCCAGTGAGTACGCTGGCTAGCCTAATGACAGATCCCCAAAGAACATGAAAATTCAAATAGGCTAAATCATATCTAGGGGTATACTGTAAACCACCCTGTGATTCTCAGATGAAGGGCAGTATATAAATTTAATTAATAAATAAATATCAGGTCTGAGGGGGGCCCAAACACAGGGACTCCCACTCACTCTACTCTTGCAAACCTACTCTCCTGCCTGCCTGCCTGCCTGCCTGCCTGCCTGCTACCACCTCCTTTTTAATTTTTAGATTCATATTCTTGTAGCAGCAGTTCTCTTCTCTATCCCTGGTTGGGTAGCTTGAGTAGCAAGCATAGGATTTCTCCTGACTTGCTTTCCCCCACACACTAGGAATTCAGAAAGAATATCTTCCCATTGTTCTACTGGCCAGTTTCCTTCTTGCTATGCACTGTACATTTACTTCACAAGAAAAATCACCAGAGGACACTGAAGGACTAGGACAGTGGCAGGAATCTCATTTCCCAGAGGGGTAGCTTTTTTTTCTTTTTATGCCCTGGACTTATGATGCCTTAAAGATGAACAGGTTTTATTATGGCTCATGTTCTCATGGACAACAGTCCACTAAACCTTATGCCACTGTTTAAGGTGGCAAAAACACCTTTGTTATTTTAGGAATGTGTTCAAGACAAGAGAATTTGGGGGATAACAAAAATGACAAAAATGCCTAGTCACAAGAAAAGTAGGTGCTGTACCCTTTTATTAAGTTGTTCCAAAAGCTGTACATACTTGAAAAACCTCTGACAATTTGCACTATGCCCCAAGTAGGCTCACACACTAACTCACTCTCACAGAAAGATGTTAAAAGTACACTCAGCTTCTCCAGCCCTCACAGCCCTCACCTCTTTAATGTACTCTGTTAAATGGAGAGATATATTAAGACTGCCCCAAGCCTCTAACGATCCTGCTTCTCAAATGCCAGACACATGAAGTGGTGTCACTGTGTGTCTCTCAGCAAGCGCACACTGGAAAAATATTTTCTAGACAGTCTAGAAAACATAGAAACAGCATAGAAAAAATAGTCCTTGCACCACTTTACATTTCCCTTGCCATTTTCTGGATCTAAGCTTGAGGAGAGAACTTTCTTGGGTTCTTCAGTATTTATTTGCTTTGGATTTTACTTTCCACATAACATGTTTCAACTACAGACTTTGATTCCTTATTGCTTACCCACAGACTATAAATTACCTATGAATAGGTTAAATAGCACCAGTCCCCGACTTACCACACATAACAGAATCTCCATTTCAAGCTTCGTATACAAAAACTTCATTCAGCATATTCTAACCCCGCTAATACTCTGCCATCAGTATTTAAACAGCCATATGTTACATTATTGTGAGAGATATTTTTGATATTTCACATCTGCTAAAGACTATTCCCTTTTTATTGGTCAACTTAACTATTTGTTTAACCATTATTCTACTGGAGTTTCAAAAAACCTGTTGCAAAAATTATTCTTTTCACTGCCACTCCCTTTTCTATTTTTTCCTCCTCCAAGGGCAAGTATTCTAAACTCTCCACTCAGCCCCTGGTTAAGACCAAGGAGCTTTGCCATTCACTGGAGAATGATTTCATCGCATCTATCCAAATGTCATAATTTGTACAGTGTAATTTGATCCAGAGATTTAATAACATCCCTTTGAAGCACACAAGAATAGCTATTGGCATCGTCTTTATTTATTCAGAAAGAAAATTAGGAACCAAGACAACTAACACCCGTGCCCCCCCCCCCACACTATCCCTTTGGTTCTCTTAGAAAGGCAAGCACACCTGTCATCAAAGCAGGCTGTGGGGGAGAAAAATCACTCCTCTGAAAGTGGCCACCAGGGAGCCCGTTACCCGCTATTGAGTTTATTCACAGACTTCGGTTCTTGTCTGTCTCTCTAGAGAGAGACTGTTTCAGATAGAGGAAGATTCCCTTGAGTTCAAGGTTTCTTTGGGAGCGGGGGGTGGGGGGTGGAACGGGGCATTTTTGAAAGCAGCCAATTCAAGACATGCAACTAGAATGTAGGCTGCCATTTAACCAGGGTTAAGAGACTGTGAGGCAGTTGTGTGTGTCCCGTGGTTCCCACCAGCTCCTCCTTGTGATAAAATGGCTTCAAACCACTTTTGTTGTTTCCATGAGCAGGACATACCTTGTGACAAGCTCTTACTTTGCTTCATTAAAGCTATCACAGAAGATAGAGTTTGTTAGAAATTTAGCCTTGCTGGCAGCTCATAACCTATCTCCTAACTAGGTTGTTGAAGGTGGTTGTTGTTGTTGTTTTTTACAAAAAGGAAATTTTTGAACTGCACAGTGGTATGTGATTGTAACTCGTGTGAATAGTACATGCCACTCACAGACACTCTGCATGGACGCTTTGTTGCTTAGAGTCGTTCTGGGACATTTGGAAGCCAAAAACAGAATGGCAGAAAATCCTTAGAACTTGGAATTCAACAACACTAATGCAGAACAGTTTCATTTTTCTAATCCAATTGTGTTTGAAACCTAGACTGAAAAGCCCTCATTGTGCAAATCTGTAGAGATGTATCCAGTTGGAACCATCTGCCAATAACAAAGGTTTCCATGAGTAGAAAGGGGAGGCTGCTCAATAATATATACTTAGGAAATTGAGGAGAGCAGAGTGTGGGAAGAAAAGAAGCTCAACTATCTGCAGCCTAACCATTAGAGACAAAAAAACACAAGCTATGTTTGTCCGAGGGAAACCCAAAAGCAATGATAATGTAATTGCTCAGTACTTTGTGATATTTTATATGGCTGTAACAAATGCAGCTGTATTAGCCTTTGTGGTATCCAAAGAAATTCATCCTGTGATTTGTAGAAGTTATTCATCACTATCTTCATAATCACAGTAAAACTTGGCACCGTTGCTAAACTTGGAAGACACTTCTACATGGCTTTTGTGTGTGCCACAATCATGTTATTTATTTAGGAACAACTAGGAGATTCTTCTTGCCCCCCCCCAAAGTAGGATGAAACATATGCAACACACATCTAGCAAAAGCAACATGAAATGCTTTACGCATTTAAAATTCACCCTCCCACAACACAACAGAAATAAAAGGTATAAAAATGTCTTACGGCTTGAAATGCAATAAGCCAGCTTGCAATTGACCTTCCTGAAAAGTTGCTTGTTGAACGGCCAGAGGATTAATGTGAAGAGTTGAATGAAGTTGATTATCAGTCCCGACACTATAAATACATAACTGATAAGGAGGTGGCAAATGAATTGAGACTTCAGAAACCCAGCGATGTCCATGATTTAAGGCGGCAATGCAAAGCCTTCAGAAAGCAAGCCAAACAATTCGGAAAGTTAACTGCAAAAAAGATGAGAAAACGTTTGTTTTTAAAAAGGTTAAACTCGTGTTACTGTGATGAATCCAACTCTTTTCTACCCAAGAGCAACAACAGATTTAATGTCACCCTCACAAAAAGCAAATCTCACAAAATTAACATTAGATGATACATAGCAATATTGGGACCATCTCTGAAATGTAGCACTAGTTATGGGGTAGTCTATGGTCACTGGGTCATACCCTTCTTTGATCCTTTGATCTTGATTATATCTTAGGGTCCAACACACATTCCAGATTATAGCAGGGGTTTTTTTTTACAGATGGAGGGAAATATGGGAAGTGCAGAAAGCAGCTATATAAAGCTACATTTTAAAACTTTGCTTATTAAAAAAAGAAAAGAAAATGTGACATTTTTCAGACACACACACACACACACACAGAGAGAGAGAGAGAGAGAGAGAGAAAGAGAGAGAGATACATGTTACTAACACCCTTAATGGATGCAGACCCTGTTAAGAGGTCACTACATACATCTTGATAAAACAGACAAACATTTTCAGAACATTTGCTCTTAGCTGCCAATGACACGGCACTGACAAGACCAAAAAGGAACAACTTGAAAAAGCACTTTAAATTGGTTACCTCTGCAGACTCTAAAACCTTGGGTAGGAAATATATGAAATAGTTTAAAATATGATCTATTTCTACCCTTCTCCCATTAAAACTCCACTTCAGAAACTTGAACATAGAAATGTTGCCATTTCCAAACAGTAAGTGTTAAAGGAGTTTGTGTCCCCCCCCCATCTGAACACCCACAAGGGGATCATGTTTACTTTCTATAAGAGCTGCACAACACTACCTATTGCTTTATTTCCAATGCTAGCTCTTCATTTCACTTTCAAGGTCAATCCTGTGAACACCATGTGCTTCTTCCTTTCCTTCCCCTCTGCTGCCGTGCCCGACAGAAAGACATGATGCTTCTTGACAGATATCACCAGCAGAAGGTTATAGCTCTTAAAAGATATTTCTAGAGAGACAAACCCAGAATGTTACAATAAGATTTATTAAAACTTACTTATGAGGGTAAAACCCTGTTTCCCAAGTATCACCTATTTTATCTTCTTAGTAAACTTTGTCAAACAAAATCTTTGTGGCCTTTGTTAATATACACCACCCACAGGTAAATGCTTGTTGTATTACTTGCAAATTAAAATAAATTTAGTTTCAAGTTTTGTGGTTTTCATTTTTTATACAAAACATCTGTCTGTCTGTCTGTCTCTCTGTGTGTGTGTGTGTGTGTTGGCACGCATGCAAGTAGTTAGCCTTGGGACCAGCACTGACTGTATTACACCCGTTCCAATCCTGCCTTTAGGACCAAGTCCAGAGAATAGCATTGCCTTTGAGCCTCCTGGTAGCTACACAATGGGGTGCTGAAGGGGACTCTCTTATCTCCAGTGCTATTTAATATCTACATGAAATTGTTGGGAACGGAATGATCATTCGGGAGTTTCGTAATGATAGCATATTGCTATCAGTATGCTGATGACACTCAGTTCTATTTCACCATAATATCTTAATCACAGAATCATATAATTGTAAAGTTGGAAGGGATCCTGAGGGTCATCAACCCCCTGCATAGCAGGAATCTCAACTAAAGCATCCACTGCAGATGGCCCTCCAACCTCTGCTTAAAAACCTCCAAGGAAGGAGAGTCCACCACCTTCTGAGGGAGTCTGTTCCACTGTCAAACAGCTCTTACCATCAGAAAACTCTTCCTGATGTTTAGTCAGAATCTCCTTTCTTGTAACTTGAATCCACTGGCTTGGTTCCTACCATCCAGAGCAGGAGAAAACAAGATTGCTCCATCTTCCATGTGACACCCTTGAGATATTTGAGGATGGGTATCATAGCTCCTCTTTTCCAGGCTAAATAAACCCAACTCCCTCAATCATTCCTCATAAGGCTTGGCTTCTAGACCCTTGATCATCCTAGTTGCCCTCCTCTGCACATGTTCCAGCTTCTCAAAATCCTTCTTAAATTGTGGCACCCAGAACTGGACGCAGGAGTCCAGGTGGTGCTAGGCATCTTCACTTGGTCACAAGCGGCTGATAGCCAGGTGCAAAATGTGCCTGGCGCCTGGCTAATTTTGAACACTGCCAGCAACGCCTTGCTGCTGCCTCACACCATGCAGTAGCCCCTCAGAAAAGCAATCTTTATGTTGGACTTGTAGGGCAGAATCAGGGGTGCTTGCTGCTTGCAAGTGGATTTATGGAACCCTGGGCAAGAAGAAGATTGTATGCATTAAGCTTGCCATATATATTGGACAAAGAGCTTTCTGTATAAGGACAGCTAAAATAGGAAGCAATTTAAAAGCACCTGTCATGCATGCTCTGATGAATGGCAATTTGTTCAATGCTATATTGGGGGTGGGGGGGTGAGGGCTGTTGTTGGCTGTGTATAGCTTGGTGTGTGTGTGTGTGTGTGTGTGTGTGAATACACACACACAGTATAAAGTTTTAGTATTATATATGGTTAGTCTTCATCTGATAAGAAGTGAAAGAAATACAACTTTTAAAAATAAATAAGTCCACATCTACTATTCCACCTAGAGGACATGTTCCCTGTTTTTTTTTAATGGAAAAGGCTCAGAAGACGGCATTGACAAAGTGTGCTGCATCTCTATAAACATTGAAGTCAGCCTGATCCAAAATCATCAGAAGCAATAAAGAACAAAATACCTGTCAGGCTTATATATCAGAAAACTTGAAGTCGCTTAGGCCAACAAATTTCCTGGGAATTAACTAACCTCAGCTCTTGCTCAAGCTGAATGTTTCAAATAGATTCTGTCTAGAATAGAAAGTAAGAAGGGAGCTGCCACAATATTTCTCTAAATAAATGTGTACTTTACAACTTTCACATACAGTTGGAACTATAGCAAACAGCACACACCAATAAACTATCACAAGCCCACTCAATAAACTTCACTATTTTCATATGTAATCTCCATTTAAATAATGACGACGATGTTCGGGACAAAAGCTAACACCTGTCATAAGACCATAGATTCAAAAAAATGTTCAACTTGTAAAGAAAAAAAAGTAAAAATAGACACTTTTTAAATAAATAGCAAACTACTTAAGCAGACCAGTTTTAATAGCAGACTACTAAAAGTTGCATTTATATATCCATAATAACACCTTACATCCCATTGAGAAGATGAAGTTTTGGCAAACCTCACAGGAAAAGCCTGTGGATGTCTAACTGCCGATTTTTAATAGTTGTTAAGTGATGGAGGTGTGGCATGACCGCTTTCAGGTATTTTAATGTCAGATTTAATGTCCATCACACACAACTCTGACCCAAAGAACAGCCAACCCCTGCACTATCCACTTTAGGTGACAGGTGAAGATTCTCTTCCATAAATGCTCACACAACAATAAATAAGTAGCTTTGCCACTTTTGTTACATTTTACAAAAAATGATGAAGTATAAAAACACCTAATGATTTTTTTAAAAAAACCCCACACACAGTAAGATCAGTTTATAAATGTCCATAAAACGTAATTTTATCCTTGCCACAGTTGGAATCTTTCACACATTTGCACCGATGGGTCAATACAAAAAGGGGGAAGGATGACGGGGGGCTTCCAAGCGTTTTCGAGATCAAAACCTTTCAGTGACAAACTAGGGTCTTATGGAGGTATAAGCAGATCCAAGCAACAAATAGCAGCAGCAGCAGCAGTAACTCACACTCTTAGAAATAAAGCTACTTACAAGAGAGAGTATCCTTCTCTCCTTGTTTGTACATGTCAGAAGCAAATATTATTCTGTAGAACTGCAGTGCCCAATGAACCTAAACATCTGCTCCAACAGCTGTGTCATCACCTTAGTCTAACTCTGGGAGAGGGTTAGTGGTCCAGCAGTTGTCAAGGGACTGCAACTCCCATCATGTCTGATCAGGGGCCGGGGGTCTGGGGCTGAGTAGAGTCGGGAGTGCAACAAAATTTGGGCAGCCGCAGGTTCTCCAACTCTGGTCTTAAGCAGCACTAGCAAACATTCTTGACAGTGGCAAGGAAAGCCCCTTCATTCAGGCACAACTTGACACACAGTTGAGCAGCAATTCCCACCAGCCATTTCCTCCCTTGGCTGTAAAATGTGGAAGCAACGATCTGGGGAGAGACAGGCTGCGTCTCCTTGAGCACCCTGTTGCATTTCATCAGCCAAAGCTCATTATTTTAGGCAACCACCACCTCCCGTTGGTGGATGGCAAAGCAACTTCAGCAAAGCGGCCGTCCATAGAATGTCACAAATGTCTGGTTTCCTGGGCAACCCTGTTCCCTCCCCCACCTACCTCCTCGCCGAACGTGAGAAGGCAACCAACGCGTGTCCAACCCAGACACAAACACACCCATCAGAAACACACAAGGGACCTTGCCGGGTGTCATTCTGAAGTCTATATGGTGACGATGGTCTGGTGTTTCCATGGAAACGGGGCAGAAGGGAAGCTGGAGCGGAGCATGCTGCACGGAGCAGGAAGATGCTCGCTGCCTCCAGCTGCTCGGCCCCCCCGCTCCACACAATGAATGGAGATACGGAGTGTTTGGGGTGGGGGGGACGCGGGAGAAGAGGAGGAAAATCCCACTAATGCGAGCGAGCTCTTCCACGGAAACGGCCGGCTCCAAAGCACCCAAACCTCTCCCTCCTGAGACCTAAGCAAGAGACAGTTTCTGCATCGCCTGAGCAAAGCGACTTGCATTCACTGGAGAAGCTTCTGCGCTCAGAGATGACCAGGGCTGCCCCCCCCCGCCCCCTTCCCCAGAAAGAAGCTGCGAAGAAGAGTTGCCGGGACACGTACCTGGCGCAAGGCAGCCCTCGGCATCGGCGCGGGGCGAGAGCAAAGGCGGGACACGAGCGGCGAGGGGAAGGAAGGCAGGCTCCGCCCTCGGGGTGGGTCCCTTCGCAAAAGGAAAACAGGCTCCTTCGCTGACGCTCCTCTCGGTCACTTCCTTGCAAAGCGGCAGGAGGGAGAGAGACAAAAAAGGGGGCTGCTTCCCTCGGTCCTTCTCAAAGCAGACACAGGCAGCCCCCCCCCCCGAAATACACACTTGGCTTTCAGCTGTTGCAGAAGCCAGTCTCCAGATAAAAGCCCTTGGTGGAGCATCTTTTCCTTCCCCTCTGCTAAGACGCACACGGCTCTTGCAGAAGGAGCCTCGTGTCCTGCCCAGAGGAGCGTGGCCTCCAAATTAGATCATTATTCATTGAAATGAAACATGGCCCGTGAGCATAACAAACGGGGAAATGCCCCCCCCCTACTCAACGCCTGGAAAGTTAATCAACAAAAGGAAACAGATTTAGAGTGCGACCATTTCTCAGAATGACAAATCTTTTTTGACTACTAGGAAGCTAAAAGTGCTAGCTGGTGTGTGGAAGCTTTTGGCTCTGGACACCAGATACAGCCCAAGGCCCCAAGCCAATGTATGGTCACTTGGAAGTAAGTCCTGCTGTGTTCAGTAGAGCTCACCCATAAATGTGTGCAAAAGATGGCCACATTAAAGGTAAAATCTTCAAGGGCCCCTGGTGGCTACACTATGAGGTGCCGTGTGGGACTATATTTTCTCCAGTGCCAATTAATATCTACATGAAGCTGCTGGGTATGGTCATTAGGAGTTTCAGGGCAAGGTGGCATCAGTCTGCTGATGACAGCTCTATTTATCTGCAACAACATCTGAATCAGGATAATAAAAATTATTTAAGACAAAACAAAACATCTGAATCAGGAGGGGCTGCGCATTGCAATCGCTGGACCTGATGGTGAAATGGATGAGGAAAAGCAAGCTGAGCTTGAATCCTGGCAAGATGGAGGCACTGTAGGCGAGTACAGGGCTGACCCAAGACATTTTGGCACCTGAGGTGAACCACAAAATGCCCTCTTCCAGCGAAGAAGTGGTGAATGAAGAGCTACATCAGGAATAATGGGGGGGGGGGTAAAGATCTATCTTAGGAACAAAGGTGGGAGGAGACCAGCATTGCCTCCTATTCACCAAGAGGCAGCCTTGGGGGAGTTGCAGAGGAGGTGACAGATCCTGCCTCCAAGGAGCCTGCACTGGCACTGCAAGAGACAGTTGTGAAACTGCACCTAACTATAGAGTAATATGTTTGCTTGTTTTTATTTGTCATGGTTGGCAAATGTTTTGTTTGTCTTCTGTGGGTATTTTGCTGTCACTCTCAGGGCTATGAAACATACGCTAGGTTAATATATGCATATGCAGCAGTTCTTGTCAACAGATTGTCTGCAGTGTGGAGTGGGGGCAATGCAGGGGGCCCAATCCACATACAGTGTCCTGGGTCCAGGAAATCCTGCTTGTATCCCTGGGTACCCTCCCTTCCCCACATGGCACAGAACACATGGTACGGCTGAGAGCTGTCACAGATTCTAATAATGATACTCTAATTTAAAACTATGTAAGTAGCTTTATCTCCCATGGGGCCTAAGAGCTTGGCTTCTCAGACAATTCCCTCTCCACCATATATCCCATGGTGCCAGGGAATAATCTGAAGTCATGACACAGAGTTCTATTGCTGGAGCTGAATGTTCCAGTTTACTGCTCAAATTACAGGAGGGGTGGTTGTCGGTGGGCGCCAACCCTATTACATTTTGCAAATATATTTTTTAAAAAATTAAAAATTGTCCAGTAGCAGCTTAGAGACCAACTAAGTTTGTTCTTGGTATGAGCTTTCATGTGCAAAGTCTCTTGCTAATCCTTTTAGAAGGGAATGTTTGAGTTAAACTTGGAGGGGGTGCCCCCATTTCTCCCACACCCAATAATTCAAGCATTACCCTTGGTCTTGTAGTAACAGAAGGCACAAAAAACCTCACCCAAGTTTAAAAGGGGGGGGGGGAATACCGTAATAATCTGAGCCTTCTCAAGAGTAGTCAAGAGGAAAAGAGGCAATGCATGATGATGACCCGAGTATTACTTCCATATCATATAGGAAGCATGCATGTACCCATTTCCCCATGCACTCACACAACAGGAAGCTGTGCCTGGCTATAGTTTCACATCTGTGGTATATGCTGCAAAAAATGGCGCGCGCACAGACATGTCATTTAATGACACATTGTACACGCTTTCCCCTACAATGGGAGAGACAACTATCTGGAATATTATGTCACATGAAGTACCCATTGGGTGACAAAACTCATTTTAAGCTTTCAAATGAAACAAAGCACACAGAATAAATTAATGAAAAACAGCAATAATGGACAGCAAACTTAGGATGTATTTGAGAGACAGTGGCAGATGAAGGGGGGGTACAGTCCACCCTGGGTGTCATCACTGGGTGACAAAATGACAAAAATATTAGTTTTTTTAAAAATGGGGCTCACAAAACTTTTTAGTTCTGTCAACAAACGTAATGAAATGCGGCTGGCATGGGTGCCGCACCGCGTGGGCCGGCACTTACCGTGGGGCCTGCAGCATGCCTGAGCCACGCATCTCTCCTGGGAGTGTTGTGGTGGCTCGGGTGCCTCCAGGCTTCATGCTGCCCGAAACGGCAGCGTGGGACTTGTGTCTGCCCACCACCTCTCCCTCAGCCACCCTACAGCTGAGGGGGAGGCGGTGGAGAGGCTCCATGCAGTGTGCCCCGCCCCTTGGGCGGCTTGCCCCGCCCCTGGCTGCAGGACGCATGCCACACCCAGCACCCGAGTGGCTAGGCTAGCTACACCGCTGTCAAGAGAGAGGAAGAAAGAAAATGGGCAAGACCGATGGTTGAGCCTGGGTTCAGTTCAGCAGTACATGTACCTCAATCCAACTGCAAAGATGGAAGGGACACACCAATAGCCCTCTTTCTATATTACACTTTTCTTCACTCATACACACTGTTAACACAACATATGTACCAAAATGAATTTTTACAAAGAGAAGTCTAGCAGTTCAACATACAAATCAAGCTATATGGAAGAAGCCAGAAATACACAAGATAAATATGAGGAAAGACTTAGCTTTCAGTTTCACAATAATAAATTCAAAGCTCTTCTTCTGAAAAAATAATTCAGCGCCACTTCACTTTTCAACAGAACACTCGATCATCCCACTTATAATAGTGAAACATGACAATCTGTTAACTTTTGATGGAGATATCTTTGAGCCCACCACTGTGAAACAATCCTGACACCATGTTTTGGTTTCAGTCAATTGTAATTTGGGAAAGAAGTCAATTTGTGTCTTTCTGCTGCTAACGTTTGCCAAAGGCTCTCCCAAAAACCCCAGATATGGAATGATAACAGCACTCCAAGTTGAAAACCGCACAGGCTATACTCACCCCATTCTTCCTATGGCTTCCACAGTTGGCCACTAACTCTAGGTAACAATTATTTCCTGCAAGACAGTCATGGTACTTCCACACTATACATCTACTGTGTGACCACTGTGTGTTTACTCACGTTTTACAGAGCATATTGTAAACATTGCTCCCCACCTTATGCTTTCCCTGTAGTTCTTCCCCTTTTTCTCAGACCTCAAAAGATCTATGGTTTACCATTTCTGCCCCTCACCCACCTTTTGAATGGAAATGCAATCTCCTCCTTTCACAATGTTACCCAGGATCATTCAGTAAAGTGGAATATTGGAAGATCCAGGACGCACAAAATGAAGTTGTTGGTAACACAACGCAGAGCTCATCTCTGGAATTTGACACAAGATGCCTTGATGGTCACCAACAGGAATGTTTTTTTTAAATGAATTAGACAAATTCAAGTAGGATAAGGCTATTAATGGCTTCTAGCCACAAGGGCTATGCACTGCCTCCAGTATCGGAGACAGAAGGGCTCTGAATACAAGTTGTTGGGAGCGCAAGTAGGGAGCATGCTATCTCATTCAAGTGCTGCTTGAAGGCTTCCCATGGGCATCTGGTTGGCTGCTGTGAGAACAGGATGCTGGAGTACATTGGTCTTTGGCCTGATCAAGCAAGGCTCTTCTCATATTCTTCTTAAGAATTGGGACAACTGACAGGAGCAGTGGCCTAATGATGACATGGTTAATGAAGCCCTACCATTTCCTGTTTGCAGTGCCACGCTGCAATCTTAATTCCTCTATTACTTTTCAATTAGAGGTTGCCAGTTTTGAGGGGCTCCTCATGGAAGCAGCAGTTGGGGAGCACTTCACAAGCTGTGTGTGGGCTTTACATCTTCCTTTGGCAATTGCTCTCCGCCCCACCGTGCCCCACCATACAGCTTCCCAGAAGAGGCCTGCATAGTAGAACAGCAAATTCTCAACAACATTAAAGATCCTAACATGAAAGCATAAAAACTTAAGAGCAGCCCTCCTGGATCAGGCCAGGAACCCATCTAGTTCAGCATCCTGCTCTTACAGTGGCCAACCAGATGTCACAAGCAGGATCTGAGCATTCTCCTTCCGGCAGTTTGTAGTGCTAGTCAGATCCACTACTCAAGGCTCCATGTTATATATACTTGCAGCAGGGTGCCCTTAAGTACAAACAAGGAAGAATGAATGAAGCTTTGTACTTTCTAAAGGTCATGGTAGAACTCCACCTGATCACATTCTGCACTTTGCTTTTTATCTATAAATTAACCATATCTCACTCCTTCCTAAAGCTCTGCAGTAACAACAGCAAGATATGCCATAAAACAGCAATACTTGTGCTATGTCCTTAAATGCCTTATTTCATAGTGCAACCCTGTGCATGCCTACTCAAAAGTAAGTCCCACTGGGTTTACTGGGACTAACTCCCAGGCATGTGGGCATAGGATTGCAGCCTCCATTTCCCATATTGTGGCTGAAGAATCACTGAACGCAAGTGACCTTCATTTTTCTTGCCTAGAAGGCGGGTTGATTCAGAAAGACATCACTAGACACTCATATTTACAATGACCCAGGGACAAATTCATCTGCGGATATGACAGCTTGCTTTAAAAGCTTCCTCAAAGATATAGTCACCTGCATAATGACCCATTTATACTTTCTGGACTTGTGTGGCTGTGTTCTTAGCTGCTTCTGGCAGTCTTTCCTGGACATCTGCCAGAAATACTTCATTTAATAAGAGAAAGTGTAAAATATTTGCTCCCTTAGTATCTGGACAGAACTGTTGGATGCCACATTGTGACAGTTAACACAGAATTTATAAGGGGAAATATTAAGGTTGAACAGAACATTTATGAATATTTCTTTTCATTTCCCTCTACATATCCCTGGAAAACACCCACGTGACAGAGATTTTCTTGTACAACATAGCAGCAACAGCAGAAGTGATAAAACTGAAAATCTCATTGGGTCATGCAGTTAGCAAATCCTCACAAGCATTGCTGAAATTTTTGGAAATTTGGAAGTCATTTGGGTGGTTGGGACTGGAATAGTTGTTTTCAATTTAAGGCAAGGGGTTAAGACAATAGAGCTGGATTCCTAGAATAAGCTATGTCACACCCCTCTTCTCCTATGAGAGAGAAGTGAAGTCTTCTCTTCATCTTCCCTCTCTCTCTTTGCCATGTAACTGACCAAGACAGACATGCCAAAGCAAGCTCCAGGCTTAGGGCATGTGTTTGAAGCTATCTTTCTATATTTCCCTCCCCCCAAAGGCACACTCCTCCATTGTCTCCCAAGACAGACAGATGCCAACAACCCAAGACTATTCTGCCTGTGTTTTCCTTGCTGCTGCTTGGATAAATGCATGAATCTGACCCTCGAAACATTTTGTAAGTAAAGAATTTTAAACTTACTTAACAATAAGTGGTCCATTCATTGTGAGAGGAATAGAAAGAGAGGAGCACTGTTTGCTAGCAGACTAAATGGGATAAAAGGATCTAATACCTATATTTCTAACACTGTACTGCTGCCTGACATTTGTGAGTTTAAACTCTGCTACTGAACGCTCTTTTCTGCTGGTGAGTGGGTTTAGTCCTGTATTTTGAATCCAGGCACTCTGACTATTCTTTTGTTATCTACCTCACACACATGGGTCACAGGGATTCATATTTTTCCATAATAAATGTGTACAATTTAGTATATTTATGAATCATGTTTACCCAGAAAACCTACTCTGCTAAGCGGAGCTTATTCCCAGGTAAATGCACATAGGATTGCAGTCCCAAAAGCATAAATGCCTTAGTATGAAAGCTCTTTTAGTTTTGTAGCAGTGAGTGTGACACAGTCCTTTGAGGGGAGAAGTGAAAAGCTCAACTGCAAGGCAGAGGTGGCCAAATCAAATGGGCAGCCGATGGAAGACGCTTACCTTCTTGTATCTCCAAAGAAACCAGAATGATCAAAGGTCACCAGAAGGTGGTAAGCAGTAATTCTGTGTGTGTGTAGGCCCTGAACGCTCCATTCATGATGGCAGAAAAATGCATCTGGAAACAAGTGTTTTATATGTCTACCATAGACACAGGAATTGCCAT